GTGGGTGTTGAGTAAAGGCGCCCAAAAGGGAGGGAGAATGAAGCTGATAACCAGCCTCGGCCTCACGTGCGACCCCCTCGGCGGCCTCGTGCAGATCCCCTGCATCGAGCGCTGAGGCGTGCCGCACCACCGCCCTCGACATGCACTCCCACTGTGAGTTATGAATATTTCGCGGCGAACTGACGAAATAGACAAGGAGACGTCCCTCGGCGGCCTTGCCACGGCTACGGGTGTCACCAAGATCCCCGTCTCGTCGCCTGCGTGCTAAGCGCTTTTCTTTTGTTCCACTAGACGATAAGCTTGTACACTACCACCATGTTGACCCTCCGCTTCCATATGACAACAATGCATGCCTGATGAACAATGGTACAAACTGAGAGAGGGACATGTACAGTGTGGGGGTGTAACGTTCTAATTCTACCTCTTGTTGGGCGGAGGGACGTCGTTCCGTTGCAGGGGGGCGTTATAGGGCTGCGCCACCGTCTTGGGCGAGTAGATGGGCTGGGGGAGGTGGACATGGGCGGGCAGGCCCTGGGCATACACGGGCACGTCGCGGGCTGAGGGCAGCTTGTTAACTGTCGCCGGACGAGCTCCCGAGCCTGCGACGCCGAGACTCGTGGATGACCCGCCCGGCCTGGGAAAATGCGGCGCAGGCTCGTCGTCGTCGTCCGAGTCTGAGAGCGTCAGGTCGATGACGGCCAACTGGGGAGGGGCTGTGGAGCGCGCCGATGTCGGGGTCGCCGCGGCGCTGACGCTGACGGCGCCGTTAGCGTGGCCGTTCACCGCCTTGGGTGCAGGCTCGTCGTCGCTATCGGAGAGAATCTCGATCGCACGCCTCTTGCTGCGATCGGCAGGGTCGGAACTGGCGGAGCGGCTGCGCTTGATGACTGGCTTTTCCTCGACGACGGGCGTCGTGACGGCCGGAGGAGGTGCGCTTCCGTTCGCAGCCATCCACTCCGCGCCGCCATACTTTTCGTCGGCCGTGTGCCAGTCTCCGTTAGACTCGAGCACCACTTCGTCGTACGAGTCGGGAACCGCGTTCAGAATGCTGAGGAAGTAGCCGTCGCAGATGACCTCGTCGAATTTGAGCTCCTTGCTGCAGTGCGGGCAAAGCCACTGGGGGTGGCTCCTGTTCGACTCAAGCCACCAGCGCGCGTCAAAGCACTGCAGGTGGGTGCACTTGGAGGAGCGAACGGGTTTGGTGATGCGCATACCAGAGAGCGGGTCCTTCAGAGACAGTGTTGACGTTCCCACCTCGATATCGTCGTCCTCTGCGGCTCGCCGCCTGAGCTTTGCCAACTCGTCCTCGGCACGCGTCGGCTGCAGAGCCTGTAGACGGGCGAGGAGGTCGTCCATAGAGCTCCACTCGCAGTACACCATCTGGAACCAAAACTTTTTCGACATTTCCTTCTTCTTCCCCACCGTTGGTCCATTGTGCCCCATGATCAGGCTTCCCATACGGCCTGGAATGCGGACGAGACCACGGGATCCCTTGTCGAGGTCCAGAGGAGGGGCGCTGCCTGCCTTGCCACGAAGTCCGCGCTCCTTAAACGGAACCATGTGATCGTCGACCATGCAGTCGGGGTTGGTCGGGTACTCGATGGGGATGCTGCGGTTCGTGACTGGCGGGGCGCCAGGCTGCGGCGCCATTGTTGGGGGCCGGTAGTAGTCGGAGGACGCGCAGAACAGGCGGACGGTGTACTGTGGTCGAGCGCGGGGGTCGGCTCTGAGTTGTCAGCGGCGTGTCGGGGGAGAGACTCACTTGCTCTGGTTCAAGCCCGCGATGACATCCTGGGGAAGGGTAAAGTGCACTCTGCGTTCTCGTCGGGTCTGGGAGCTCTCCGACGTGGCAATGTCTGAATGTCAGTTGGAGAACTAGCACGCAACTTACCAGGCAGCTGCTCCATGTTAGTGAGCGCCTTTATCGGCTTCCACATCGGGCTCGGCTTCCAATCCTGGAGCACGGGTTGTCCTGAACTGTTAGCACGTCACACATGATTGTCACGCACGGTTCTGATGTGTCGGATGCTGCTGGTATAAACTTGACGCGCCGGGAGCCTGGTGCCAGCCGGAGGACGCTCCAGCTCTCGCCGCCGGCGCCTGCGGGCGCGCGACTCTAGCGGCGCCGCCGCCGTAGTGGTGGTTCAGGTGGACGCCTCCGAACGTTGGTGGCGGCATGACGGGGTTGCTTGCTCCGCCGTTTGCGATGGCCTCTGCTTCTTTGCGCACGGCGCGGTACACACCCGTGTTGTTCTGCCGCTTAATGGTCTCGAACGCGGTGCGGATCCTAACCCAATTAGCGCTAGTCACGGGTGGAGGAGAAGAACTCACTTGTCGACCACATCCTGCTTCCGTTCGCCGCTGCGCAGGTGCAAATTGATGCCCGCAATACGCGTGATGGCCTCGGCGACGTGCTTGAGTTTCGGTACAGTGAGCTTTGGTATGAAGTTGTTCACAAAGTGCTGTCTGTCAGTGTTGTCTTCCCTCGGAGGAAGGCGCGTGACTTGCACAACGACGTACTGGATAATCGTTCCATATGTCGGTAGCCATGGTGGTAAGGTTGGGGTGGACCTGGGCTCGCAGTCGCAGAGGACGCCGAGAGCACCAGGCAGATCAGAGACGAGTCGGTTCAGTGGAGTGTGGTGATGAAGGTGGACAGAACAACGACATGTTGCGCCGCCCGACTGGCAAACTAGATGGTGCTCACCACCACCCGGTGGCCCAGCCCCGCCTGCTCGCCCGCAGGTCCAGTCAAGTCAACCAGCTGCTCAAATTTGCCTCCGCCAGAGAGTGGAGGTCATCCACCCCCTCAACTTTCGATGACGCTACATTGTTCGCCGCCGCGCGCACTGCATCGAGCACTGCAAACTGCAACTGCACAAACAATCAAGTCATGTCCACGAGCGATCCGAAAGTGTACGACAACATGAGCAAGGAGGAGAGGGCCGAGCACGATGCAAAGCAGCGAGAGCGCGAGCAGGCCGAGCAGGCTGGTGGGTCCGCCGCGCTAGCGAGCTAATGTCCAGCCCTGCCGTACCAGTGGTCGCAGGAGCTTGGCACGGTGACCGTCAACGTTCCCCTGCCGCCAGGAACGCGCGCGAAGAACCTCGACGTGGTGATGACCCCGAAGAAGCTGAAGGCGAGTGAAGTGGTAGCTGTAACTGACGGCAGGTCCAAGTCAAGGGCGCGCCTGAGCCGATCCTCGAGGGAGACCTGTTCGAGGATATTGTTTGCGACGACTCGTCGTGGACCATTGGTGCGTTGGCTTGCCTTGCTCTGCTAACGCTCAGACGACGGTGTCCTGATCTTTGAGCTCGAGAAGCTTTCGTGAGTCGCGCCCAAGCTCTGACTAACGGCAGATCGCACATTGCCGCGCACCGCTGGTGGCCGCACGTGCTCAAGCACCACCCCAAGATCGACACGACCAAGATCCAGCCCGAGAACTCGAAGCTGTCGGATCTGGACCCAGAGACGCGGGCGATGGTCGAGAAGATGATGGTAGGTGGTCGGGCATTCGTTGTGCTAACGTAATCAGTTTGACAACCAGCAAAAGGCCATGGGCAAGCCGACGAGCGACGACCTGAAGAAGGCCGAGACGCTGGCCAAGTTCCAGCAGGCGCACCCGGAGATGGACTTTAGCCAGGTGAGTTTGACTTTAAGCAGGTGCTGACGAGCAGGCCAAGATTGAGTAGACGCAGTAGTTTGTATGCATAGATAGTTGATCAGTGCGGGGTAACGGCGACGGCTCGAAGCGAGTGTGCTGGGTGAGGGGAAAATATTGAGCCAATGGCAGCCGTCGGTCGCCGGTCACCCCACATTCCGCCTCCATGGCGCCGCATTCCAGTAGCCCCGCTGCAAGGTCTCGCGCCTTCTAGTCCGGCAGCATGCTCGGCCGCGTGAAAATCCTATTCTGAATATGATCAGCAGACTTGCAGCAGAAGATATGGGGTAGGGGACCATTTGTCCCGATGACATGTGTCGCGCTGTGTGACCGATAGATGACCGACCTGGGCACAGAGTCAAAAGCGGTCGCGGCGGTGACCGTTGGGGTACTGCCTGGGGGCCGGAGCATGGTCCGACTGCGGCAGCGGCTTTCGGCCTGACTCCGGTCCCTTGCTGCCGATCAGAGAAGGCCGGTGCCGCCTTGCAATTCAGCCCGTTTCTGCATGCAAGAAGTCCGTTCTGGAGTGTCTGGCAGGCGTATGCGAAGGAACCGGTTAAATCTCCCTCTTGGCGCAGAGTAGGCGACCTCCCCTTGAGCTCGGCGCCCTCCACATGTGACGAGCGCGAGAGCGGGGGGGGAGATATCGAAAGGAAGTGCCAGATGTCCAGGGCCGTGTGCGTTGGGTATTGGACCACATTGCGACATCGCACCTACCCGTACCTGCAAGTTTGAGACCTGGATATAACCATCGCGTGGTCGTTCTTGTGCCATTTCGCCCCCGCGCGCGCGCCCCACTCCGCACCCGGTTTGTAACCGGCCAGGCACCTCTTTCCCCCGTCCTGGCCGTGTCCCAGGTGTGGAAGCGCAAGGAAAAATATGGAGCGCGCGTCCCTCTTTCACGCGTCGGTGTGAACGGCTGCGGGCATAAGTCTGCGCAGAGATGCTTCTGATACTCCGAAACGACAAACCACCATGCATCCGAAGTGAAGTGGCATCGCCGATGAGGGCGTGTCTGATCAGCGCGCAGTTTGAGCATAGTGACACGCAAGGGTAATGCGTGATCGATGATAGGCCTGTTATCGCGCCTTGCGATCGTGACGGGTGGTGGCCTAGTGCGACGTGTGCAGTAGTGGTGGCCGTACTGGCTCGCGACTGGTTCCCCCGCGGCGCCGCTCCAGACAAAGCCGCTCAATCGGCCCTCGCTGGCCCTCGCTTTGGCCAGTTGGTGCGTCTCTCGGCTCGGCACTGTGACACCCTACAGTGAGGGGACGGTGTAGTGCCACAGCTGTGTCCCATATCGCCGATAAACACCGTGGGTGGGAGGGAGTAGGCCCTCCGCAAACACCCGATTCCGATGGGGGATGAGCCTATCCCCGTGCTCTGCCGCCTGCGCTGGGTGTGACTGCGTCCCTGGGTGGGCCCTGTATCGCGCTCAACCCTGCATGCCCTGCACCGGGCGACGGTGAAAATTCACGGGCCGCCTGGACCCCCCCTCCTCTGGTCCCTCCTCGCGTATTCTCACCTCCCGTGGTCCCCTCGCCCGCCTCGCAGGTACTTTTTATTGCGCCCAAACTCGGCTTTCCTCTTTTCTCTTCAACTCACCACTCTTTCTTCTCCTTCACCCCGTAGAAAAGAAGGTTAGTACTCCCCTCTCCTCCCCCTCCGACAGTGATCGCGCGACCAGCGACAGCGACGACCGACGCATCACCGACAGCGACTGCAATCGCGAAATTGTTGAAAGGCTGCGATAGCCGACCGCCACGTTGGTGCACCCATCTTTTGGGTGAAAATGCACTCGCATCTCCATTCTGCTTCACACGCTCCACGCTTTTGCTTCATTGCTAACCATCTTAGTAAAAATGGCGGACGTTAAGAAGCCTAAGGACTTCCAGGCCTTCATGACCGACTTCCTCATGGGAGGTGTCTCGGCCGCTGTTGCCAAGACTGCCGCTGCCCCCATTGAGCGTATCAAGCTTCTCGTCCAGAACCAGGACGAGATGATCAAGCAGGGCCGTCTCGCTACCCCCTACAAGGGCATCGTTGACTGCTTCAAGCGCACCTACGCCGAGGAGGGCCTCGCCTCGCTCTGGCGTGGTAACACTGCCAACGTCATCCGTTACTTCCCCACCCAGGCGCTCAACTTCGCCTTCAAGGACTACTTCAAGTCGCTCTTCGGCTTCAAGAAGTCCGACGGCTACTGGAAGTGGTTCGCCGGTAACATTGCTTCGGGTGGTGCCGCTGGTGCCTCTTCTCTCCTCTTCGTCTACTCCCTCGACTACGCCCGTACCCGTCTCGCCAACGACAACAAGTCTGCCTCCAAGGGTGGATCCCGCCAGTTCAACGGTCTCATTGACGTCTACAAGAAGACCCTCGCCTCTGACGGTATCGCCGGTCTCTACCGTGGCTTCGTTCCCTCCGTTGTTGGTATCATCGTCTACCGTGGTCTCTACTTCGGTCTCTACGACTCGATCAAGCCCGTCGTCCTCGTTGGTCCTCTTGAGGGGTAAGTTTCTCTAACTGTGCAGCTTCGACGCATGCTAACTTCCCCCAGCAACTTCCTTGCCTCCTTCCTTCTCGGCTGGGGTGTTACCACCGGTGCCGGTCTCGCTTCGTACCCCCTTGACACTATCCGTCGTCGCATGATGATGACCTCGGGTGCCAAGGTCCACTACAAGTCCATGTTCGACGCCGCCTCGCAGATCATTGCCGCCGAGGGTGTCAAGTCTCTCTTCAAGGGTGCCGGTGCTAACATTCTGCGTGGTGTTGCCGGCGCTGGTGTTCTTTCTCGTCCGTATCACGTCGAGCAGCTTCGAGAGGTTGCAGAAGAGTCGTGGAAAACATCGAGTTCAACTCTCGTCTCGAGTCTGAAAAGTGGTGGTCAGGTATCAGACTCTGAATTTACTTCCGCTTTTCAACCGACGTTTTCCCCCTCTGTGCCTGGCATCCGTGCCTGGGCGCCTCCACCCGTTTGGAGTCTGCAACCTCCCTGCTCTTCCATCTATCGTCCTGAATACATTGCTGACATCCACAGTTTACGACAAGCTCCAGGAGATCATGTTCGGCAAGGTCTACAAGTAAGCGCACTAAGCGTCTTAACTGTAATTCCCATAAAAGCTGTCCATACCCATCCTCCTGTACGCCCATGTGTAGGAGTTATGCCAGAGTGGTTACGAGTAAAAACGAAGCGAAGCCGGTTGCGAAGGCGTGATCGGGGTGGCGTAGGAGCGCAGTGTTTGATAGCCGAGAGGGCGCACTGACTTAGGCGAGCTGGCCTGGTTGCACTGACCAGGACTGACTTGGCCGTGCCGGATGACGTCGACGGGCGAACGTGTCTGGAGTGTGCCTCGGAGGATGGACAACGTCACCGAAGTGATGCCGGCGCTTCACCCGCAGGACCTTGTTGACTCGGTGTGTTAACAGATTCCGGACGTACACAGATCGACGATCAACTCGACGATCAAGTCGACGATCGTGCAGTCCGATCCCATGGATGGCCGACCGAGAAGGCTGGCCGATCGGGGCAGAATCCTCAAAACCGCCGGTGCGAGATGGAACGGATGTGAACGACATGCGTTGGGCCCATGACACGGGATGGGTCTATGCAGCTCTCCCTATGTCGTCTTCTTTGCTGGCATAGCTCGATCAATGGTAAGAGATCGAATATCGAGCAGCAAAGCTCCATCCACCGGGGTGTGTTAGAGAATATTTCGAAATTGTGGCGCCACACTCCCCATTTCCCCCATGTCCACACTCCCCTCTCACTCTTCGCAAACCCTCACGAGCTCCAGTCTGGACTCCATTCTGATCCAGACCTAGCCCCAATCAGGCCGAAAGTGACGCCCATAACCGTCTTGGTCCACCTGAAGAACCCCTCGGTCATGGCCCAAATAGGCGAAAAACCCGTCACGACTCGGATCCATCACCCGACCCCCCTTCCTCGTCCATCTACCCATCCCTCCCTCCCTTCCGAACCTCTCGAAAGCCCTGAGCACACCCCAGAAGCTCCAAAAAGGTCACGACGGGGATCGAACCCGCAATCTCCTGATTACCTCTGAACTCCGTGGTGACCTGCGGAGTTGATGAAGTCGTAGTCAGACGCCTTGCCATTGGGCCACGCGACCGATGTTTCTGAAGATCTCTGGGCGAATATGTGCTCGCGGGGTTGGGACTGGGCGTGGATGGTACGGAGGGGGGTGTATGTGATATACTGCACAGGTTCTGCGGCAGGTCTGAGGGCAGGGAAGAGTGACGAAGGAGTGTGGAGAGGGGTGAGGAGCGCAGTGCCACGAAGGCCTAGCTTCAGGTAACGGCATGACGGGGACGGACTTGCATACCACACTGCCCTCGGGATGGAAGAGGAAATGCGCTGCGCTGCTTCGCTGTTTCTGTTGAAGCGAGGGATATAGTCGGACGGGAATGGATACTGCAACCAGCCGTGGTCGGTGTACTGGTCACCGGCGGGGGAGATGTGGCGTGATCCTGCAGACGCCCCTACCCCTGCGGTCGCCCTTTCACCTATACTGGCTCATGTCCGTTCGATGTTTTGGCCGCCGGTCGCTGCTGTGAGTGACACGATATACGGAGCTCTGTGTGCATGTCATAGTCGTCGCGCTGTCGTCTGTCACGGCAGGGCGTCTCGCTGATGGCCCACCCCGGCCCAGTGGCATCCGAATTTGTTCCGAGATTCTTCCATCACAGTTGGCATCGAGTCGCTCAATCGTCATACCTCCAGCTCCGAGGTGCTCATCGCCGGGTCCCAGCACGCGTTAGCCTGACATCTAAAATCATTGTATAGGCCAAAATCATCGATGATTACTGAAACATGTGCATTGCACTATCAACCGCATCGCGTCCGAACCTGGGGAGACATCTAGTGCTGGAACAGATCACCGCGGCGGTTGTACAGTACCCGCAGCCGCATATCTTACAGATATGAGCTAGTCGGTCAGTCATCAAAGCAAGGGCGTCACGTACGGCTTGTTACAGCCTTGGGGTGCTCCGTGTTTACGTGTGTTGACAGTGACTTCTTGTCCACGAAGCTCCGGTCACATTGTGGGCAGTGGTCTGGCTCGTCAGTCATCAAAGCCAGATGCATCCTCACAGTTGTAGGAGATGACGCCCGGATGCTTCTTGGCGATGTGCTTCTGCAAGTTCTCGGACAGCGTGTACGCAAGCGCACAACCTGGGATCTCGCACCTGTACGGACCGCGCTCTGATGTGTAAGCGAAGACTACCTTGCACAGTGAACTTACCCCTCTTTTGGTACGCCGTAGCTGGGGGCGGGACGTCCGGGTGGCGCTTCCGCATGTGGGTGACGAGATTTCCGCGCTGGCGATAGCTCGAGAAGCACCTTCTCACGCTGCACTTGTGCCTCTTCCTGCCTCCTGAGAGTCAGTTTCGGCCACATCATATCGACTCACCAGTGCCCGAGTCGCTGTCGCTGTCGTCACTACCTGTAACTTCGTCGTCGGCCGAGCTGTCTGTGTCCCCGTCATCGCTGGCCATCGCGACGTCTCCCTCGGCCTCTGTCTCGCCATCGCTGACTTGCCACCGCTCCCAGCGCGCATCGGCCGCATCGCTGTCCTCGTCTTCCCGCCACCAGCTCGGGAAGCTGACGTTAGTGAAAGCAGGCCACCTGGACTTACCGTCCTCCTCGCTTGCGGACCTTGGCGGCGCATTTCCGGAGGTGGATCTCCAGCCATGCCGCTGTGCTAAAATCCTGATAGCACGCTTCACAACCTGGAGTAAGCGCACTGCAGGGGAATGAGTGCACACACGGTGTGGCTGCAATAAGGAAATGAGAACCAATGGAGTTACGAAGGAAGCAGGTCAGCATGTTGTTCAACGGCATTGACGGGGAAGCTTACGGACATGTCGCCGGCCGATCCCGGGGTAGCGATGCCTGGCGTCAGCCGAGCTGTAGATAATCACTCACAGTAATGCAGGCCGAGAGAGGTCTCCTTGGGGTGCTCGAGCTGCATGTGTCGTGTGAATGTCGTCCTATCGGTGTAGGAGCGCGGGCAATGATTGCATGCATAAACTGATAGTCAGTAAAGCGGTTTGCTTCTGGACAGACTCACCGTAGCCGAGATGAGATTTGACATGGTCGCGGAGCCCTTGCGTGCTGGCGAAGTCCTGGTCGCAATGCGGACAAAGATGTTTGCCATTGTGGTCGGATGGCTTCTTGCGCTTTTCCTTGGATTTATCGGAGTCGCTGATGGTGAGCGCTTCGAGGGCGGTCTCGAAACTCTCCACCTGCCAATCGTCTGTCACTGGAAGGAGGGGCCCGCCCTCCAGCGAGACGTCCATAACTTCCGGCCTGATCGCGAGGCCGCCAATGATGATTCGCGCTCCCGACGTCCCGTCACGCCCATCGACGTACGCAACGGCCTGATCTCCAACAGCGGCTCGCGCGCCCGCTTGGTCGACGCCAGCGGCACGCCCATCACCGAGACCAGCCACGCCGTCCCTTCCGGCAACGGAGCTGAGATCCTGAGCAGACGTACGCTCACCGAAGCCAGCGACACCGCTCTGCGTGCCGTGCCCGCCCTGAACGCTCACCGTCGCAATCCCGAGGTTACCCTTACCAGCGAGCTCGGGCGGGACGCCACGCTCGAGTCCCGCGACGACGACGACGAGACTGCGCGCGAGACGCTTGCCGTTCGCCTCGAGCTCGTCCCGGACCGAGATGCTCTCTGCGTTGGCGATAAGTGCAGGGAGGTTGGCGACTCGTCGGTCATGCTCCGCGAGTAGATTGGGAAGCATGACGCGGGCCCGAGCCTGGATGTGGGGGGGACCGGGAGCTCGGCGCTGGGGTCGGCGGCGCAGTAATAACCCGCTGACGTCGGGACCTCGTTACCTTCCAGATCGCGGCGAAACGATTGGGGCTTAAGGGCGAGGAAGACGGGATCGCCCATGTTGGGGACGTGGGATGGCGTGTGGGTCGCCACTCTGGCGGAGGATGGGGAGAAGACGACGATCGGACGGGCGAGCGCGGTCGCGAGAGCAGCAAGGCCCATGTGGTCGACGTACTCTTCCATGTGGCTCATCTTCACAATCCACTCATCGAGTTCAGCCTCTTCTTGGAGGGAGAGAGCGTTGTCACGGAACTCTTCGTCACAGCGAGCGGCCTCGACGAGCGCGGCGCGCAACGACGGGACATCTGCATCCACGCCGAAGGGCCGGAGACCGTGCACTGCTGCGTGGAGTGCACAGTTGCCATCTCCCGGCACGTCAACCAGATTGTAGCCAAGGCGCGCGGCGGCAACGTAGAGACGAACGAGGTTCTCCTCCGGGTTGAATGCCTGGTCATCGTCGTCGTCGTCGTCGTCGTCGTCATCGCTCGCCCTGGCACCATCTCCCTCCGCCTCGCTATCGCCATCGCTCGCCTGCCATCTATCCCAGCGAGCATCCATCTCGTCGTCGCCCTCGTCTTCCCTCCACCAGCGCGGCAGCCTGACGTCAGTGAAGGTAGACCACCTGAGCTCACCGGCCGCCTCGCTTGCATACTTTGACCTCGCATCGCCGCACGTGCTTGCGCAGCCACTCATCGGCGGTGAAGTCCTGATAACACAGAGAGCAGTCTGTGGTCAGCGCGATGTCTAAGTCGCTGAACTCACGGTGCGGCTGAGAGTTTGAAGGACGGCACGTGAAACCATAGAGAACATGGGTCAGCAGGTTGGCCGGGCAGAGCTTCGCGAAACTTACGGATGCGTCCCCTGCCGAGCCTGGAGTCGCTGGGCCTGACGTTAACAGATACAGAGGGTATCGACTCACAATTAAGCAGATCGAGGGTCATCTCCTTGGGGTGCTCGATCTGATTGTGGCGCGTAAAGGCGGTGCGCTCTGGATACGAGTGCAATGATTACAGCAGTATACTGAACGTTGTCAGCGGTCATGCAATTTTGCATTGGCAGTTGTTTCACTTACTGTATCCCTCGTGAAATTTGACGTGATCGCGCATACCCTGAACACTGCCGAAGACCTGGTCGCAATGGGGACACGAGAAGGCATCTGGACTTGCCTTTGGCGCCGTCTTCGCTGCCCGCTCTGTAGAGCGTCCTCCAGTTGGGACGTTGCTCCTCTCTGCTGCGGCCCCACCGCCGAGTAACAGTGCCGCTTGCACCGCCGCACACCTCTCCACGTCTCAATCATCAAAAAGCGACCAAAGTGGTCCGCCCTCGAGCGAAACGGGAGATGAGCGTATCGACAGGTCGGGACCGGTGGTATCAACTACCACAGGGTGCCTGCCGATGGCACTTCCTCCGATACTTGGCGCGCCCGGGGGCCCACTCGCGCCGGCGAGCCCCCCGCCCCTTTCGCCAGCGGCTCCAGCCGAGTCAGCAGCTGCCGCGACACGTCTTTCAGCAACACCGTGCCCGGTGTGTCCACCTCCGGGAGCGCCCACATTGGCAAAACCGACCTTACCCGCACCAGCGAGCTCGGGCGAGACGCCACGCTCGAGTCCCGCGACGATGACGACGCTCCGAGCGAGACGCTTGCCGTTCTCCTCGAGCTCGACGCAGACGGTCGCACTCTCAGCGCTGTCGATCAGGGCGGGCATTTCGGCCACGCGCTGGTCGTGCTCGGACAGCAGACGCGGCAGCATGCGCTCAGCGACCTCCGTGACGCGGGACGGGACGTCGAGCGCTCCGCCTGCCACGGCCGCAAAGTAGTGGCCGGGCGACGTCGGGATATCGTTGCCCTGATCGTCTCGTCGGAACAGCTCAGGGTTGAGTGCGACGTGCACCGGCGCGCCAATGTTGGGGACGGAGTTGGAGGGTGCGTAGATGGCGACGCGATGCGACGAGGGCGTGAATACATGGACGGGGCGCTCAATAGCAGTCGCGAGGGCCGACAGATCGGTGTTGTCGACAAAGGCTCCTCTGCGCGCCATAGATGCCAGCCATGCTTCACGAGAGCTGGGCCTTGCGCAGGGTGCTCGGCTTCAAACGCGGAGATAGCGGCGGCCACCAGGTGATCGTCGGTGCTGGCAGTCTCGATGAGCGCGGCGCGCAACGACGTGACATCTACGTCCGCGCCGAAAGGCCGGAGACCGTGCACTACTGCATGTAGTGCGCAGTCTCCGTCCCCCGGGACATTGATGAGGCTGTAGCCAAGGCGCGCGGCGGCAATGTAGAGACGAACGAGGTTCTCCTCCGGGTTGAATGCCTGGTCGTTTGTCCGGACCGCGGACGACGAGCGGGGAAGGGTGGCGAGGATGGCGGCTGCGGCGTCCTCGGAGAATCCGTCGAGGGCACTGGTGGCTGCCTCGAGGGGGCGAGTGGGCGAGGGAGGGGGTGAGGGGGGACGTTCAGGTGAGGGGAAGGCAGGAGCAGGTGAGGGGAGAGAGAGAAGACTGTCCTGAGGACGAGTAGAGGGCGGCGGCGATGGCGACGGGGTTGGCGAAGCGATGCGGCGCAGCTTCCGCTTGACAGGCGCGGAGGCCTCGCTCTTTCCCTTCACGGCCATGCTGTCGAGCTCTGAATGTGAGCAATGTACCTCCAAGCATCACCTTCCACTGCGCTGCTGACAGTGTTGACGAAAAGCGAGTTGCGAGGAAGGACGAGATGAGCGAGGGCATGGGGGAGCGGGAGCAGATTCCAAAGGGGCTCAGAAGCTCAGAAGAGATCAGCGGATGAGCAGAGGCGCACGAGGGGCGCAACGTACGAGGCGGTCTGCCTGATGCCTGACGCCGACGGACGTTGTGGGTGGTCGAGCGGCCATTGGTCATTGCCTGTCAGCAGTGTGCTTATGAGAGTGTTGGCGAGTCAGGTTGGACATGCAGCAGCTCAGGGTCAGGAACGCGCCTTATCTTATCGTCAGCAGCAGGAGTTCGCACTTGAGAAAGATGGCCGGTCCACTCGGCCAGCGCGGCTCCATTGCATAGGCTGTTAAGAGTACACCATGTTAAAGGCAGTTATCCCAGAGCGTTCTGAACCGTGGGTCCCCTGCCAAGCTATGGGCTAACCTCACCAGCTTTCAAGGTGCCTTACGCAGTAATCGAAGCAACAAGCTCACAAATCGTGCTCCGCGTGCCGATCAAGCACTCCCGATGGGAATCTACTTCCTATGCAGCGTAATACTAACAGTGAGAAGCACGCATCTGGATACCGCTGAGACTGACCCCTCAGTACTTGAAGCGAAACGACCCAGTTACCAGCTTTTCCACAGCCACTGAGTATCCTCAGAACCTCACAAACTCGTCAAAAGTGCAGCGGGGGTAGTTAGGGAAGCTCTCGACTTTCCGGCGGTCGGAGAGGGGCCACAGAGGGCCGCCTTCGAGGGAGATGTTGAGAATCTCGGGTCGTATCGCGAGGCCGCCGGTGATGACACGCGGACTGGCTTAGTTGCCCTGATCTTGGCTTGAGGAAGCGCCGGCGTCGGTGCTAGTCGGGTTGTCCCCCTGTCCTGGGAGGTCAATGGAGGATGAACCCAGTTATCACGCCCCAGTGATATCGCACTTCCGGGGCGAGGGCTCAAATGAGCTTACTACCAAATGCTTCGCAACGCCAGCGAGTCCGCAAGCTCGCTACCCACGCTGCTCGAGCTCCCCTGCGATTCTTCGAGCGCCGCCCGTCATAATGCGGCTTCGTAATAGTAGCATGTCACCCCACGGCTTCATGAAACCACCGTGGTGATTTTAGGCGACTGGCTTACAAGGGAAGTTGTCATGATGATGGAGGGACTTTTCGAACATGCGCCCCTCGTCCACAAAACGTACCGCTATCGTGCAGACGTGGGCACGCGTTTCGTGACAGGCTATTTTGTTAGTACCCCGGAGCCTCATGCTTGATATAAGTATAGAAGAAAATAGTCAGTCGATGGCCAGCATGCCAAGGTCAGAGTAGACCAGTATCGCTTGCATCATTCGACTATGAACAGCGTGGTGTCGCAAGCTGGTCGGAAGAAGCACAGGAGTGCATTTAAGCCTCGTGCATGTAGGTAAGGCCGCACCTGTATTGTCAGCATAGTTCCTCCTAAGGCTGCAGGGTAGATGGGTCGAGGTGGTGATAGAGATCGAGTCAAGTGGCGGGTACAACGCGTTCCCGATTCTTGAGCTCTCCTTCACACCCCTCGACACCATCTAGACCCGTCAAGCTCACTTTCCGCAGCTCTCACGGTCCTTGTGGCGGGCCATGAAGACGGCAGCACCGCAGGTGGGGCTGGAAGTTAGCTAACTGTCATGTGGATGAAGATCGATCTCGAGGTTGCCCCCGACATCTTTCGGCGCGCTCTCGCCGCCGTCGGAGCTCAAAAAAGCGCTCCGAAAGCGTAACTCACCACTCCCTGCGCAGGCGCGTCACCTTTCCATCTCCGTCAACCTTGAAAAGCTTGAGGATGGACATCTGAAGACGTTAGCAAAGTGTTCTCGTGAAGAAGAGAAACGGGTGGTGCAAGTGGAGGCGAGGTGGAGGTGCCACGTGCCACATCCGAGTGTGGCACGACGATCCTCCCACCACCAAAATGGTCCTCTTCAACCAAAATCGACAGAAAATGTCGTCCAGAGCTCCAAACTTCCTCAAACTTTGCCAGAATTACTTACCTTGACCTTTTTGCGCTTATGTTTTATCTTCCTTTTACGTAAGCAGCTGTACAGGGTGGGGCCGAGTAAAGAAACTCGGTAAGGGCACGGAGAGGGAGAGCAGTGACGGACGGGGGGTCGTGTGAAATCAACCAACGGCCTCTGCCCTATCTACTAGCCGTGCCCACGCGCTACTCACTTGGGGGTAGTGTAGACCTTCTTTTTGCGCTTCTTGCCACCACCGCGAAGACGGAGGACAAGGTGGAGGGTCGACTCCTTCTGGATGTTGTAGTCCGAAAGGGTGCGGCCGTCCTCGAGCTGCTTGCCAGCGAAGATGAGACGCTGCTGGTCAGGGGGGATACCCTCCTTGTCCTGGATCTTGGACTTGACGTTGTCGATGGTGTCGGAGGACTCGACCTCAAGAGTGATGGTCTTGCCCGTCAGGCTAGTTGGTCAGCAATACGCCGAGGATCGCAGCGATCGACTGCGAAACTCACGTCTTGACGAAAATCTGGGCTTGTCAGTACTCTACCCATGCGGACGCCGTTGACGACGGGCTACTCACCTGCATGGTGGGCTGATCTCTCCAAGAGTGTGGATTCCTCGATAAGCCTGGAGAGAAAGACAAAACCGTCGCTGCCCGTGACAAAGACCAGCACAGAGCGAATTCTGCACGTCGGAGCCGGCGTTACAGGGAAGGCAAACTTGTGGCGAAAATCCGGATTCGCAGGCACCAGAGTCAGGAACTGACCCGGCTTTCAGTAGCGTGGTCTTGGCGTGGTTTCAGAATTCCTCCAGGTTATTACGTAACAGACATTAATCGCTCACCGGCGACGGCCGCGACCAACCGGACTGGCGCGGCCGGCATCGGCGTAGAGCTATATGTCGCAGAGATGCCTTGCCTCAATACAGAATGCAAGATGTAGCAGCCCGAGCGCGTATTTGAGCACGGCCGAGACGACCTTCGTGACGAGGTGAAGCGTAGGGGAGCCGATCCTGGGGCGCAAATTCTTGCGCCCTGCGGATCAGACGCGATCAGACTGACGGAGGTATGCGATGGAGGTGCCGAGCGACAGCCAAGGGCGCACGGAGGGTTAGACGGAACAGCAGGGAGCCGGTTTCATCGTCCAACATCTTCTGACACTTGGTCTGGATCTGGAAGGGGCCAGAGTCGCCGTTCTAGGCAAGTTGCATGCATCGCGCACTCCGTTGCCACCTCGGAAGCATGAACCCAAACCAATGTGCCAGACGTCATGTACCGGGGTCACGCGTCGGGCTCAGCCCACCCGGAGTCACCCGCCAAGTAGTAGATGTGCAAATTTGGTTCCGTTAATTGAGGAATTCTGGCCGCGCTCACAGGGAAGGGCGCCGGCCAAGCTCGCTCAGCGTCCAGCGCAGGCTGGCAGCTCGCGGCTCGCGGTCGCCGGCCGCTCGACGTTGTAGGTTTGCATCGACCTCACCACCATCCTCATCCTCACCCCCATCCATCTCCTCGCTCCTCCCGTCCTCTCCCATCCTCTCCCACCCCTCTCTCTCTCCTCTCTCCCTTCCGACTCTCCTCTCCTCTCCCCCTCTTCTCTCTTCCGCCCTCTTCGTCGCCGCCGCTCCGCCTCCCCCTCCGAGCCTCCCTCCCGGCGTCTTCCCTCCCGCGTCACCTTCCCCGACGTGTCCTTCCTTCCCTTCTCATTCTCGCGCCGCTGCCTTCCCCTGCTCAAGCGTCTTTAAACATGGCCGAGTCTGGTAAGTTTGCTCGATGACGAGAATGCACTTTCGTGCCTGTGTTGACAAATTTCCAAGATTCCCCTCCCCCCCAGGCCTTGGAGGCTAGCCCCGAGGAGCTCACCCTCCGCTCCCTCGTTTCCACCAAGGAGGCTGGTATCATCATCGGAAAGGGTGGTGCCACCATTGCCAACATCCGCCAGGTCGCCAACTGCAAGGCTGGCGTCTCCAAGGTCGTCCCCGGCGTCCAGGACCGCGTCCTTTCGGTCTCTGGCGACCCCGAGGCTATTGCTGCCGCTTACGCCGAGGTTGCGCGTCTGCTTCTCGAGACGCCCCTTTCCGACTCGTCGATGCCTCCTCCCCCTGTCAACCAGTTCACGTCGATCCGCCTGTTGATCTCTCACAACCTCATGGGCACCGTTATCGGCCGTGCCGGTGTCAAGATCAAGCAGATCCAGGACATGTCCGGTGCCCGCATGGTCGCCTCCAAGGAGATGCTTCCTCAGTCGACTGAGCGCGTGGTCGAGGTTCAGGGAGCTCAGGATGCCATTAAGACTGCCATCTTTGAGATCGCCAAGTGCCTTCTCGAGGACTGGGAGCGCAACACTGGTACCGTCCAGTACCACCCTGGCGCTGCGGGTGACGCCGGTGTCCTTGCCGGTGGCCTCGGTGCCCAGGCTGTCACCGGTCCCACCGGTGGCATCCGCCGCACTTCGATGGGCGGCTTTGGTTCGGGCTCGCCTGGACCCAACTTTAACAACTCGGACCGTCGCGTCTCCCGCGGATCCATCTCGGGCGGCACGTCTGGTCAGGAGCGTCGCGTTTCCGAGTCGCAGCCCGTGCTCAACGACCCCAACCTCCGCACCCAGAACATTTCGATCCCCAGCGACATGGTTGGTTGCATCATTGGCCGCGGCGGCACCAAGATTACTGAGATCCGCCGTCTCTCTGGATCTCGCATCTCGATCGCCAAGGTCCCCCACGACGAGACTGGCGAGCGCATGTTCACCATTGTCGGCACTGCCGAGTCGACTGAGCGTGCTCTGATGCTGCTCTACTCGCAGCTCGAGTCGGAGAAGGAGCGCCGTGAGTAGTGCCCTCTTAGTTTCAAGCTAATGAACCAGGTGTCAACCAGAGCATTGACTCTGCCGATGCTTAAGCATCCTTGACCTGTGCAAACCGCTTCTCTTCGATTTATACCCTCAAACCCACACCCGTCCCAACCTCTCTCCGTAACCGAACGCCTTTGACACTTGTACCCAGCCTCTCCCTTCTCTCCTGCCACTCTTCTTTGAAGCTGGTGTCGCTCCTTGCAAAAGCTGCGGAGCCAAGTGCAGTATACGGGCACGTAAAAATGGATGTATAAGATGTCTGAAGTTTTACAGTCGTGTGACCGGTCAGAAGGCGGCAGTGATGCAATGCATGATGAAGAGTGATGTGGGTGTCTATGATTCTACGACGACTCGGACTCGACGCCGTACGGCGGCCGCGAAACGCACAGGTCCGGGATGCCCTCGAGGCTGTCGACGGCACCATGTCGGATGAAGTGTCCCTGGAGACTGGCCATGGAGACCCTCCTTCCCTGCTCACGAGCCGATTCGACCATGTCCTGCACCTGTCGTCCAAGCCTCTCGACCTCCTCCTGACTGAGCTCCTCCTCATTCATGAGCCCGCCTGATCCCTTCTCCTCGTCAATGATCTCGTTGATGTTGCGGCCGTAGAACTTGATGAAGAGCCTGTACGCCTGCTCTCCGTCTGCATCGTCGATGAGCTCATTCACGTCAATGCGTCCGGGGCGGATGAGGGCGGGGTCGAGCTTCTCGGGGTGGTTGGTCGTCATGAAGATGATGCGTTGCTCCGAGGACGTGACGCCGTCGAGCGCGTTCAGGATGCCGCTAAACGTGACGCCAGACTGGTACCCGTCGGCGCCCTGGACGACGCGCTTGGCGAATGCGGCGTCAATGTCCTCGAGCAGAATGAACGAGCGCTCTGGCACGGTGCTGAGGAGCATGTTGAGCTTGTCGTCCTGCATGCCGCGCTCGGCAATGTTGAGCGTGCAAATGTTGTAGTGCACTGCGCCCGCGAGAGCCTGGATGAAGGATGTCTTGCCACTGCCCGGCGGGCCGTGCAGGAGGTATCCGCGACGGTACGGGATGCCGCGCTCGGCGTACCACTTGTTGCGCGCGAGGAAGGCCTTGAGGTCGTCGGCAATCTTCTCCGCCTTGCCCTCTTGCAGCACGACGGAGGAGAGGGGGCGCCGCGGCTTGGGCTTGCCGAATTGCTTCCACTCAAAGCCCATCGCCGTGTAGGTGATGAGCTTGCCCTCTTTGTGTTGCTCGGCGAGCTCGCGCGCCTCGTTCAGCAAAGCCGGGAACAGCTCCCGGCTGCTGCTGAGGCCCGTGAGCGTGATCGTCTCCCACGGCGTGCCCGTCGCGAGGTCCATTGCCTTCTGCTCCCGCATGCGCTTCACTTGGAACCACTCCCCGCGGTACCGGAACCAATGCGTGCCGGGGCCGGGGACGAGGTTGAAGTCGGTCTGGATGTGGCCGTTCGCGAGGGCTTGGGTCTGCGTTTGCACCGCCAGCTCGTGTGTTGGGAGAAAGTTTTGCTTGCCCGACAGCACACCCTTCATGCCCCGTTCGGATTCGGGCAGCGAGCGCGATAGGGCGATCTGGTGCGCCATCCACTCCAGGAAATAGTTGTAGGACACGTCGCGGTTTGGGATCTCGAGCGTGATCAGCACGCGGCGCTGGCCCAGGTGTGCAGCGGTTTTGGCGCCTCTTCGGAGCGCGGCGAGGCCCGCGCCGAGGATCTGGGGTCAGCTACTGACGAGAGATTGCAGCTGAATGTAGACGCACCATGAGTCCGGCACCGGCACCAAAGTAGGGACTGTCCGTCAGCTCGCTCCGGTTGATTCAGCTTACTTGTTATTGATCAGCTCGCCGAGCTTCATCGTGCTCTTTCCATCAGGCTTGGGTGCCGGGGCAGAGGTAGCGGCGGCGGTCGCGCTTGTCGGCGTTGACGGACCGGCGGTCGGTCCTGGCGTCGTCGCCGCGGTCGTGTCGAGTGTGGTCGGCACAGCGGCCGGCGCTGGTGTCGGCGCCGGCGCCTGCGTCGCGTCCGGCTTGTTCAGCAATCCCCCAATCATTGCTGTCTAGTTGTCGAGTATGCACTTCCGACTTTATTTTGGCTCACCACAGCCAACACACACACACACGAGTTCGGCCACTTCCGCAGGCGAAATATCGTGTCACGTGCCGAGAGGCAAAAGTGGAGGTTCGTCAACCTAACCACAGCAGGGATCGCCGCTTGTCTCGACCCACTTCACGACTATGCCCTGCCCGACCGGCGACGCTGCCGGGCGTGGCGGCAGCGGAAACGACAGCGAATGGACGTGGGCGCCCGAACTCGGCGTGTACCACCACAACGCCTCGGGGATGTACGCGCTCCCCCAAGGAGATGGGTGGCGGTACCTGACCTCGGAGGAGCTCGCCGCGCACACCGGGACGAGCGGCGCAAAGAACGACAACTACGAGCCGGAAGAAGGCGAGATTGAAGACGATGTGGGCTGGGGTGCGCTCATGGACCCGGAGAAGCTGGCGCGGATCGAGTCGACCAAGAACCCAGTGTACATTGCCTCTCCCCAACGCCGAGATCCGTACGGCCGCGAAACATACTCTGACGGCACGCCTACCGCCGGCGATCCGCTCCTGGCGCACGAAGAAGGTGACGACGCGAACCATCTCCTCCGGCTCGTGGTCAAGCGCTCCCAAGTGCTCGAAGTGGGGAGTGTGGCCGTCCTCGACGCGCGCAAGGATGGCACGCAACTCGGCCGCGACCGCGGCGCCGAGGCGAGAGTGCGCATCAAGGAGATGGAGGTCAGCAAGACGCACGCGGTCGTGTTCTATCAGGCCCCGTCTGCTCCCCGTTCTCCTCGGCGCTCCTCCCGCTCGCCATCACCAACCCCCGCCCCGCCGAAAGAAGGAGACAGCGGGTGGTACGTCTCCGACCTAGGCAGCACGCTGGGGACCTACGTCGCGCACCCAGGCGAAGCGGACGCGACGCGCCTCTCGGAGCCCAAGTGCGCCTCACCCCCCTACGCCCTCAAGCACGGGGACAAGCTGACAGTGGGGCGGACGACGTTCGCAGTCCACATCCATCAGGACTGGCCGTGCGGCTCGTGCCAGCTGAGCGGCAACGCGCAAATCGACCTGGAGGAGGGTCGTTTGCGTCCTTGTCCCAAATCGGCCACTATTCCCGAGGTCAGCTCCTTTGAGCTGGACACGTTTGCGATGAGCGGCAACGGCACGCGCAAGGGCAGACAGGCCCTGAAGCGGCGCCGGGAGATGGATGCGCTCCGCGACAACTTGCTCGGCGAGGATGAGCCCGCACCCAAGATTCGGGCCGCTGCGGCGGGGTATGTGGACCGCTCGGCGGAGAGGAGGCGACTGCACCCGCCCTCGCCTCCACGACGGAGAGACGTCGAGGAGGCGCGACCAGTAGTAGCAGCGGGACCGACGGGACCGACGGGACCCTCCGAGGCCGCGCGCAAACTGCTCGCGAAACAGGGCTGGAGCGAGGGCCAAGGTCTCGGACGCACGCCGGGGCGCGCTGACCCAATCGTTCCCGTCGTCCGGGCCGAGAGGGCCGGCCTGGGCGTAAGGGGCCAGGTGGCTGATCAACCGGGGCAGGGAGGGGACTGGAGGCAGAGGGGGAGACAGAGGCGCTGGGACGAGGTTTCTGGCAAGTAAATAGCCTGTAATTATCATTTGTTGTACTTTGCCATATGGCATAAGAACTGTATCACCACGTCGTTGCCGCTGGGTATCGGGCCGATGTGCGACGTTGGAGGCCACTCGATCCTCGAGAATCAAGGTCTCCCGCTACTGTTGGCTGCACGTTTTGACCTTTTTGCACTTGTGCTTCGCGATCAGAGGGCGCCTTGGCTAGATCCAAGCTCAAGCTCTCCCACGAGCGCGCTTTAGTCTTTATCCCACTTGTGCTCGATCGAGGATGGAGGACGGTCTCGCTAGATCCAACCTTTCCCACGGGTGTCCCATTCCCTTCCAGCTTCCATGATCTGCAACAGGGCAGCGTGACTGATCGACACAGCCTTACCGCGTGTGCTTCTTGTCCTTTCTTCTAGTCGCGGAGCGACCGAAGCAAAGCACACACGCACACACTTCTGATGGAAGATCGCACGCGATCTCACCGAAGAACTCTGGAAGAACACACGCGTGACTGACCGATCAATGACGGAGAATTCCCCGTCACATCTCCTCTGAAGCTCCACGAGGCACCACAAGTCAAGAGGCACGCGGAGACAAGTTCATCGCGGAAAAACCGGTCGGCTAAGTTGACGTCAGGGCGGGACTCGGTGTGCCGAGTCGTTTCTCTCCTCGATCCCCAGAATCTCGTCCTCAGCAGCGGTTGGGCCATCCCATGCCCGCCAGCTAGCTATCAGATAATCTGCTCGGTGAACTCGTTCATGTTGTACAACATGCATGCCAGGTGATATGATACTCTACCCTGCCTCTTCGCATGCAGTGGTAAAGCCGTGGTTGTTATGAATAAGGTGTGGAGGATTGAGGATTGGAAAGCGCTGTCTTGCGAAACAGCGCCGTTTTGTGTGTTGACAGTTACTCTACTGATGACCAAAAACTAGCACCCTTTTTTAAAAGAACCCAGTCGGAGCAAAGCTCTTGTGTTGAGCTGCTGCTCCGTTTTAATGACAAGAATTGGCGAAAGCTCACGTCCGCGCTTAGGCCTCGTAGTCGTCCTTCTTGGTCTCGTCGGCCTTGAGGGCGTCGAGCATGCGCTTGACGCGCTCGTAGACGGTGAACACGATGGCCTGACCGGGGGCGACACGCATGACACGGGGCGTGATACCCTTGTAGAACGCAGAGACACCCTCGTTCTTGAACATGTCACCGGCAACCTTCATGAAGCGGCCAAAGGCAGTCTCGCCAGGGACCTTGGAGGCCTTCTGGATACGGGTCTTGATCGTGTCAATAGGGGCGTTCGAGAAGGGACCCATGGCACCGGAGACGAGACCGAGGACAAGGGTCTGGTACGAAGGGAGACCAGAGTCCTTGTACTGGGGCTGGAACTGGGTGGCCCACTTCTTGAAGTACTGGTAGGCGGTGAAGTTGACACCCTGGTTGGTGGCCTGACGGAGGGCAGTCAGGGCGACACCACGGTAGAGGGTCGAGAAGCCCTCCTCGCGGACAATCGTGTAGAGGGCGTGGGCGGCGTTGCGGTAGCGGGGGACGTCGGTGGGGTCGGCGAGCGAGTGGTGCTGGGCCTGGAGACGGATCTTGACGACCTCCATGGGGTTCACGACGAGGACGGCCTCAGTGGCACCGGCACCGAGACCGGCAATGAAGATGGACGAGCCGGTAAGCTTGCCAGTCTCGTCGGCGAGCCACGACTTGTAGACCTCGAACGAGGCGAAACGGATAGCCATCTTGGGGACGATACCGGTGACGACGGCACCGAGACCCTTGTAGAGACCGAGAGGGGTCTCACGGGCGACAATCTGCTTTCCGGTAGCGAGGAAAGCAAGGGGCTTGGCCTGTAGAGGTGGTCAGCGGCTGTTCGGTCTGGTTACGCGGCAAGCGATGGAGTCGCTCAGCTTGGTCATGCGACCTGTTGGAGCGGTCCATCGCTTTCGCTGGGAAACTCACGCCCGAGGCCTTGTTCGACTTGGCGAGCTGCATGCGGACCTTGATCGTGTCGAGGGGGTGACTGGGGAGTTAGTTTTGCTCTGGTTGCTGGCTGACTCACCAGACGAGAGCCTCAGCGAGACCGGCCGTTCCACCGGCGATCAGGTGGGTGGAAAGGGGGACCTTCTGCTTGGTGTCCTTGGACATTGTGATTGATTTGTGTGGCGGGGGAGGGTGAGGTTGAGTGGGGAGGGTGAAGTGTGTGTGTGTGTGTGCCGGCTGTTGCTGGGCGGTGGTCGTTGGGTTGAGCGGTGAGTAGAGAGAAAGGCAAGAGAGGTAAAGAGAAGAAGTCCAGGAAGGGGGATCTCGGTTGGACTTTAAGAGAGGTGTGAGCTGGTGGTGGTGGTGGTGGTGCCGGGGCCGGACTAGCGGCCAGCGAGAGTGGTGATTAGCAGCGGTATAGAGAATGCAGCAGTGACGCTAGTTAGCCGGGTCAGTGAGTGTCCTAATACCCGGGGCTTTTGGGCTTTTCCACCGATACCACCGTATGCGACCCATTTTGTCCGTCGGCTCTAGTCGGAAAAAACACCCCACCACGAGGATCCCACCAACTGACATCGTCCCCATCCCCCCTTCCCCCCCTCCCCCAGGGTGCCCCGCCATCGCCCGCTGACCCGCTCCGCTCACGACGGTGCCGTCGAAACGCAGCACACTATGCCGACGGCCGACGGACCCCCTTGCTCCAGACACCCCTGCCGTATGGGATGGCGGATGAGAGATTGTCTGCGAGTCTGCGCCCGCTGCTGCCGCTCACCCGCACCTGCGCACCTGCCACGCCGCTTGCGACGCAGCGACGCAGCGACTTGGCCTTCCTCTGCACCCGGCGATTGGTGCACGCTGGGTCCTGGTATGCATGCACTCATCCGCGTTCCTCAGCACGCACCCACTCGTCTCGCCTGACCAACTTTTTGCAGAGGGCAGCCGCGCATAACACCTTGATTCAGCCGACATTGAGCCGACCACGTGCCGTGACGACGATGCATTTGCCGCGTATACTGCCGCTAGTGCCGCTCCAAGCCGCCGCAATACTTCCGAATTGCGTCTGGTCAGAGATATGGCGTGCCGGCCGACGACCCGGCTGCTGCCCTTATCTACGTTCCGCCGCCCGCCCGCTCACCCCTTCCATGGTCGCGCGACTTTTCCTTCCGAGTCGGAAGTCGCGACGCGTTCAACGGACAGCACGCGACGCGCCCCTCAGGTCTTTGCTCACGGCCGAATATGCCTCGATCGACGTGGCCGGCGTCGTGGAGCGGCTTCGCACCGCCAGCGGCGATCCTTACTGACGGCGGCGGCGGTCCGTCCCCTGACACACGACAGGACCGAATCTCCGCCCCATCGCCAAGTCGCGGCGCAACATGCAACATGCCACATGCCAACAGGTACTGTGCGCCCGTCTTCCGTCCTCAACTGTACGCCGTTCAATGGCCCAGCATTGCCCGTGGTCAAGGCCGTCTTTCTGTCGATCACATGCCGCAATCGTCAGATCCGGCATGTTGGGCCACCGGCTGCACTAGCCATGCAATGGCCAACAGTCAGCGGGCACCACTAGCCCTGGTGTGACCACCAGCCATGGGCCGCCGGCACGCCGGTGTGCGCCGCGCCGATACCGCCGGCTTTGGTCGGGCACCACTGAACTTCTTGCCGCAGCTATCCGCCGGTTCGTCGATCCAAAAGTCTTCTGAAACCGGCAAGAAGCCGGGTACTACGTCATGGTGCAATACCACCCGGCTTCCATGCCACCGTCCGGTTATGGACGCGTCGAGAGAGGAGACGCCCGCTAACTCCAAATGCCGGGATCGTGCCGCCGGCCAAGGTCGGCCGGTCAGGTTCTGAAATTTCGAGAGAGACGTGCGTGCTTGCTCCTGGTCAGTGCTCTCACTGGAATTCTGGCTTTTGACTGCCTTGGATTGTCTTGATCGTTCTTGAAACACACTATCTCACTAACGGCTCGGCGGCGGGTTTCTTCGTTGGAGAACGCGGGCTCGCACTCGCGACGCTGACACTGGGATCGTTCGCAAGCGGCGCGTAAGCGGTCTTCTCGAACCGCTATGTCTATCACGATTTTCACAAACAATGCGAAGTAGTGGAGTTGTGAGAGTTGAGGCCGTCAATGGGTGGAAAGCGTGTGGGTGCGCTAGAGAGAATAGTGAGTATCGACAGAAGCCATGGCGACGTCCACTAGCTGACAATCAGAGATCACCTTGCGACACACAACGAAAGCCCACAACGCCTTCACGGCAGCTGAACATCCACTCGCCTAACGCGTCCGAGCACTGAGTCAGTCAGGCAGTTACCGGGATTGAGGTGACGACTGGTCAGGCTTCGTGTATTACCTCACCTCGTGACGCTCTTCCTCGTGCTGCCACTGCCCAGTCACCTGTCTGAGTGGTCGAGGCGAACTCACTAACGCGTGACGCGTCTTAGCAAGACAAGGGGACGGTTCCAAGTGTGGGTGACTCGAAGTCGCATCATCACCTCGCGCAGTATCCTCGTGCTGTGCCTCCACGGGCTGAGGTGATGTCCAGGAAGCATCTGCAGGTTGCCGCGTTATTGCGCGGGAACCAGAAGAATCCCGAAAGTGTTGGCTCTTGGAAAATCGGCGGTGCACGAGGCGCAGCACTGGCTCAGTCAATCTCACGCCGTGTACACGTTGGGTTACCATACTTCTGAACACGACAGATCGTTACTGATCTCATATCTACGATTCAGAGACGACACTGGAGCTAGATTGTCTGTAGCCGAGGAGATCGGCCTCGGCCACTCTGGTTGTACGGTCTCCGAGAAGTAGACCAGCGCCGAGGCTGCTCAGCGGCGATCCCCCATCTTGTCCTTCCGGGGAAAGATCGGAAACTGCAAGCGAGGGGGGTCAACTCTGGTCCGCCCTCGGCCACGCAACGTGGTGCGGTCGCCGGATCCCAGCGTCCATGCATCGCCCACTACTCCCACTCTGACTTTAATGCGGGGCAGAGTGCGGGACAGCATCAACAAAAACATCACTAGCGTGGTGCTATCAGATAGACGCAGGGACAGCGGTACGATAGCTTGCTGGAACGCCGATTTGTCAAGATCGCTAGTAAGCGATGGCCGGCGGCATACCCGATCGCAAGGGCTGCCCTCACCGTGCATGCCAGTGGTCACCTAAGGTGCTTTAGGTGACCACGGGGCAAGCCCTTCAGGCATCTTCAGGCGCCCCGCCCTTGAGACTTCTAGGTCCGCTATGTATGAGACCCAATGAAATCGCCGCGATGACGTTAAGGTTTCCTCTCCCCGTGTGTCCACCGAGCAAGTCTCCCCTGTCTTTTGATGGTCCTTTGGACTTGACTACGGATGAGGTGGCCGCTGGGATGCTCGCTAGGATGGCCTACGGGCTGCGTGCGAGCTGGCCCACGGGCGCTGGGCACGCTTGCGTTTGCTCTGACAGGGTGCGACTACTTCGCATCAACAAAGGACAAGGCACGTGAAATGAGCGTCGGCCAAGCATTACGAGGATCCGAACAGGCGGTTTTCATGACGTCGCAGGCGATACCAATGAAAATGCAGAAGGCTACATATAAATGGAGTGGCTTGAGAGTCTTGCCCACGTTGGATCTCTAGACAGCGACATACACCATGTCCGACCCCCACAACGACAAGAACGACCAGAACGGCGGCGGCGAGGTCGCCAAGACGGCGGAGGGCACGACGCCCATCCCCCAGCCCAAGGAGACCATCTTCCTCGGCAACCTGCTCGACCTCGACCTGAACGACAAGATGGGCTCGCTGTGCCGGCTTGCGGCGTTGTACGGCGAGATCTACCAGCTCAAGCTCAAGGAGTATGTCGTCTTCCTCTCGTCGCAGCGCCTCGTGCACTACATCTGCAACGAGCAGAAGTACCACAAGTTCATCTCGCAGCCGCTCAAAGAGGTGCGCGCGTTTGCCGGCGATGGTCTCTTCACGAGCTACACCGGCGAGCACAACTGGGAGCTTGCCCACCGCATTCTAGTCCCCGCATTCAGCCCTGTCGCCATCCGCAAGATGCAGCCGATGATGTGCGACGTCATCACCCAGATGCTCATGTTCTGGGAGCACCACGCTGGCCAGCCCTTCGAGGCCGCCGACCAGTACACCCGTCTCACCTTTGTGAGTACTGCACAGTAGGTTAAAGCTGACAAGCAGGACACCATCGGTCTCTGCGCGTTCCGATACCGGTTCAACTCGTTCCACACGGAAAAGGTGCACCCCTTCATCGACATCATGGTCAAGCTGCTGTCTGAGGCGCAGAACCGCTCGTCTCGCCCGGACCTGATCCAGGCGATCATGCTCGGCAGCGAGCGCGAGTACCGCGAGGACACGAAGGAGCTGTGGCGCCAGTGTGACGAGATTGTGGCCGAACGTCGCCGTCACCCGGACCCCGAGGCTCACGACTTGCTCAACAATATGATCCTCGACAAGGACCCGAAGACGGGCGAGCACCTGTCCGACGAAAACATTCGCTTCCAGATGGTCACCTTCCTGATCGCGGGACACGAGACGACCTCGGGCCTGCTCTCCTTTGCGACGTACTACATGCTCAAGCACCCCAACATCTTCCAGAAGGCGCGCGAGGAGGCGGACCGCGTCATTGCCGAGGCGGGCGGCAACCTCCTCAAGATCAACCCCTCGCACCTGACCTACATCGAGGCTTTGCTCAAAGAGAGTCTGCGTCTCCAGCCGACCGCGCCGGCTTGGGCGGTCACCCCCGTTTCCGAGGAGGGCGACATTCTCCCCGGCGGCTTCAAGGTCAACTACGGCCAGTCCATCGCCGTGCTCCTGCCCGCGCTCGGACGCGACCCGGATGCCTGGGGACCCGACGCGGACGAGTTCAATCCCGAGCGCTGGCTTGACGGGCGCGAGATCAAGGAGGACGCGTGGAAGCCGTTCGGCAACGGTGCGCGCGCGTGTATCGGCCGTATCTTTGCGATGCAGGAGGCCATTCTCGCTGTTGCGCTCATCGTGAACCGTTTCGACCTCACGATGGCCGACCCCGAGTACGACCTCGCCATCAAGCAGACGCTCACGATCAAGCCCAAGGACTTCAACATCATCGCGCACCCCCGCAAGAACAAGAACCAGTCGCTCCTCTCCGAGCTCCTCGCCGGCGGCACCGCGAGCACCAAGAATGACAAGGTCGACACGGCTTCGCACCAGCAGTCCTCCGCTGCCGTGGCCAAGAACGGCGAGAAGATGTATGTCTACTACGGCTCGAACTCGGGTTCGTGCGAGGGCCTCGCGCGCGAGGTCGCCGCCGAGGCCAAGGCCAAGGGCTTTGACGTCACGCTTGGCGAGCTCGATACGGCGTGCACGAGCGGCAAGCTGCCGACCGACGGCCCCGTCGTCATCGTAACGGCGTCGTACGAGGGCCAGCCGACCGACAACGCGCGCATCTTTGTCGAGGCGCTCAAGAACCTCCCCGACGGCTCCGAGAAGGGCGTCAAGTACTGCGTCATGGGTGCCGGCCACCACGACTGGGCGGCGACGTTCCACCGCATCCCCAAGTTTATTGACGAGCGCATCGCGCAGCTCGGCGGAGAGCGCTTCATGCCCCTCTCGCTCGGCGATGCCGGTGGCGACATTCTCGAGGACTTTGAGGACTTCAAGGAGAAGCTCTGGGACCACTTCAAGGGCTCGAACCCCACGCCGAGGGGTGGTGTCAAGGTCGAGGCGCCCGAGGAGGACATCAAGGGTGGCGCTCCCCTAAGCCCCGAGATGAAGATGAAGATTCTCCGGCCAGTCTGAACCCGACCGGCGACCACTTCTCGACGGGCATCTCGAGCGTGGGCGAGATTGTCTCGCAGAGCATCCTCACCGAGGCGACGCCCAACTGTCCTCAGACCAACTATGTCACGATCAAGCTGCCCGAGGGCCTGCAGTACCGCGCGGGCGACTACCTCGCTGTCCTGCCCAAGAACCCAGAGCCCACCGTCGAGCGCGCACTCAAGCTCTTCAACCTGGACCCGAACGACAACATTGTGCTGAACATGCCGACGTCGTCGCTCCCTAGCGGCGTGCCCATCCGCATCGGCGACCTGCTGTCGTCGTATGTCGAGCTCGGTCTTCCCGTGTCGAAGCGTGTGCTCCCCAAGCTTGAGCAGTTCTGCGCCGACCCGCTCGACAAGCAGCGCATCAAGGCGCTCGAGGACAACTACACGCAGGCGGTCACCGAGCCGCGTCTCGCGCTCGCCGACCTGCTCGAGCAGATCCCGGGCTGCAAGCCGCCATTCGGTTTCTTCCTCTCGACCCTGCCCAAGATGAAGATCCGCCAGTACTCCATCTCGTCAACGCCGCTGAAGAACCCCGAGGAAGTCTCGCTTACTTTCACTGTGCACACCACCCCGAGCAAGACGGGCAAGGGCTCGTACCTCGGCGTCGCGAGCAACTACATTGCCTTCCTGGAGCCGGGAGACTGCCTGAACTGCACCGTCAAGTCGTCGCAGGAGTTCCACCCGCCGGTCGACCCCGCCGTCCCCATTGTCATGTTCGCGGCTGGATCGGGCATCGCCCCGTTCCGCGGCTTCATCGAGGAGCGCGCGTTGCAGAAGGCGGCTGGACGCGAGGTGGGCAAGACCGTGCTCTACTTTGGCGTGCGGACACCGAACGAGATCTACCACAAGGACATGCTCGCCGAGTGGGTCGAGAGCGGCGCGCTCGACTTCCGGCCCGTCCTCTCGCGCTCGGACGCGACCGAAATCCCGGGCTTCCCGAAGGACAAGGTCCACACCGTTCCTGGGTGCAAGTATGTGCAGGACCGCGTCGCTAAGGAGAGCGACGACATTGTCAAGCTCTTTGATGACGGCGCCCAGTTCTATACTTGCGGAAGCGGAGCGCGCCTCGGCTCCGGCCTCAAGAAGGTCCTTCTTGACATTATCAAGGAGCAGCCGCGCTGCGCGGGCAAGGACCCGCAGCAGATCCTCGACAAGCTCGCAAAGGACAGGTACAGGACTGACGTTTTCCTGTAAATAGGCTTAACACATGGACTCAATGGTTAGATAGAATATAGTATAAACTGGATGCATAGTGTAAACCCTTCTTGCGTCTCCGAGGCTGGCGACGTCGGTACGGCTGCCTGCGATCCATTCCTATCGCCACCCAACGGCCGGGGCTCCAGGGCCGCGCTCTGTCGCTTTGTCACCGCAGCCACGCTCAGGCTTGACGCCGTGGGAGACTAACCCCTGGCCGGGGCTCGACCAACCACAAGCTGAGCATTCCAGACCGACGATTTCTACGCGCTGTCGCCCGACCGACCTCCGCCGACCCAAGCACCGGATCATGCATCACCTCGACTTGGGCTCGACTACTTCTTGCCACCTCTTCCTCCATCTCCATCGTTGATTATTCTCCAACTCGTCTACTCACACCCGGTCTGCGCCCTTCATCTAGACGTGTAGACACTACAAGTGACTGCCACCGACCTCACGCCACTACTGCTACCATGTCGTTCCCCGTCCTCCGCAACTCTGCGCTGCTCGCGCGCAGCATGCCCCGCGCGATGCCCATGGGCGTGCGCTTCCGCTCGACTGCACCTGTCCGTGCCGCGGTCAGCTCGACGACGCCGTCCATGACCACCCCGCCGGCATTCCTCGGCGACGCCAACGCCGCCGCCGGCCCCAGCACCGGCATCAAGCTCGAGGCGTCGCCGCCCCCGCCGCGCCCGAGGCGCAAGATTGCGAGCAAGAAGGCTCCCCTGACCATGGTGAGTGTGGAAGTGGAGCGGTGCGGCGGATCATAGTTGCGGTGTTCAGCACCCGCGTGACGCTCGTCCTTCTGCTGTCAGACCCCGCGGCGCTCAGCTAACCGCAGACGCCGGAAGCCATCAAGCGCCTCGAGGCGCTGCAGGCGAACCCAGCCGAGCCCAAGTTCCTGCGCATCGGCGTCAAGACGCGCGGCTGCGCCGGCATGGCGTACCACCTCGACTACGTCCCGCAGCCGGGCAAGTTTGACGAGGTCGTGGAGCAGGACGGTGTGCGCGTGCTCGTCGACTCGAAGGCGCTATTCTCCATCATCGGCTCCCGCATGGACTGGCGGGATACCAAGCTCAGCGCGGGATTCGTGTTTGACAACCCGAACATTGTCGACACGTGCGGGTGTGGCGAGAGCTGTGAGTATAGCTAGGTAAACAGGGAGGTGAGCTGACAGACAGTCAACATCAAGTTCTGAGCGAAAGGAGCATCGTGTATTAGATTCGGCATAGAGAACAGCATTTATGTAACAGTAGCGCATTGGCAGGAAAGCCAGAGGACGAGCGACTTCGCTCGGATCGATGGAACGGGCTGAGTACTGACTCTGGGCCAGGGAACTGCGACCCGGAAACGGAGAGGGGAGACGGCCTGCAAGCAGATTCCTGATCTGAGTTGGGCTAGTTCCTTAGCAGCAGGAAGAGCGAGAGTGCGCCGAGCTCGCGTGAGTTGCGTGTGAGCAGTCAAGAGTTCGTTCTGTGCATCTGGCAACCTTGGATCGCTTGAGCTTTTACCTGTCCCTGTAATGGCGCATGCAGCGTGGGACAGTCGGAATGCAGCCCGTAGCGCCGACGCTCAGCCTGCGAGCGTAGCCGTGAAGTCTCGTGAGGCCGACAGAGTCTTGATAGATAAGATGTGGTCGGTATGTCGGTACATCGGAATCAAGGTCCCAGGTCAGGCCCGGACAGGCCCGGACCGGCCGTTACAACCGTATCACGCGTCTCACCTGGTCATCAGCTGCCCATTGAGCAGATCACCGAGTCGTCTTCTCTGAGAAGAGGGGTCCCCACAGAGATAAACTGAGGGGAAAGACTCTCCGGACTCTCCGATCCACGGCCATCCTGCCCCGGCTCAAGTGAATGAAGTGAACTCGAGAGTGCGGCGCGGCGACCCGCCCAGCACCACGGAGCAGCGATCGCCGCGAACAAGGTCGGCGGTGAAGCCCGCTAGACATATCGGGGAAACCGACCTGGACGGAACTGCGTCTACGTAGCGGGGGTTCGATTCCGCCCCCGCATCTCCTCCTCGCCCCCTTGCTTCCCCAGTCCTCCCTGGGTGGCGCACGGCGGGCCGCTGATCGACCGGGAGGCCGGGGGGCCGCTGTGGCTGTGCCGTGCATACATAACTGCACTGTCTTTGGCGCGCGAAAGAAACGATGGGAGACATGGCCACGAGACTTGATCGTGTGACTGCCGTTTCTGCTGAACGGGACGCCACTGGGAGTCCGTCCGGCGCTCAGTTCTCCTTGGCTGCTGCTGTGAAAGAGCTCCGACACCCTGCTTGCAGTCTTGGCGCTCCATCTAAGCCCCCCACACGCGAGGTCTCTTGCCCACTCCCACTTGTCCATTTACTGTACCCTGCACTTTCTCTCAAGTCCCTTATCAACTGCATATATTCTATATGTTGAATTCTAGATTTATCGCATCGTGACGACCTCCTCGGCGGACGTGGGGTCTGATCGTCAGTTATTACAGTCCAAGCTAGAGTTAACTCACGGATAGCGACCGTGTCGTCAAAGTCCTGCTTCTTGGCACCCATCTTGATCGCGACAGCGAATCCCTGGAGCATCTCGTCGCTTCCCTCGCCGATGAGGTGGAGGCCGACGACCTTCTCGTCCTTGCCCTGGCAGATCATCTTGTAGCTGGTGGGCTGCTTGGCGTCCTCCTCCAGCATGGCGTTGGACATGGCGCGGAACGACGTCTTGTACACCTTGATGTCGTCGTCGCCGTACTTCTTGCGCGCGTCTGGCTCGCTGAGGCCGACAGAGCCGATGGGCGGGTGCGAGAAGACGACGGAGGGAATGTTGTCATAGTCGAGCTTGTCGTTCTTGTACTGCGCGGGGCCGAAGAGACGGTTCGACAGGCGGCGGCCGGCCGCGATCGCCACGGGCGTCAGGAGAGCCTTGCCCGCCACGTCGCCCAGGGCGTAGACGTCCGGAACATTCGTCTCCTGGTACTCGTTGACGGGGATGTCGTTCTTCTTGTTGACCTCGACGCCGGCGTTCTGGAGTCCAAGGCCCTCGACGTTCGAGTGGCGGCCAATGGCCCAGATGAGGCAGTCGACCTCAATGTCGATGTTCTTGCCGGTGAGGCGGAGGCCGGTGGCCGTCTTCTCAACCTTCTCGACACCCGAGTTCTTGTGCACGCGCATGCCAGTGTGCTCCATCCAGGGAACGAGAACGTCACTGAGCATCGGGTCGAACGTACGGAGAACGTGCTCGGTACGAATGAGCAGGTGCGTCTCCGTGTTGAGCGAGTTGAAGACACCGGCAAGCTCGACGGCAATGTAGCCGGCACCGACGACGGCGACGCGCTTGGGCTGCTCCTCGAGCTCGAAGAAACCGTCAGAGGTGATACCGTACTGGGCACCAGGGACCTGCTCCTCGGTGGGAACGGTGGGGACGCCGCCGACAGCAATGACAATCTTCTTGGCCTTGACCTGGTACTTGGAGCCGTCCTCCTTGGTGATCTCGAGGGTGTGGGGATCGACAAACGAGGCGTGGCCCTCGTGGTAGTCGACGCCGTCCTTGGCAAGGTTGCGGTCGTAGATGCCGTTCAGGCGCTTGATGTACGCGTCGCGCTTCTCCTTCAGGTACGGCCAGTTGAAGTTGTCCGCAATCTTCTTGTCCTCGGCCTCGGTACCGAAGCCGTAAGACGAGGCGTGGCGGATGCCCTCGGCGACCTCGGCAGTGTACCACATGACCTTCTTGGGAACACAGCCGACGTTGACGCAAGTACCGCCGAGACGGTGCGAGCCCTCGACGAGACCAGCCTTGGCGCCGTAGGAGGCAGCACGACGGGCAGTAGCGAGACCGCCAGAGCCGCCGCCAATGACAAAGATGTCACTGCGATTGTTAGTCACTTTCTCATATGGAGCGTGCCAGGCAAGGGAGGCAGGGTGGACTGCGTATGACCGCCCAGATCCAAACCGTCAACATCGCTATCGGCTTGATAACGTCCTGGTAAAGCCCACTTCCTTCACATCTGTAACAGCATCGAGCACGCTGCCGTCGCATCAGAGTACTCACTACTCGCCGACTTCCTCAGCCTTCTGGATGGGGAGAGGGGGCATGTTGATTCTGCTAGTGGATGAGAAGTAACGCTGGGGAGGGATGGCCCGGGCAAGACGAGCTGGGCGGGCAAAGGACGAGTTGCGGGTGTTGGGGATGAGACCGGTAGTGGTGGAGACCGAGCGCTTGAGCTGTTGGACGGTGGAGTTACGCGCAAGCGCGGTAAAGTGGTGTGTGGTAGTGAGCATGCAGCGATGGGCTACGTTGCGAAAACAAGATGTCTCTTTATAGGAAGGTCGCTCTGGCTGCCGATGAGCGCATGAGATGCAATCGAAGGCCAGGACCAGGCTCCATGCTGCGCGTGCTCCGCATCCCAGCCAGCCTGCGCCCTTTCCCCGGCTGTGATGACTGATCCTGGATCTTCCAGTCACCGACTTTGGTCAGCCAACCTCCCAAATTTTGGTTCCGCCCATGACGACATTCCGAACATCTCAATGCTCAGCGGTGTCTGCCCGGACCTCGGCGTTTGCTCCTGCACTTGGCGCCAGCGCTGCCTTGGTCATCGCCGTCGGCCGCGTCTTCGACGGCACTTGTGCGCATTCACCCGACACTGAGGCTCTATCGCGATTAAACACCATAATGCATGGAGGAGGTAAAAAGTAAAGGAGAGGGTTTGTACAATGAAACGACTATGACAAGGGTATGTACCTCGCATGGTGGACGAGAGAGACAAAAAGAGTAAAAATATAGTAGTAATGCGAGGATGAATGAGTGAAGTGAAATGTCTGGAGTAATGAAATGGAACCTTCTTTCGTTTTTGTCTTTCCTTGCTGCTGCCGTGTTGTAATCTTGCAATAGTATAGTGGATAGAAATGTGTGTGGGGTCTGGTATGTTGTAGGTGATAGTGGTGGGGGTGGTAGGGTGATGCGGGTCTGTAGTCGGACAAGAGGATAAAGGTAGTAGAAGAGATGGCGCGTCTTCTTAAGCCTTCTCAGTGTTGAGCTCCAAACCCCACACGATGGGCGGGGTAGGCTGTAACTCGATGCGCGGCACGGAGCTGGCGCTTGCGGCGCTCAACGTACTGTCAGAGGTGGCTCCAGGGCTGCCGGGAGCAGTCGTGGGAGCCGTGGCGGGAGCCTTCGGGTTGCGCTCGGAGACGGTACGCTCCATTTGCGTACGGCCCTTGGGCTTGGAGAAGAAGTTGAACTCGCTTCCCGACCGAACGATACGCTTACCGCCGGGGCTGAAGGCAGAGACAATAGAGCTCCGCTTCGAGGCAGGGTCGGCGCGTAATGACCCTCCGCGCTTCAGGCGAGGGGTCTCGACAGACGTAGTGGAGGGAGAAGCCACAAGGGACGCAGTGGCAGCGTTTGAGGACGGCGGAAGCGCAGCAGTTGTGGTGATCGGGAGAGGCGCAGCGAGCGTCGGCGGTGATGAGGGGATGACCAGGCCGGCGACCGGAGCGACTCCACGAATGGAGCCGACAGGGGAGGGTGACGAGGAAGGGGATTGGGAGTGGGTGGCAGAAGGGGCTGCGGAGTGGGTGGCTGAAGGAGTGGCCGATGGCATGGCCGAGTGGACCGTGGGTGGCGAGCGAGCAGACAATCGGGACGGGTCGTGGCCAGTACGCTTTGATGGCGGGAACGCCTTGATGCGACCAAAGACTCGTTTCGTGTTCTCGACACCTCGAGCAGCGAACAGCGGCGACCTAGTCTTGCCGCCAGGGCTGCGCTCCAGATCCTGGTCAGTCTCAGACTCGGAGGTCGTAACGCTCTTGCGCAGACCTGAGCGTACGCTCATGGAAGGAGTGCGCAAACCACCAGTACGCGATGACGGCCGCCGACCGAGGACCGAGCCAAGACCACGGGCAAAGCGAGAGTAGGTCTGGCCAGCAGCGTTCGCGCCGTTGACAGCTTCCGGAATCTTGCGGCTGTCTAGCTGCTCCCAGTCCTCATCACCAAGCTGAGCGAACGTGCCGCCTAAGTCAACAGACAGACGTTGATTGACACGGTCGATCGAAGGGAGGTGGCGGTGACGCCGGATGAGGAGGTTCGGGCTGCCTTGATGAGGCGAAGGAACGGAAATGACGTCCGACACTGAGAGGCCGCTCGAGGGAGGACCGGAAGGCAGGCGCACGTTGAGGTACTGATCCTGACTGATCGTAATGTCGCCAGGCTGCACAGTGGACTGCTCGGGAGCAGGGGTAGTGCGAATACCCAGAGCGTCGATAGGCGGAAGCTTGATGGAAGGAGCGTCGGGAGAAGCATCCTTCGACGAAGTTGAAGCCACACGTGCGACAGGGGGCGCGGGCGCAGGTGGAGGTGTTGTGACAGTTGTCACAGACAGAGGCGCATCCTCGTGCACGGTCTCCATGGCTGTGACAGGTGACTCGACCATGGGCTGCGCGGGTTCTTCAGGAATGACAGGGGCAGAAGGCGAGCTCTCCACTGGAATGTCGACCTGCTGGACAAGTGGTTGCTGAGGGGGTTGAGGAGTCGTCTCAATCTCAGCAGACACAGGCTCTTCAATGGGAACTGGTTCGGGAGAGTCACGGATGCTGGCTGTTGCGTTGCTAACCGGCTGGGGTTCGGAATCAGTGGCTGAGTGACTTCTCGGCACGGCCACCTGCTCCTCGGCGTCGACAGGCTCGTCCTCGCTTTCGTCCTCGGAGAGGGCGAACTCGCTGTCCTCAGCAATGTCGGAGACGTCGTCTTCCAGCTCGTAGTCCTGGCACGTCCAGTCGAACGACTCCAGTTCCTTTGCAAACTCGGCTTGCACACGAGCGTAGACCTCGTCGCTATTGAGTGGGCTCTGTTCGCGGTCGGAGTCTCTGCCGTAGTCGTGTCCAGTCATGTCCACCGTCGGTGTCTCCTCAAGACACAGACGGGGGAAGAACTGCGTATTGTACTCGGCGACAGGGTTGATTTCAAGCTGGAAAGGATCCTGATAGTCACCTTTGTCGACTGTAGCCCAGTCACTGAGGGTGAGAGTCAGCTGTGAAAGTAGACTCTCAAAGAGGGGGAACACTTACACGTTGGTGAAGTACGGATGCACTTTCACACTAGGTTCTGTCAGACGGAACATTGGTTCCTTTTGCAGGAGCTGTCAGGGTCAGTGCGGTTGTTCACGCATGCTCAAGATAATCGCAACTCACGCCGTCGATAAAGTCGTAGGTGGTGCTGTCGATGCGGTAGCGCTCTTTCAAGTAGCTCCTCGGCTTGGTCTCACCGCGGTACATGGCGTCCCATCGGGAGTTGATGACACGCTCGTACAGCTCAGCGTTGCTCTCATCGTCGTGGCCACGGAAGGGCACGCGACCCGTCAGGCACTCGCACACGATGCACCCCAAGGCCCACCAGTCGATGGCGTAGGTGTAGTGGTTGCGCTTGATCACTTCGGGTGCGAGATACTCTTGCGTTCCAACGAATGAGTAAGCACGATCCCAGGTTAGCTCGCCATTGCGGTACGAGCCGAAGCCCTTGCCCGCGTACACTGGCGGAATGCCCTTCCCCTCGATGTAATCGGCAGGAAGCTTGACCGGTATGGGGTCGCCACGATATCCGAAGCTCTTCGACAGTCCAAAATCGGCGAGCACAGCATGGCCATGCCAGTTGAGGAGAATGTTTTCGGGCTTGAGATCGCGAACGAGAATGCCTTCTCGATGACTGGGATTAGCGTTGAAACCCGTAACAACTCACAGTGCTTCAAGACCTGCGACGATATCACAGGTATAGAATCGCGTTCGCAAGGGCCCAAGGATGCCGTGGATCTCCATTTGTGTCGCGAGGTCTCCTCCGGGGTAGAACTCCATCACGAGGTAGAAGTTCTCCTTGTCACTGAAGGAGTAATATAACCGGGACACGAACGGGTTGCGGCGGTCGGCTGCAAAGTGCTTGAGGATCTGCTGCTCCGCGAGTGTGTGGTCGAGTTCGTCGTTTGCCAGCACTGCTCGCTTGGAGATGGCCTTCATCGCGTGCACGCGAGTCGTACCCGCATGCTTGACAAGAAGCACCTGCGAATTGTCAGTCTCCGTTGTCTTCTCTCCATAGACGACGTACCCTTCCTGCGCAGCCCTTTCCGAGAACACGGATCAGCTCAAAGTCATTCAGCTTCGGAAGCTTCCTGACGTGGTCGGATCTGTAGCTATCGTCGCAGCTATCCCGCGAGACGTCGGGAGAAGGAATACCCGCACTGCGCATCATGCTCAGGTGCTTGGCAGCCTTGCCGGCGTTGGCAGCGGTCTGAGAGAGGGATGATGTGGACGACATATTCTTAGGGGCCGCCGAAGACGATGTCTCTGTTGTCCGACCCGCACCCGCTGTAACAGTCGCGAGATCCTCCCTTGGCGGTGTCGGTGGCGGAGAGGCAGGCAATGGGATTTTGTACGGTACCGAGACCATGTCTGGCTGCGCCGCAAGTCCTGGAAAGATGACAAGAAGGAGCAATGGCAATGGGCTGCAGTGCTTTGTCCGGGGTTAGGGCAACGAGAGGGAAGGAAGGGCGTCCAAAGCGTCTGAGCGTTGCTCAGAAAAACCTCGACTGTTGACACTTAGGCGAATGGACACCGTGATGTTGAAGCTGGGGATCTCGAGCAAGCTCTGTGCGCTTCCTTCTTTTCGGAGACTGGGCAATGATATGATCGCCCAGAAGATGATTCCTTGAAGCGACAATGGCACAAGGATACACCGACGAGTACAATGGTGGTCGTCGGTCGAGCGAGTGGTTGTGCCGGTCCACCGCAGGGTATGGGAGGTCGGAGGAGACGGCGACTGGACAGGGGCAGATTGTTAGGGACTGCCGCCAAGGGGTATGGTGGTTAGAGAACGGTGCCGGCTAGGAGGTAGCTGTAAGAGTGGAGTCGATGGGTATAAACGAGAGAAAGGAGGTTGGTGCAGAGAGGAGCCGGCCCGAGAGAGGAGGATGGGTGAGAGGAGTCGGAGAGGGATGCAAGAAATGGAAGAGTCAAGGATCAAGGAGTGGATCGAGTTGAGACGGAGGGCGACGGGCGTTGACGGAGGGCGGTTGGTGAGGAAGGGGCGAGGGAAGGGGTTGCCGGGGGGAGGAGGGAGAGGAGGGAGAAGAGGTGTCGGTGTGCGGGATAGTGAGGTGGTGATCGTAAAGCGTTGAGTGGACTTGAGTTGTGTTCGAGGAGGCGACCCGGCGACTGGCGGCCTGGCGTGGTAGTGGTGTCGCTGGTGTCGCTCTAAGCTCTAAGGACCACGGACAAGCATCCAGGACGGGGCCAGGACATGCAGGACGGCCAGGACAAGTTGGTTGGGCGTCAGGTTGTCTTGAGCACAGCAGTCCGTTCAGGTAGCCAGCAGACCATGCAGGGCGTAGGGTGTGCAGGGGAGACTTGGAGACTTAGCTTGGCCTTGGTGATGCCTATGGCCTGCATGGTGTGCCGTCTGGCGCCCGACCGACCGACGCTCTTTGGTACTAAAATCCCGACCCTGAGGTCTGCTAAGGGCCCGGCCACCAGGCGCCCTCAGCCCTCCGGCTGCAGCTCACTCCACCTCCTGCATCCACCCTGCTGGGCCGCCCTGCTCCCTGCGCCCGGTCTTCTGTCCACCTCACCATGCTCAGCTCTCTGGCCCGGGCAGCCTTGTCAACGTCGCCATCTCGCCACTTGAGCACGGGGACGGGTTCCATGCCGAACATTCCCACTTCTAACGTCCTCTCAGGCGAAAATAATCGGAGCAGGTAGGTTAGTGCAGCCTGCAGAAAGGGGGCTGCGACCTGCAGTGTCGAAAGTTGTCACCATCTGGCACACTGGCACACCGTTTAGGTGGTGACCGTAGCGCGTCGTGCTCAGTCCTACCTACCAGCCTGCAGCCTGGGTGGTTAAACTCAGTACGGATTTCTGGGCAAAGCTCAAACATGGGACCTGAACTTTCTTTCAACCAGGGTACACCGAGCGAGGAAAGGACAAGAGAGGCCTGCAGGGTAATAGGGGCGTTCCCGTGGAAGCGGCAATGACCAGTCTGCAGTATTCATTATTAGCCTGCAGGCAATCGAGTTATGTAATATTCACTGGGCTATCTGGCTATAGCGCTAAATTGCACTGCGCTGGTACTTTGCCTCTACTCACGAACCTTTGTGGAGTATGACTACCGCACCATGCAGCGCCAGACTGTGCTTTCCCGTCGCCTAGCACGTTGGACCGGAACGCTGAGAACAAGGTTGACGTTTCGGAGGGCCACGGCACAGTGTGTCTATGTGCTACAACAAAAGCCTGGCTGACATTGAGATCGAAGCCGAAGATTCAAGGAGCACGACTGGCGAACTGGCATGTATCGTGTGGCTGCAGGATGCATGACTACTGGCTGAAGTGATGCGTTACAGATATTCTGTATACCTTGAATCCCTGGTCCCTAGACCACAAGCCCGTCGCGCCCGTTGCCACCGATTCATACAGTGAGAGCTTCAGCCCGGTCGGGTTCCTTAGCCCTGCTCTAATCCTCAGCCGATTTTGACACTCCTGCTTGCCGAGATGAGACATTTGAAGGCCTCCAGAGCTGAGGGTTACATCCCAAGACACCGCAGTCGCAAAGTTAAGCTCTGCGTGCCCCGGAAGCGCAATCGTTGCATCTTTTGGTACAGCGAGCTACAGTCGAAGTCGAAGCAGGCGAACAAACAGTCTGTCTCTTTGCGTTGTTTGTTCGCCTGCTTCGACTTCATGATGAGGACCCGGCGGATACCTACGGTCTGGCCGTTCCGGCGCGGATCACAAAACCCCAACGTCACGACGTGGCCATGCCATTTGGCTGTTGAGGGATCCGGGACACAGTGCCCCATCTCACGCCTCTCGTCAGATGAGTTTGAACCATCGACTGGTCGAGTTCCCATAGCGAAGAGACGGGACGACCAAGGGACTGGTGGCCCGAGCGCTGTGGCGCAGAATTCAAAGTTCCTAGCCACCACATCCAGCGAACACGTCACCCCTGTCAAGTCGTAACGGACAGCCTACCAACGCTTAAGTGGAGGCCCAGCCCGCGATGGGCGGACTTCTCTGTCAAGTCCGCATCCACCTCCCAATAGGCTTGTTGGCTAGGCGTGCCACCATACATGCACGTGACCTCCTGGAACGGACTGCTTGGCTGTCCACTCAGGGCGTCCCGTCAGTCACATCAAGCACAGCGCGGGACGTAGAAGCGCGGAAGTCGGGATTCGAGGACCAGTTCTCAGAAGCTCGAAATCCAATGCACTTCCTGGTCAACTGAAAGACATTAAGAAGCACATGTACGATCTTCGAGAATGCAGCGAAGACAAGCGAAGACATCTGTATGCATTTGAAACTTGATAGTACAGCTTGCCGCAAGAAGTAGCCCTTGGGTAGCGCTGCCTGGATGCAAGCCAAAGATAATTACAGTCGTTCAGGCCAGGGTGCTTAAGGGGCCAAGTCCTATCGAGACACGAGACGAGTGACCAAATCGGGCCACATCCATTTCTTTCACACCTTCCTCCCCTTCCCTTCATCCTTCATATCTCATCTCGTCGTTGACATCCACCCCTCCACTCCTCCACAAAAGCCCACCACGACAGCGACCGGTGTTGATCACTGTGTTCCTCGCCTCAGTCGACTCTTCCCCAGCTACACTGTTCTTGCGCAACAACGACACAGGCTCAAAGGGCTGGATCCCCTCCACCTCCTGACACGCGTCGCGTCCATCAACCCTTCCGCCTTTCGACACCTTCGTCTTCCTTCCTCTTCTGGATAGAACCTTCGCTACCCCTTACATTCCCATTGCATCCCTCCCACCATGGCGGCTATGGTCGAGGCGCCGCAACGTCCGGCCCAGCACGTGCATATGCAGTACGAGTACGCGAACGGCATGACAGTTCAGGACGACGATAATTCGGATCAAGACATTCACGCCCACGCCCATCTCTTAGGCCACGGAGATGACCCCATGGACCGCGACATGGAAGAATACTACACCCAGCAAGATTACCAGAACCTGCAGGCTCAGCAGAACGTTTACAACCAACACATGGTCCAGTACCACAACGACGACGATGCCGACATGGACGACGACGAAATGTATTCCGACGAGTCATCAGAGGAGAGTGTGTTGCCGGACGAGAACATCGACTTCAGTCTTGTCTACGCTCTGTGAGTTGCAGCATCCACGCGGCGCTGACGTTTAGCCACACCTTCCTCGCCAACGTGGAAGGACAGGCCTCGGTGGTCAAGGGGGACAGCCTCTTATTGCTCGACGATGCCAACTCGTACTGGTGGCTCGTGCGCGTCCTGAAAACGGAGGACGTTGGATACATCCCGGCAGAAAATGTCGAGACGCCGTATGAACGTCTCGCTCGCCTGAACAAGCACCGCAACATTGACATCGCCGCCCCGACCGAGCTTGAAAAGTCCACCAACCCGTCGCAGCCTCGCGAGAGCAAGCTTAAGACGCTGATCGGATGGACGCGGAGGACGAGCCGTGGTTCTTTGGATTCGGAGGAGATCGAGAACCGCGAGGGCCGTCGTGTCATCTTCGCGCCTCCTACCTACGTCGATCACCCCGGTGTTACCTGGAGTAGCGATGAGGAGGACGATGACATGGAGGAAGATGAGCAGCACTTTGCCGACGACGAGGACCAGGAGCTTGGATATGAGGCGGAGCCAGATGACGGTGTGGAATGGGCTCAGGACGCCGTCGAGGCCATCCGCAGCGCTACAGATGCGCCTCAGACCGCTGCCAATGCTGGCGACACTGTTTCCAGGACCACCGTCGTCGCTGTTGCTGGTGCCGGAGTTGCATCCACTGCCATCGGTGCTGGCATCGCCTCGACCATTGTTACCTCCACCTCCACGCCCTCAAGTGCGTCAGACGCTGAGACAATCACGGTTGACTCCACTCGATCTGCGGCTGCCGTGGCGGCAACCGCGCCCTCCATCGTCTCTGGCACCGACTCTACTCCTGCGCAGAACCCGCAAGACGCGCAAGCTCAACCTGCACCCGTCCACCAGGCCGGTGAGCCGACTCGACAGGGCCCGCCAGCGCCGACCAACCAAGGAGACGTTGTCTCAGAAACACCGGCCAGCCCGACTGCCCCTGGCGCCCCTGCCGCTGTCGCTTCGACTGTTACAGGACTGTCCACCAATGCCCACCCAGCATTCCCTCCCGCTCCGGAGCGCTCGCCTTCCCCGGCTCGCCCAACATCGCTCCTCGCTCGCACCAACCCGACGCCGCCGCCCCATCGGGCCGGTGCTCTGTCTGTCTCACCCGAGTTCGATTCGCCGGCGCTCACGGCTCGCGACATGGCTGCTGTCACTCCTCCGCCGCCGTCTGCTTCGATCTCAGAGCACCCCTCAACACCCCAGTTCACTTCGGCTGGTTCAACCGAAACTCCCATGACTTCGTTATCTCTCACGCGCAACAGCCCGCACACGACGCCGTCGACGTCCCCTACCGATGGTCGTGCCGGCAGCAGCGCTCAACCTCGGGCCCCCATGTGGTACCTCAGCGCCTCTGACGTGTCGCGTCTCGCCACGTTGGTCCGCATCCGTGCCGAGAACGAGGGTGTCCAGGCCCGCCTTACCCACCTCGAGGAGTCGGATGAAGTTCAGCACTCCCTCTACGGCGAGAAGGTCGACACCAGCTTCCTGCACCCGGACGTGCGCTCCGGCTACGTTCACCTGCAGGCAAAGCTAGATGCCTTTGATCGCGAGATTGATGCCATCCTTGGCTCCCTGGCGGTCCCTGCCTGCTGAGCTGCTCAGTGATCAAAGTGACGGCCGGCGGACCACGATCTGAGAAACCTTCGATTTAGAGACGTACGAATCCAGCAGAGCTGGATGAGTTCATTTTTGGGTTTATTCGCTATCTACAACGTATGATGAGGTATCCGGACGACATGCCTACTCATCTCCCGCCATGGACAATGCAGAGGCAGCAACACGGCAATGAGTCACGAGAAAGACGCGGGTTCGTCTCTCAGTGACATACGGAGGATTGTACGACTAGTTAACGCTGTATCAGTGATGACCTCATGTTATTTGTGCTCATGCTCATGTGTTTTTCAGGTTGCAGCGCTGATAGTGCCTCAGATATTTCCTTTCTTGACAACAGCTCGGCTCCTCACCCGATAACTCGCCCCAAAATTACCTGATTTCTCCACCTCCAGCGTCTTCATATGCAACAGAAGACAAGGTCTGCACCGCTACGAACGTGGTCCTGTCGAAGAGGGCGTGTACGACCCGTGCGGGTTCCAAACCAAGCAGTAAAAGATCCATCCACCTCAGCGAACCAGCAGACGTCAGGACAGCTGCCCTCGCCGCTCCACCCCTCTGGCTGACATCGTCGGAACATCTTCGGGAAGATGACAGCCCTCAGGTATGTGCAATGTTCGACAAATTGTCTCCAATAGCCAAGGTCCGCACGCGTCTCGCAGAGGAGGGGCGCATTCCGACGCCTCGATCACCGAGACCTGAGTCGGATAACTGCGAGCGGAGGGATGGATATCCTCCCAGACCGACGCTGGCGGAGATAAGTAGGCACTCGACGCCCTCAGTGGCAGTGGAGTACGTCCGAGAGCCTTCTGTCGGTAACGATCATGGCCGCGGAGCTTTCGGAGCACAGAGCTCGCCGACTTGGCTGGCGTCAAGCACGCTCGTGCGATGCACAGTCGTGTGCGGCATCGCTCGTCATTGCCCTCACACCTGCCATTGCCCGACCACTCCAACGGCGAGCGAGGCTGCCGGCAAGCTCCTGTTCGTGTCCTACAGAATCCCTGCTCCATTCGACAGGAGGTGCGCACGTTTCAGTCAAACGTGCGCTCCGTAGTGAAGCTACTGCGGCCCGAACGCGATGCACAGTCGGGTTCGGCGCAGATAAGGACCTAAAACGGGCCGAGAAGGGTGCGTTGGAGCTAAGTATAACTCGAGCCTCAACGCCTCAGCATCGCGCTGGAGTTAACCGCGAGGCAGGGGAGCGGGCAGCGCTTGCCTCGCCGTTTGCAAGGACGGCCAGGCGGCCAGGGTACCTCAGCCAGCAGCACCACCGAGAATCCACCCAGGACAATGCAGCTTGGCTGACGCGAAGACGCCGCGCAGCCCACCCCGCCGCGCCGCCAGCTCCATTCAGGACCGGATTTGTGTTCACGACACACCCGGCAGCAAAAAAAAAAAGTTCGTGATCGCTGCTGCTTAGCATGTTCAGGGCTCCAATCGTCTGCTCGCTTTGTCGCGCACAGCCGTGCTGCAGTGCTGGAGGAAGCAGAGAGCGCGTCCTGACATTTCACGGCAGAGAGCGGAATTCGGGGCCTGGCTGGACGAGCATGATCTGAAAGGCACAGTGCTGGCAATGACGTCCCAGTGTCAGGGACAGGGGCCAGCTCCGACGGGCTGGTGGGTGTTGTAGTGTGCGGAGCGTCCCACTGTAGGCGGCGCTTCGCTCGAGCGTTACACTGACATACTTCCCCCAACTGATTTCTTAAACTTCTCTGGGAAGAGGTTATGCTAGCCTGAGAGCATGCAGATCACTATTTTCAACAGATTGGGAGACAGATAGCCGTGCGGTGGTGGCCAGAAAGAGTTCAACCGTGCCAAGGGCCTAGTTCCAAATCGGGATCCGCCTGCTTAGGGTCTGGAGCCAGGCACTGATCGTGCTCAGGAGACTTGGCTGCGATAGTGTGGATATTCGCGATTCCTCGCCGCCGTGTGCCTCGGCAACCACCATGACTCCTCCCCCATGCAGTTGCCCCGTCACGCCCTGCCAACGACCGGGACACCGTATGGAGCTAATCAAGCTTCACGAGCTTAGCCAATGGCTCTCTCTAGCGGCGACCCAAACCTCTCCTGTGGGTCTTACCCCGCTGTTGGCCTCCCTTTCCCCTACGACCTCGACCCACCCCCCGCCGGTTTGCGGATCGGTGGATCCTCGACCCTCGCTTGGCCATGGCTGCGCTGGTATTAATAAACTCACCCGCTGCCTTGCTGCCCGATCCCTCCCCCCTCCCTCCTCCTCACATCGGTATATCATCAGCTCTCACCCGTTGACGCCCGGTTTCTCGCCTGATCACCCCGTGCAGCCCGTCATGAGCCACGCACTCAGCAACACGAGCTCCGAGGAGCGCGCCGCACCCTACTCCGAGAAGGACAAGGTCGACGGCACCGCCGCCCGCGTCGACGATGCCGGCCCCAAGCGCCGCAAGCGTCACACGCTAGGCAACACCGCGACCATCTTTGCGTCTGTGAGTATGCCGTAGACTGCCGCCCACATGTCCGTGTGGGGCGTAGCGCCACCCAGGTGATTTGGGGATTGAGTGACTGATTACCAGGGCTCCGCCATGTTCTCCGATGGATACTCGAACGCGGCCATCGGCCCCGTCAACACGGTGCTGAACGCCAAGTTCCCAGAGGTCATGGACCCGAAGCATCAGGGCGCAAACCCGCGCGCGAGCTCGAACCGCAACCTCCTCTCCGCGATGGCTTTCGCCGGAATGGTGAGTACCAGAGCCAGCAACAGCCGGTTGCACAGCGCGCCATGATGTGTACCCGGCAGAAAGGCACCACATGACCTTGGCACAGCAGCTGACGTCAAAAACAGGTTATTGGCCAGCTGAGTAAGTCTCGAAGTCGCAAACGAGCCGGCAAAACGCAGCGGGAGGGGTCAGGTGACACCGCTCCTGTCGATCTCACGTGCCGTGCCAAGGCTCCATATGCTCCTAAACGAGTGCTGACAGGGACAGGTTTCGGCTGGGTCTCGGACAAAGTTGGACGCAAGCTTGGCATGTTCATCTGTACCGGCATGATCTTCGTGAGTGGCTTGCTTCCCGGGCGAAAGTGGCGCCTGACGTCTTCCCACAGGTCTTCTCGATTCTCTGTGCCGCCTCCTCAGGTCCCAAGGGCCACCCTCAGGTCCTCATCAACTGTCTGATTGCGTTCCGTTTCCTCCTTGGTATCGGTATCGGTGGTGAATACGTGAGTACCTGAAGGCACCGGGTGTGGCAGCCGTCGATTGTGGCGGCGATCATCATCGACAGCCCGGGTTTACACTGTGTGAAGGAAAAGAGAGCTGACGATCCAGCCCTGTGGCTCCGTCACCGCCGCCGAGGCGACTGAGAACACGGGTGTCAAAAAGAACCACCAGCAGCGTCTGTTCGTGTGGGCGACCAACTCGATGCTTGACGCCGCGTTCGCCATTGCGTGGTTTGTCGCGCTCGTCCTGCTCTGGATCTTCGGCTGGGACCACAAGAACATCATCTGGCGTGGCACGCTCGCGCTCGGTGCGATCCCGCCCCTGATTCTCATCATCGCGCGTCTCTTCATGGAGGAGCCCGAGGCATACAAGAAGAACTCGATGCGTCACACTCGCATCCCCTACTGGCTCGTCCTGAAGCGTTATTGGCTTCGCCTCATTGCCGTCTCGGTCGTCTGGTTCATCTACGACTTCATCACGTACCCCTTCGGCACTTACTCGGACGTCATTACGAAGAACGCCGCGCCCAACGCCACCATCTACGAGACGCTCGGCTGGTCGTGCCTCATCAACTCGTTCTACCTCCCTGGCACCATTATTGGCTCGTTTGTCTCCGACTGGCTCGGTCCCAAGTACACCCTCATCACCGGTCTCCTCCTCCAGGCCGTGTTCGGTTTCACTCTGTCTGGTGCCTACGAGCGCTTCTTTCCGCCCAACGGCCACACTCCCGGCGGCCTCGCGGGTTTCGCGATCATGTACGGTGTGTTCCTGGCCTGTGGTGAGCTCGGTCCGGGCAACAACCTCGGTCTCCTTGCCTCGAAGGCTATTGGCCCCACCGCAGCCCGTGGGCAGCTGTACGGCATCGCGGCCGCGATCGGCAAGGTCGGCGCCTTCATCGGCTCGTACTGCTTCACGCCCATGATCGACTCCTTCTCCAAGAAGTCCGAGTATCTCGGCAACACGGGCATCTTCTACGTCGGCTCGGCACTCGCCGTCTTCTCCGCCCTCGTCGCCTTCATCTTCATCCCCAACATCAGGGCCGACGCCATGATTGACGAGGACGCCCTCTTCCGCGAGTACCTCGCCGAGCACGGGTACGACGTCAGCCTCATTGGAGAGCCTGGGTATGTCGACCCCGAGGAGGTCACGGACATGAAGATTGGCCCGCAGCGCAGCAAGTAGGGCGGCGCACAGACGTGAGCGGGGTCTCAACGCCCCGCCTGTAGGGAACCGGCGGTTGCTATTGAATAACAGTGGTATAATGATGTATCTCTTGCTATGTGCGGATGAGAGCGAAATGTCGTTGGAGCACAAGGATCAACTGTGCTACCGCAGACGATCGACGCCTGCAACCCTGGAAATCGCATGTTGGTGCCACGGGCACGACGTGAGAGAGAAGAGATTGAGGCGTGCACGCCTATGAAGCAGAGTGAACATTATGGAAGGCAAGAAACGGTAGCCAGCGTACCGAGTAAAGAGGCTAGAATACACTGTGGATACATTGGTGGACAGGACCGTCTATCACTCTACTTTTTCCTGCTGCTCGGTGGCGGGCGACGCTTCTTGAACAAACTGCCACCAGCGGACGGCGCCGGAGCTGGCGGCTCAGCTGGCTCGGGTTTGACTGGCGGCTCCGGCTGTCCAGCCTCCGTCTTGACGTCGGGTTCCTGCTTGACCTCGGACGCCTCAGTGTGCTCAACCTTGACATCTTCCCGCGGCTCCGTCTTGACCTCAGCCTTGGCCCACGCCGACGGTCCCGCCCTACTTCCTTCCCCGTTCTGCTCCTCCTTCACTTCCGGCTCCTTCTCGCCAATCTTCTTCTCCTTCGACTTGAACTTGAGCTCGGTCAAAGCAGCGGGATCCCAGTCATCGTCGTCGTACGGGTCCGCGTGTTTCTTCTGCTGAATCTTGAACTCGCGCAGATCCTCGGGATCTTCCTCCGCCTTGCGCTTCTCGCCACCGTCGGCGCCCCCCTCGGCGGAGGGAGAGGGCACGACAACTTCCTCCCATTCTCCAACCTTTGTTGTGCGCCCCCGAACCATCTGCTCGATCTCGTACGAACTCGGCCCCTCCTCGCCCGGCGCTAGTCCTAGGTCCGCCGCACTGGAGTAGTTGGACCACTTGTCGCCGCTCGGCTTTGCGCGCTTTACCGGCGCGGGAGCCGCCTGCTGAATTGGCCGGCCGGTGTATACTCCGCCATCACGGGATGAGTGCGCTGCGCTCGCCGCCTGGTCGTCAGCTTACAGCCAGGCCAAAGAAGCTGAGAGAGAAGGAAGACTTACAGCCTCTATCCGCGCGATCTCGGCCGCATGCGCTGCCTTCTCACGCTTATCTCGCTCTCCACCCTTGTAAAGGTCACGAATGAAGCGTTCTTTGTTTCCCTGGTGCTTCAGACCAGACTCGTGCAGCCGCCGTGACTGACGTCAGTTGGTTGTAGAGGCGATCTAACTCACGGGAGCATCGTCGCGCACGAAGATGTTGCAGTACTTGCACCAGTACTGCTTCTTCGACACCCAGTATCTGAATCAAGTTAGCTCAATCCTATTGATCAGATAGCTGTGACGTACTCGGCCATGATGTGGGTGCTGACGTTAAGCGGGGATGGATTGTTGACAGACTTGTGCACTCCTGGAACAGATCGAGATACATGGTGGCGGTAATGGTGATCTAAAATGGAGGAGCGGATAAAGGCCGCTGAGTGCGGGGACTCCGCAACGCTCGCGCGTGCAGTGACGACGATGAGCTGAAGTGATAACGCTGGACATTTCGTTTCCTGCCTCACGATCGCAGGCTACACGATACAATGGTGTGTACTCACAGTTTCTGCGTTGTGGTTCTTTAACTGATCTCAGCACGGCGTCAAGCGAACAAAAGTCTCGCCCGAGGCGGCAGAGGCGAAGCGACTGAAGGAGCTGGGCAAGATCCAGGCGTACCTGACGCTGGAGGAAGACGTGCTTGCGCGCGTGAGTTCGTACTTTTTGCTGGCGATCTGACGAACAGAAAAAGGCAAAGGACTACTCTCCAGAGGCGCTGAAGAAGACAACGGAGCTGCTCGACCTGAATCCCGAGTTCTACACGGTGTGGAACTACCGGCGGCATATCTTGACGCGAGGTCTGTTCCCAAACTCGTAAGCTAATCCTCGACTGCATGGCCAGCTAACACACAGGAAGCCCGAAGAAATTGTCGCGCTACTCGGGGCTGATCTCCGTCTGACGGTAGCGTACCTCAAGGTGCACCCGAAAGTGTACTGGATCTGGACGCACCGCATGTGGTGTCTCGAGAACATCCCCAGGGGACCAGGCGACACGGAGGGCTGGCGAAACGAAATGTGGAAGGTCGAGTTTGGACTCGTCGAGAAGCTGCTCGAGTCAGATGCGCGTAATTGTAAGCTGCTGCAACGTAGCTTCCTCCAAGCTAACGCGCAGTCCATGCCTGGGGATACAGACGGTACATTCTGCGCAGCCTGCCCGAGACAGCGGAGAAGAGGACGCCGCAGGACGAGCTCAAGTACACGACGCGCAAGATTGAGGCGAGCTTCTCCAACTTCTCGGCTTGGCACTACCGCACGAAGCTTTTGGGCAAGATGTTCGAGGACATGACGCCGGAGCAGATTGCGGAGAAGAAGGATGAGGGTGAGCTTCACGTGCTTGAGGCGTAAGCTGACGGAGCAGAGTTCGAGCTTGTCACACAGGCTTTGTGGACCGAGCCAGCGGACCAGAGCGGGTGGCTGTATCACCGCTGGCTTGTTGGACAACGTAGGTCAAAGCGCCTGCTTTGCTGACCTTCCAGAACCGAGCAAGGAGGTCCTCGACCGCGAGCTCAGCAGCATTAAGGAGCTGCACGAGGCCGAGCCCGACTCCAAGTGTACGTGCCAACCCTGATATGGTAGCTGACAGCAGGGTGCATGAATGCGCTGGCGCATTACCTCCTCCTCTCGGCGAGCCTGGGATACGGAGAAGATGAGCAGCGCGAAGAGGCGAAGAAGCTCCTTGCGCGATTGGAGACGATTGACGCTGACCGGAAGGAGCGGTACCGCGAACTACGTGAGCTCCCCAGCCTTCTGTCAATAGCTAACCCCAGTGAGCCAGTACGAGTAGCGCGACGCGCGCACGATTACTAATGGGATTGCATGCAAATGTACACTACTTCCGCCCTTCTACATCTAGGTTTACGCCCACTAAGCGTCAATGACGTCCTTGGAGAACAGGCCGCGTCCAAACGCGCCGGCGACAACGGCGAATCCGTCGTCGCTGTCGTGCACCTCGTTGAGGAAGATGTCGTGGCGGTCCGCGAGGCGCGTCTGATTCCGTCGGATCTCCTGCACCATCGTGTGCTGTTGCGCACAGAGGATGCACTCGGGGTCGGAGTCCGAGAGACATCGCTGGTGGTAGCTGTGCTTGCACATGAAGTGGACAGAGGGCAAGTCGAGCTGGCCCCCACATGCTGCGCACTGTGTCACTTGGAACACCTCTGGAGCCGTCGTATTCGTCAGGTTCGCAATCTGCTGCTCCTTCGCCGCCGTCTCGGAGCGGTACGACTGCACGAGCGACTTGTCCTGGTTGTCAGCTTGAGCCGGCCGTGGACGCTCCATACTCACCGCTTCGATCTCGTTCTTCGTCTCGTCGACCTTGCTCCTGAGCCAATCCTTGACGAGACCAACACTCGCAACACCGTTTCGGCTGAGAAGTTGTACCACAGCCAGCGGCGGGATAATGCGCTCCTCGTCGATTGTCGCGAGGATACCCGACAGGCGGTCCTGGTACTTGCTGAGAATCGCAGGCGACGATGTCATCCACCGCAGCACGAGGGGATAGAGTGACAGATTTGTCGGCCCATACACGTCCAGGTATCTGAACACCTCTGAGCCCGGGTCCGGAGCGCCACCGTTGGCCGTGCGATCTGGCGACTCTGCCGCCTTCTCCATCCAATACCGCAAGGCGTCCTCGTACATTCCCATTGACTCCCAGAGCCCGACAAGCCCGTCTGTGAAGCCCGCCATTGAGCACAATACCAGCGCGTGCATTGGGTCAAATGGAATGCTGTCACCCGAGCCCAGAAGCGAGATCACCTTCGATCGCGCTGTCGAGGCGACCGTGGTGTCGCTGCTGTTCGTGTCGTCGAGGTACAGCTCGAGGAGTGTATTCCACACGGAACGCTGATCAGAGAGCGCCGGATCCGTTGAGTCATTCTCCTCCCGGCGCGGGATTGGAACGCTAGTCCGCTGTGCAGTGGCGTCTACCTTCTGACCCCAGAGAGAATAGGCGACGTCCTCTAGGAAGTGCACGAAGAGGTTGTGGTGGTCGATAAAGTGCGGGAAGAAGTGACGTGGTGATGGTGGGATGTAGCTTGGCTCCTCTTCCCTCGGGCTCTCAGCCTCTGGAGTAGAGGGATTTGTCGGTGCTCCATTGGGAGTAGCTGGGCCGCCAGAGTTCTGGTTGTCGGCGCCGAACAACCTGTTGACACCAAGATAGGACAGAACAGCTGGACCACTGCCGTTCGCCCTCGAATCAGCATGCATGTCATGGTGCGTCGTCTTCTTGCCGAGGTTACCGGAGCAAAGGTCGATGAGGAGGTCAGTTGTGGCCTCAGGCTCGTGGTGAAGCAAACTGCGGCCGTAGTGAACCAGGTTCTCCTCGCATGCCTCGGGTCCCAAAGAGCGCAGATACCGGAGGGCGTCTTTATACTCCTCGGCATCTTCAATCTGGATGCGCAAGTAGTCCTCGTGGCGACCGTACTTCCTCGCCAGGTAGGTGGCGTGCTCAAAGAAGCCCGCCTGGCGACAAACACGGATCGCGGTGTCGAGGTCGAACGGCAGCTCATCCGCGCCGGCATCCCGCTTCGCCTCGTTTTTGATGAAAGCATCGAGACGGGCACGGTCTGATGTTTTCGTGTAGCAGTTCAGCAGAAGCGTTGTATGATCAGGGTTGGCGAGACCACGAGCGTGCAGTTCCTGCAAGTAGGTCGTGAGATTGTTAATCCGCTGGGCATCGAGGAACTACGGTCAGCGCTTTGCAATGCAGAGACTTACTTTTCGGATGACATAAGACGGCTGGGTGAATCCCAGTGTCTTCACAAACTGAGACATGGCCCCGTCAAAGTCTCCCTTGCCATACAGGTAATCACCGTACAGCATGTGGATCTCTGCAAGACCAGCGTCGGCCACCCCCTGAGACTTGGCCAATCCCAGCGCAAGCGTGTAGAGGTTACGCTTGTACAGTACATCCAGCTTGGCAGTCGTCGCGTGCTCCTCGAGTTTCGACAGCTGCTGTCAGACACGACGTCGAGATTTAGCTCACCTGGCCATTGCCCTCGAAGACGAAGACTGTTCCCCACTGTGAAAAGAGGGCCTTGATGCCATTGCGGAACACACCAGAGTACGCCACGATTTTGTTCTCAAGATCGAATATCGTGATCTTGGCGGCGTCTGCGGAGTCGTCGGCGGCCCCGCGGGGCATCTGTCTTCGCGCAGCGGCTGTGGGCACGGAGGGCGAGGTGATGATGAGGTTGTGTTTTGATACAAACGTAGAGGTTTTGCGGCCATCGTAAGCGTAACAAGCACCTCTTCCTTCCGGGCTGTAGAGGTAGATGGCCTCGTCGCGCGCGACGACCATATTCTGCCGCTCCCAGTCCATCGATGCGCAATCCAGCCCGCAGCCAATCTCGTCCAGAACTCGGGCTTCCCCTCCCTTGGCAGAGACTGGGGCGGCAAGAACTCGATTTGTCGTCACGATGAAGAGCGTCGTCGCGTTCGGGCCATGTTTGGGCGAGTGAGACTCGCGGAAGCCGAGACCAGTAATCGCCTCGGGTGCTCGCTCGTTAGGCTCCAGCACCACGCGCGCCTTGGGTAGCGACGTCAAGGCCGTCGGCGAAGTAGTCAGGGACTGAAGAAGATGGCGGTACAGGAGGACCGTACCATCTCCTAAACCGATGGCCAGATGGGAGAGGTTCCCTGCCAATGCCACGGAAGATACCTATAGTCAGTGGTGTGACAAGCGCAGGACGTACAGGGTGTGGACGTCCGCTAGGCGGCTGTATTCTGACGTTACGCATGAGCAGCGGGCCTCCCTTCTTCTTGTCATCTTTTGACAGATCCCAGACCTTCAGAATAGGCTGACGACTTCCCTCGTCCTCGCCAATGGCTAGAAGCAACCCTCCAGCCTCGAGGAGCGCCGTTGCTCTACCGTTCCCCTCCCAAGCAGTGAATGTCCGTTGAGGCACGAAATGCCGGTCGAAGACGATAATAGAGTTTCCAGTAGAGATAATGACACTCGGCGTCAACGGAGACGAAGGTGACGTCGGTGTCACCACGATCGGCTGAACGAGATCACGCAGCGCACGGGGAGCCACGGCTAGGTCCTCAACGTCCTTGACTGTATCGAGGTCGAAAAAGCTAAATTGACGCCACTGAGGAGCGGACACAGTGTCCACCCTCGACGGTCCTGCCATGTCGTCGGTCGGTGAGTGGGCGTGTAGAGATGGTTAGAGGTCGATGCAAGGTAGTGAGAGGACGGCAGTCAGCCAAACGGCCAGACCAGCGGTAACGTCACTGCCCGCTGCGGCTAAGAGGGGAGGATCCAATAAGGCCATCGTTGGATTGCGGGGCACCAGCGTTTCAGCGTGTCCAGTAAACCGATCGAGATAAGCTGGCACAGCCGCGAGGTCTCATAGCTCGACAATCTCACAACGTTACTAATACAGCTAGCGGCGGAACAGTAGTGGGCAAGATGAGCGGCCAAATCAATGCCGATGCGCGGGCTGCGCTCGGCGTTCGGCCGGGGATTCGTCCTGGTGACCTGTCTTCACCAGCAGTCCCATCATCGCCGCGAACAGTGAGTGGCCACCGAGAGTTCGTGTTCTGACAACCAGCGACTGTACGACCCGCCCGTGGGTTACATCGAGACCATCCCGGAACAAGACCCTCTCTCAACGGAGATGTTGACGGATACGGTGCCAGCCTTGACGTATGACATGCCGTCAGCTGTACCGACTGGCACGCCCGCTCTGCCTGCCGGCGCCGCGGGTCCAAGCTTCAACCAGCCCTTTGCTCAGCCAAGTCATGGCCGTCACATATCGATTGATGAGCCCCCGAAACCGAAACGACCGCCCCAGCTGAGGATCACGACCGATTTCTCGTCAAAGACCTTGGAGTCGGACCCTGGATCGAGTAAAACATCAGCTTCGCCCGAGGTTGAGCCTGCAAGGAAGCCGAGACGAGTTCCGCATCACCGGAAATCTTCCTTGGGACTCGCTCAGAGCCGAGGTCTGCATGAGACGCAAAAGATGTTGAACCTTCTCCTGGACAGACTTGAGGCGCGATCAGCAGCTCCCGACGTCCTTGATCGGGCTGTTATCAAGGCGCGGAAGGAAGCAGGGCACATCACACGACGGCGTCGCTTCGGAGCTCGTTTGGGCGAAGTTGCAGTGGCTGCTGTCACTGCTGCGCAGAAGAAAAAGATCAACATCGAGGATGATGGAGACGACTCGGATGATATTGACGACATTCTTATTCTGGACGAGGATGATTGGGATACGGACGCCACAACCGACCTCGTCGAGCAGATGCGAGACCTGCTGGTCCTGAGCGAGAGGCAAGTGCTCGATCTGTTCGGAGCTTCACAAATTGCAGCCTTTGACAAGCGTAATGCTGCGAAAGACAAGCGTAAAAGCAGCCGGTTCTCCTCTATGACGGCATCCCTGTCAAAAGTCGCCAGTAATGATTCGCATGCCGGACCGGGTGGCGAAATTTCTGGGCCTAGACTGCTTCAACGCCTGGCAGCGATCCTGCGATCTCTGATTCTCATCGACTGCATGTACACGACATATCGATTCCGTCCTCTCAAGCCACCGTATTTCCTTCAGTCAATGTGTCTCGACATTGCGGCTGTGCTTTACTCGAAAGGCGACATGAAGACAAAGCTCCACGTGTTTGAGTCAGTAACAGACGCATTGTATGGGTGGGGACATCCCATGCGCGAGCGGATATGCGAGTGGCTCGAGGGAAGGCTAAACGAGCTACTGGTCCGCCTGGCAGAGGAGAGGTCCGACGGTATGGAGGAAGACCAACCGAGAGTTGTCTTCAACGGTAGGGCAGCACATTGGCCACTGTAGTGCTGACCTTAGATCCCTTTTCACCGGCTACATCATCGCCTCCGCAAGTCACGGCGGACATCCCCACGTTTGCTTTCTCAGTTGAGACCGACGATGGGGATCGATCAACGGAGCCCAAGGGGAAGGGCTGGATAGAGCACAGTTCCCCTGCATCGTCGACTGGCTCACGACCGTGGAACCGTCACCTGTCAGGAGTATTGTCGACGCATTCGACTGCTATCTCATCGCTGCCATTGCAGATATCTGCGCTTATTCCTCGTCTGCTGATAGCGATTGCCTCGATTGACATGAACAGCGCCAGACTGACCACGCTGTTCCGTGTCCATCGTCTGGTGTCTCTGGTCCTCAACGCAAAGCCAGATGTTGGATCGGACTTGCTGGAGATTATCGCGCAAGGTTCCTCGGATGCCTCGCAAAGGGGGTTTGATATGTTGACGACATACTTTCCCCTGTGCACGGGACACAACACTATAGCTCGGCGGCCACCGCTGTGCACCTATCTGGCGCAGCGCATGAAGTGGGAGACGGGTCAGGAGAGGGAGCTTGGCGAAGACGACATGGAGAGCCACCACTACCTCCCATGGCGTGGCAGTGAATCCGGCGATAACCTGTGCCAAACTTGCGAGCGACCTTGCGAAGGATTCTGCGTGCGCTGCACCCTTTGTCAGGACATCAAACATGTCGATTGCCTGCTTCTTTACGGCGACGAATTGGTGGAGTGGGCTACAACCGTTGTCGGCGGCTCCAGCTCCAAACCTACAATGCCGAGACACGAAAACGTGACCGTCAAGTATTCCAAATGCGTACCTCGGCTCGACGAGAAGGTTCACGACGGCGGTCCAACTCAGAATGGACCTGAAGCGACCGTTCGCACAGTCGGTCAACATACATTTCATCTAGTCAACCTGTTCACCCTCACACTCTGCGGCGACTGTCGAGAGCCGTTATGGGGCACAACAAAGCAAGCCTACGTCTGTCTGGGGCAATGCCAGCGATTTTTCCATCCCGCTTGCATTGACAAGATGAAGGACAGGGGATCTACTTTGTGTCGACCAGGAACTGAAGCATTTGTCAACACAAGTGATCCCGACTATAAGCGTGATCCATTCACGACGTCGGTCCAGGTCGTGCAGGAGAGCTTCGCACGTTCAGCGTCGGAGGTGTGCCGCGAACCTAGCCGACTAGCAAAGCTTTCATTCGACGAGACCGCGCTGCTATATGCGCACCTTTGGATACAGCATGAGATCTACCTAAATGGTGTCCGAGCCGGGTCGATACGCTTCTCCGGTGAGGCACCGACGGATCCTGCAATCATTCCTGGCACGACCTCTCTATTAGAGCACTACAAGCAACACCTTGGTCAGCGCGAGCTGCAAGCCTCGGCGGCTCTGCAAGACTATTCGCGCACAACAGGAGAACCCATCCGCGACGCTAAGGACTTGTTGTGGCGACCCCGGTATCTCGAATACTGTTCAGCGCTCCTGAAGGCTCCATTCGATCCTTCGGATCACCTGTCTGGCTCGCACCAGCTACTGACCCCCGGCCAGCTGGGATCTTACGAACCTGACCCGCCCACTACAGCATTCGAAGCACTGGGAATGACGAGTGTAAGGCAGAGCATGGCCAGCGATCTCAACATCAGAGACCGCTTGGCGGCCGCAATACTTCTGGAACGAATGAGAGGCTTTGGGCTCTGTGCAGTTCCCCATTGCCGAAAGATTGGACCGAAACAAGTACAAGATACCCAGCTCCTGGTAACGTTCCCAATACCTCTCCTCCTCGACAGCTCTCCTTCCGTGGAACTGCTTGTCCTCGCCATAGAGCAGCTGCTAGATGTTGTCGACCTGACTGCCAACGAGCAAGCGTTCAATCTACTCTGCAATCGGGCTTGGCCTTCCCCGATGTGTTCCTCCTACGCTCTAGAACGCCTCGGCGGAGCTGTCTTGTCGTGGGTCATGGACGGCGACGACGTGCTCCATTACGTTGTCAAGAATTATGCATCGAAGGCAAAACGACCTCCAGGGGTTCGTGTAGGACGCGGAGCAAGTAAAGGGACCACCGCTGTCGCAACGTACAGGGATGACCGCGCCAGGATGTTTGAACGATATGCGAAGCCCTGGTTGGAGGCCCTGCACGCCCTCGACTCCTCGCTGTACGCCTCGCTTGCCTACGACAGGAGCAAGATGACCGATAACAAGTATCAGGTGCAAGAACTGTCGAAGGATTCCTCCGCCGCGAGCCAGATTGCCGGCATGGCGCTGGAACGTATGGTTACCTTGGCAGATGTTGGCGCATCGTTTTCAATAGTTTTGGATCTGGTCGTCGCCTGGCTGGAGGATCTGGGTGCTGTGTCGAAACAGGTGAGCTGCTTTCGCGTGGTCCACTGACGACCAGGATGTTGTCTACAGGTCTCTGCCCAGGCTTCTGCAGCACGCGAATTCTCAGAAAGGCGTGCTGGGCGAAGACCTCTGGGAGCTGGCTAAAGCGACATCTCAAGAGGGACCCGAAGGAGTAAGGCGAGTCTGCCAGTGGTTGCGAGTACTCAGCTGCTCTGGAGCTGAAGTTCCGTGGGAAACGGTGACGGACATGGTTGAGCTGGTCGCTGGGGCAGATGTTGCAAGCGAAGCGCGGTTAGACCTCATCTCCACCATTAACTCCAACACGACACAAACGGACAGCAAAGCTTTCGCCCAGCTCTGCAATCGTCAGCTCGTGAGACTGGGTGGCGCTCTGAGCTTCCGGCCTACCGACTTGGAGCTACAGATGCTGAGGACAAATCTCCTCTCGATCCTCCGTGCATACGGAACTAGTGCCACGGATATCTCCGAGACGTCCCTCAAGATGCCAGTGGTGGAACAGCCTACTTTGAACACCACCATGCGCAACAAGCAGTTGCCTACTCCGCCAACATCAACGCCGACCCTCATTGCGCTGGACCCTAGTGTGCTTCATGTTGTTGCGAGCCTATTGCGACGCAAGGACTATCCGGCGGAGATTCTCCTTGACTTCCTCTGGCTGCTGTTCATACGAGCACCTGCTGTAGAGAACGCCGACGGCTTCCTGTTTCAACACTGCGCTACTCTTTACGAAGCGTGAGTCCCCAAATCTGGCAGCGTACCTGACTATCAGTATCTGGCCTCTCTACGCCCGTGACATCAACCGGCGCTCGCGCAGCCGAGTGTTCCTCAAGCTGGTAATGGTGAATTCGGTTCCTATCGAGGAGATGGTCAGGAAGGAGCTGGAACAGGTCGATCAAGCCTCGCTGCGTGAGCGGATGTTGACCCTTGTGCTTGAGCTGGCGGACGATGTCGTTACCGCAGATCTGGAGTGCTTTCGCAGTAACGCTGTGGGCCTGGTTATGCTGTTCTTCACCGAGGTCGTCCAGCCGCTCAATCCCATTCCCGACATTCTGGTGATCTGGAAAGCCATCCAGCCGTCGCAGCTGATTGCCATCGCCCGTTGTTTCGAAGAGTACATCGTCTCGTGCAGCGATGAGGAGAAGAAGAAGTTCCTTGCTCAGCTTCTCCAGCTCAGAACGTTATTCCCTTCTTGGCCAGGTAAGCCTTGGCACCGAAAAATGATCTGACTCGCAGTTCTGAACTGGTACACGATACAGCAAATCATCAACGAACAGCAGGCGGCCAGTATCCATTTCGGCAACAGCGACACTCCCCAGGCCGCCGCAGCTCTCGAAGACGCTCGCTTGATCCACGCGACAGCTTTGTGTCTTGGACTGAACATGCTTGCCGCCGGCGTCCCCTGCGAATGGGCAATGCTGCAAGAGTTTCAGCGCTGTGTCGCGGCGACATGCGCTCCTCCGTGGCAGCACCCAAAGGAGACGGTCACTGGTCTTCTCCTGCCGGGTCTGAAGAATGTACTCGATTCAACTGCACGGATCATGGTCGAAAACGAATCTCACGATGACAAGGACCGGAAGACGATCACCGTCGGCTCACTCTTCGTCCCCATTGTGGTAGAGTTTGCGAATGACCTAGAAATGGAGGAGGTGCTGGTGCAGCGTTATATCCTGGACATTTTGCTTGTTGTATACTACAAGCCCAATGTCCAGCCCGTGGAGCTGCAAGCGCTCAGCACCCTTCAGACCCTAGCGACCTTTGCCGCCAACCGCTTGCAGAGTATCGAGAACCGACTTCTCGCGGTTCAGATCCTCAACACTGCGGAGAACCACATGACGAAGGACAGGTTCAGCCGAGTACTGCCTGCCTTGTTCGTCCTGGTGGCAGACATCATCGCCAAGGAATCTTCAGGCGGCGACTCGGCCCTCGTTGATGCCAGTCGTGGGTTCCTGGAAGCCAGTATCGAGTCCTACGGCGATGCCGGTCTCTTCCTTCAAGTTCTGAAACAAGATGGTCAAAAGAGCAAGGGAGACAATTCCAGTGAGGCCCTTGGTAAAGCGCTACAAATTGCCAGCCGAGAGCAAACGGAAGACGGAAGCTGGCGCTATACCTGGATCGAAAAGGTCGTCACAGATCTGTATGTGTTGAAGTAACTTGCGTTGCTGACATCAGCCCCGACATCTTCAAGTTTCCCCGTACACAGATCAACTCTGTTCTTTTGTCCTTTTCTCGGCTTGTCGGAACGCTGAACCAGAATCTGGCGCCTCATGTCGCTACCCATTACGGAGTGTTTCTCACTCGACTCACGAAGCATGTGGCCGAGTACGATCACTTTTCCGACTTCGACCCGAACCCTGTGTTGCATGCCAGCTGCGTCCTCTTGCAGCGTACGCGGTCGAGTGAGCAATCGCAACTCCTCAACCATATCGCGCCTTTCCTGAATCTCTCTGTTCAAAAGTACTCCGTCAGCTTTGAGAGCATCGCAGAACTGGTACCAGTGTGTACTGAGGTATCCACGCGCCTCAAGCACCAGAACATAATTTCCAACATTCTGTACGAGCTGGTCATTACTGCCGTCAACGGCATGGCGGTTACTGCTACTTCTCTGAGCTCGCTGCTGAAGGTAGGCAAATAGCTAACGCTCAGAGCTAACGACAGTTCCTGACGATGGGCCTGCAAGACAATGAAGCCGAACGCAAGGAACGACTGCCTCACCTGCTGGAAGCCTCTCTCGGCTGCGCCCATGTGCTGCAGCGGGCTCACCCAACGATAGCGCACGGCCGCGGTGACGTAAACTCCACGCTGCAGTTACTTTCGTCCGCGGCGACCGTGCTCGTGCTGGCTGAGCTGGAAGCACCCGGCAACATCGGAAAAGTCCTTGGGCAGATGCCAAAGGAAGCAGCGTCCGTTCAACTGGACATCTTCGCGCATCTGCTGTACTCGAGTCTCAGTCTCAACTTGGGCAGGGATCGATCCAACATTGCAGCGCTGTTCCCCATCGCTGCCCGAGCCACTGCCTTGTCCCTCTTTGGTGCCGGTGATCTCCTCACCGTTCACGATCCGAACGGCGACGGCGCGCATCTCGCTTCCATCGTCTTCATCGTAGCACGTCTTGTGCTCCTCAGCGGCATCCCTCAGGCTGAAGAAGAGATTGCGTCGTTCGAGACACTGGAGCTGTTCTGGCGACGAGTGTGGCCTGAATGGGAGCGCGTTCTGGCCCTCTCCTTGCGTGAGACTTGTATTAACTCTGTGAGTGGCCAAAAGAGGTTGCGGTATACTGACCACAGCCACTTCGCGCCGTTCTTCACTCTGTATTGCTCGACATGGTGATATTTGTCGGCTCTATGCGCCCCACCTTGCTTATCGAGCCGGCGGGAGCGATCGTTCGAGGATTGCGAAGTTTGGAAGAGTGGCAGTCAAGCACCGGAATCAACAATTCGAGCAGCAAGCTGCCAAAGGCGATCAAGGCGATTGAGACAGCTCAGCTCAGCTACGGTGCTGATACGGATCGACCGAAACGCGCCACGACCATCAAGCAGGTTTGGAACGACATGCTGGCGACGGAGAAGATCGTTAGTCTTCGAGCGGAGGCTGAACGAGAACGAGAGAAACAGAAACATGCGTACAAAACCCTAGCTAGAGGTGTATAGACTGTATGTATTTTAATGACCTGTGCGTGCGGATGTGAGATGGAAGTCTATGAGGTGAAGGAGGCTGGATGGATCTATGTCGAGGGACAAGCGACTCTATTCGCGCTTGTGCTTCTTGCGCTTGTTGCCCTTGTCGCCTCCGTTCTCCTTGCGCTTCTCCTTCGTCTCCTTCTTCTCCTCAACCGGCGCCGTGCCCTTGACGGTGACGGTTGTGTTCATCTTCTTCCTCTGCTCGGGAGTCGCCTCAGCGAGGGCCCTAACCTTCTCGGCGGCGGAGCTAAAGTCGGCACCCTGGTCAATGGCGTACTCGCTCATATCAATGGTGTCGAGGAGCTCACGCTGCCTCTGCTTCTCCTCGGAAGCGGCCTCAGCGATATCCTGGTCCACGGTGGTGGCGGCTGGGCCCGAAGTCTTGGCCTTGGCGGCAGCCTCGGCCTGCTCCTCGGTAGGAAGGTCGGCGCCGAGTTCCGCCTTCTGGATGTCCTGGAGGACCTTGACAATACGGCGAATCGTCTTGCCGAAGAGCGCGAGGACCTGGTGGGCTGGAGTACCGAGCTCGGTCTCGAGGCTCTCGACGGGCTTGCGCTGCAGACCAAGCGAAAGGAGGACGACCTGCTGCGCCGGCGAGAGGGTCGTGGGCAGCTGGCGGGTGAAGAATAGCCGCGCGATGGTCGGGATGAGGTCGAGGATGAGGTGGTAGTCCACCATCTGGTCAGCGTAGGACGAGAGACGCTTCAGGTCGAACGGCGTGATGAGCGCGTTGAGCTCAGCCGCGCTGATGGCCTGCACCTCCTCGTCCTTCCTGCTCGCGGCGTCGATGACGCTGAGAGCAACCTGCGACGGGAACTTCTTGAAGCAGTCGTAGCCAAGAAGAGCGATGAAGCGGTGGCGGAAGTCAGTCGCAAAGGCGGGAAGCCACTGGGCAGTGGCGACGTTGGAGCGGAGGGCGCGCAGCATGAGGAACGTGTACTCGCCCGTGAGCGGGTTCTCCTTCTGCGAGGCATAGAGCGGGACGTATCCCGCCTTCTTCCAGAAACGGAGCAGCTCAGGGGTAAGACCGAACGAAACGCCGAGGTAGTCGAGCACCTCGGGGCGGCGGTCGGAGAGGCGCTGGAGAAGCGGCGGCATGCGCGCGACATCACGCACGGCAATCGTCTCAGTCGACAGCTCGCCGTTCATCTTGGGCGCGCTGTACTCGGGCGTCTCGAGCACCTCGTCCAAGTTCGTGAGCTCGCCAGAGTAGTAGCCGTTCAAGGCGTCGAGCGCGCGGGCTCCGTAACCCATGCGCGAATAATCGGGGTGCGTGGCAATACGCACGACACGCGCACCAGACAGCATGGCAAAGTCATTGTCCTGGAACTGCTGGGACATGACCCAAGGGATCATGTCGCCGCTGGCAGAGCTGCCGCTGTGCGCGAGCTGCTTCAGAATCGCCTCGCGCGAGATGTTACCCTCAAGGGCGACCTGGAGCACAACGAGCGGGTCCGGAAGGCTGTTGTCGTCCTCCTTGAGCGGGGGGAGAAGAACAAAGAGGTGGTGCGCTGGAGCGTCGGAGAGCATCTGGAGATCGTTCGGCGAGTTCTTGTAGTGCGACGCGACGTAGAGAGCCATCATGCGCTGCAGGAAGACCTCGGAAGCGGCGTGGTACGAGAACAGAGTGTCACGGTTGACGTAGTACAGCTCGCACTGCGAGGGGTGCGGGCAGCCCTGCGCCGCCTTCGAGACAACTGTAGCGTCGAGACACAGCAGGCGGTTGAGCCACGACTCAACTTCGTCGCCGGGGGCGTAACGGATCGGCTCGTCCAGCTTGATCTCGCGGAGCGTTCGGCTGAGACCGGCACCGCCACGGCCCGCGGAGCCAGCCTTCGACTCGCCCTTCTCCGCCTTCGAGTTGATCGCAGCCGGTCGGGACTGCTCACGGAGCTGCTGAATAAGCTTGATCGACAGACTGCGACCAGTTCCCTCGTAACCGTTGATGGTCGAAGCCATGAAGACAAGGTACGGGCCGATAAGCTTGCGGACGAGAGGGAGGGGGATCGCGGCAGCCTCATCGATAATGACCAGTTCGGCCTGTCCGAGAACGTGAGCGTCTTCGGGCGAGATGTACTGGATCGTCTGGCGGTGGCCTCGGAAGATGTTAACACGAACGATCGCCTTCTTGAACTCAGGGTTCGTCGACTGGACAATATCGTAGTCGACGTGCTCCTCGTAACCCAGAGCGTCGAGAGCCTTGAAGACGAACTCGAAGAAAGTCTTCAGGTTCTCCGGGTCGGGCGACGTGACGAAGATGTTGGAGTAGTCGTGGGCGATCGCGGCACCCACAGCGATACCGAGAGCAGCCGACTTTCCACGACCACGGCCGGCTGTGAGAGCCACGGTCGACGAGAGAGTCTTGTCGGAGATCGCCTCAACGAACGTCAGGAGCGCCTTAGCTTGGTCGACCGTCTTGGTCAGCTTGGCCAGGGGACCGACAATGTCAACGGTGCCCAGCTCCTCCTTCATGTCCTTAAGCTCCTCCATCTTGCGCTTCCGTCCCCGGTCGTCGTCCTCCTTCGACGCAACAATATCCTTGCCCTTGCTCAGAGGGAGGACGTTCAGCTCATCGTCCAAGACAAGACAGTCAGGATTGGATCCAAGAGAGAGAATGAAGCGCTCGTTAAAGCGGGGCTGAACGAACTGGTGGGCGTCGGTGCGGTAACGGTTGTGGACATCCTGAGACCGTCAGTCAAACTGCCAACAAGGCAAGCTTACCATGGCCATCGTATAGAGCTGCTTCAGCGAAGACATCGTCTTAAGAAGGAGAACAACAATACCTCCTCCCTCAACCGTCTCGATCGTTCGCGCGAGAAGGTTGGGCGTGATCGCCTCGTAGTCCTGGAGGACAAGCATGCCGTAGGTCTGACCAAGGATCTTGGCCGAGTCCTTGTAGTAGCTGAGGGTCAGTCTTGGGCACAACAACAGTCTAGTCACACTTACGCATAACGGATATCGGTGACAGTGATGAAGAGCTCAAAAGGGTCCTGCTCGTTGGCCTCACGAATGCCACGCTTGATGTCGCGCTTAATCTTGGCCTCGCGCTTCTTGCGGTGGCTGAGGTCAGATATCGCAGCATTGAGGTCAGCTTACGTAGTAAATCCCAGCTCCTTCTTGTAACACCAAAGAACGTTTGGTCGAGAAGACACACGAGCCTGCGAGAGCAGGAAGTGCAGGTTGACAACCTGGGATGGTCAGCTCTGCTGAAGGACACACAGCTCGGCAACTAACCTGGTCACGACCACGGTCTCCGACTAGGACGAAGAAGGAACGGTGATTCGTCTTGACGCCATGGTTGATCAGCGCCGGAATTCGGGGGTCGAGCTGCTTCCTCATGGCTGGTGAGAGCTCGTCCAGACGTGTGTATGCGGGGCGACAACAACAAAACCTTGGGTCATGACGGACGCCGGAGCCCAGCCGACTGAAATCTGAAGGGGACCTCCACCGGCCCCGGATTTGGGATTAAAGAGTGAAAAACGCCGGTAGATAATAACCGGGCCCCCCGGATTGCGTTGATACGTATAAATACGAACGGCTCACATGTTGCCATCGCTTTCCTCCCAAGCATCAGCCCGGCCTCCGTCCTCGTTGCTGCTTAACAAAGATTCCAAGCTCAATTCTCGCTACCGTTCTCTGGGTCGAAAGCACTTAGCCGCCCAGGAACCCGCGTTTCAACTCTTGAAAATATGTATGTAGCTTGGGCTTACCTTCTTTCCTCGGTTATCAGTAGAACTCCAAGCTGACAAAGCTTAAAGGTCGAACAAAATTGTGGTGTGTACAGAGCTCTGAGGCTATGGTTTCGACAAGGTGAACTGACCACAACGTTTCGGTCTGTCCTGCCAACGTTCTTGCAATACAGCCCCAGATCTATCGTGCGATCATCGACGATGTGATGGCCAATGTTGCCGTAGACTTCGAAGAGTACGCCATGGACGAGGACCTGCTGGCCATTCTTCAATCCGTGAGCTACTCGTTCAAACAACAAACTGACAATAGAAATGGGAGGCCAGGCTGCTTGAGACTCGCGTCGCCGACTTTGCTCTGGCTCCTGGTGCTGATGACGGAAATGCTGCGGGATCCAGCTCTCGACCTCCGGCATCGCAGGCGTCATCAAACGGGGCGGCTGCGGCCGCCGCTGCGTCTGCCCCAGAAGCGGCGACTGGCGATACTGCGGTCAAGACGGAGCCCGAGGACGTGCTCCGTCTGCGTGGAGGTGCTGTGAGTCAAACACGATCGTGGCTGATGACATATGTCTGGTGGCGCTGACCAATCGCAGGGTGAAGAGGGAGCCCCCCGGCCGCAGCCGAACGAAGCTGGTCTTCTTCCGGGCGACGAAGTAATTGACTCGGATCTCGACGACTCAGACGACGAGCTCCGAGATGACGAGGACGGAATCGGAGAGGAGGGCGAGATCGACATTGTGTTCTGTGTTTACGACAAGGTCCAGCGGGTCAAGAACAAGTGGAAGACTGTCTTCAAGGACGGCATGATCCACATCAACGGCCGCGACTACCTGTTCGCCAAGTGCCAGGGGTGAGTTCCTATCTGATAGCGCTGCGGTGCACAGGACTGCGTTCCTCGGCCGATAAGCTAACCATCAGCGAGTTCGAGTGGTAACTGTGTGCCCACACCCTCAAACACCCGAGCTTTATCCTATGAGCTCGCATAGACCCATCCAATCCAACCACAGTATCCCTTCTGTGTCTTTATCATCATTATTGTACCAGTAAAGTTCCTATGCATCCATCTCAAGATAGCCTGTGAAGCACTTATGTGCTCGTGCTGGCTTACGACGTATGCAAACAACACACGATCAGCGGTTGCAGCAACGAGGTGGAGGTCAGGCGAGCTTCATGATGCGCGCTGCAGGACGCGGAGGATTTGCTTCCGCCGCCAGTCCGAAAACTCGAAAATGCCTGCGAGCTTCGAAGTTGGCATCCGCGACTTTTACACCGAAACGGCAGACGACCATGAACCCCGCCACGACACCTCTGCGGGCTGCCCTCCGTGGCCAGGCGCTCAGCGGTAAGTGTTCGACCGTGCTGTGCCAGCGAAAACTGCGACTTCGAGCGGACTCGGGACGTCAAAGCAGCGGAGGAAGTCCGATCGGCGGAGGAAGGCAAAAGTCGGCGAGGAAGGCAGTCGGAACGTCGGATATGGCTACAGATGACGTTCCGACATGCGTTCTGGCAGCAAAGCAAACAGAAACAGGGGACACAGCCTGAGAGAACGTTCGAAGCGCAGCAGATGGCCTGACGGAGCTCACATCACTCGGACGCCGAGCTAACATCACAGCCAAGCGTGCTCTTTCGACGACGGCGCCGATGCTCGGGGCCGAGGAGCGACGACACGGAAACACGCGGTCGAAGGGATACAAGAAGTACGAGGACCCGCTGGCCGAGTTCGAGGCCAACGCGTGGAAGGGAGGACTGAAGCGGGCGCGCGACTTCCGGCAACGCATGGCCGACATTGGTGAGTACTCGTTGTCGACTGCGTCTCTCGAGAGACGCAGTCGTCCTATGCGAGTCTTCAAGACTGGAGCTGCCAGGCGTCCATTGTAGCTGACACGCCAGACGCCAAGCTGCCGCTCTACGTTCCCCCCGAGGCGACCAAGGCCGCCCCGATCCCGACGCCGAAGGATCCGAAGACGGCGACTCTGTCGACGCTGATGGCCGCGGGCGCCGCGCTCGGCCACTCGCAGCAGCTCCTCGCGCCCTCCTTCACGCCGTACGTGTACGGCAACCGTGCGGGCCTCTCGATCATCGACCTGGAGCAGACGCTGCCTTTGCTGCGGCGCGCGGCAGCGCTCGTCCGTGACGTCGTCGAGGCGGACGGCGTCGTCCTCTTCGTCGGCACGAAGCAGAAGCACCGCAAGCCCCTGCAGCAGGCGCGCGAGCGCCTCGGTGACAACGGATACTCCACCCTCAAGTGGTGGCCTGGTACGCTGACCAATGCGGAGACCTAGTGAGTTACATCACCTCCGGAGCGAAGCGGAGGAGAGGGGAGGGGAGTGGAGCGGAGGGGAGGGGAAGGGTTCTGGGTTGGGTTCTAGGGGGGAGAAGGGAAACCGTACTGACCGACAGCTTCGGACCGGATCCCATCTACAACCAGACGTACCTGCCCGACCTGGTGGTCATTCTGGACGCGCGCAACTCGCGCAGCGCCATCCGCGAGTGCACGGGCCGCAACGTGCCGACCATCGGCATCATTGACTCGGACACCGACCCCCGACTGGTCACGTACCCGATCCCTGCCAACGCCGACTCGGCGCGCACGCTCGAGCTCATCACGGGCTCGCTCTCGCTCGCGGGCCAGGAGGGCCGCAATGCCCGTCTCCGCAAGGAGGAGAAGCGGAAGGAGCAGGCCAAGCGCGACCGCGAGTGGAGGAGAGAGGCTTACGAGCGCTACGACCAGGAGCGCGCCCCCGCTGCTCAGGAGTAGGAGTAAAACACCCTTCTGCAGCGTATAGAAATTTATCATAGCCATCTCCCTTTGCAGTCATCACAACGCACCCCTCACCTCACCCACATTCCGGTAACATTATTAAACCATGATGCATATCCTCTTTTCCAAAAAATGTGAGACCGGAGACCTGAGACCTGATTTGACCTAACTGAGAGGCGTATGAGGGAGAGATGAAGACGAATGAACTCTGATGTGAAACGGGACATTGTAGATGGTACAACTTGCGGAGACGGAGATGATGATGGAGATGGAGATGGAGATGGAGACAGCGAAGAGGAAGGTTCCACAGAGAAAAAAACAGATGGTTAATGGTATGACACAGCTGGGGAAAAGAGTGGAGTCGTCTGCTTCTCTAGAGGTGAAGGTGGAGGAAATCCGCATCTATGCGCCGCCCTGTATCGGCGACGGGGTGGCTTTGGAGGCTTAGATCCAAGCGCTCTCGCCCGAGTTGTCGCTGTTTGTCAGCTCAAGCTGCGAACGGGAAAACTCACGCAGTAAGCTCAGCAATGGTGCGGTCACCCTCGGTCGTGATGATGCGGTCGATGCACCGCAGCCACGTCTTGTGCATGAGATCGGTCTGATACTTTGTCGCAGCCGAGTTCTCGCGGAACGTGGCAGTGAGACGGAGACCGTTCTCGTGCGAGATCACATTGACGGAGAAGGCGGGGGCGATCGGGCTCGCAGTCTGCGCCCACATGAGGTCGGTCGCGCCCTCGGGCAGACTCGTCTGGCACATGTTGCTGAAGGCCAGACTCTGGCGGTACGGGATGGGGCCCATCGTGCGGCGCAGGAAGTACTTCTCCCAGCCGGTCGGCGCCTTGGGGTCAAAGTCGGGCGACTTGGGGTCGACCTCGGGGTCCGGGAGGTGGGACATGACACCGATGATGTAGCGGCCGTCCGCGATCGCCTTCTTCGACTTGAGCTCGGCGGCCATCTTGCGCGCACAGCTCCAGAACCGGTCCTTGCCGTTCACGTGGACGTGGTGCTCGGTAGACGACGAGTAGATGCCGGTGAGCTGCGAGTGGCCCAGCGACGGGTCACGCTCGTCACGCATCGTCATGGCGTTGAAGTGCTGAGTCGAGTTGTTGCCAAACGTACGCCACAGGGCTGCGAGGTAGGCCATCTTGAGCACCGGGTGCAGCGTCTTGACGCCGTACCGCTTGCCTTGGGCTTTCAGACGCGCTACAGTCCCAGTAGGTACAGATACGTGGCACATGCTCCATCCGCTGGCGAAGGGGGACAGGTTGACATTGGTACCGGGCCAAGCGAGATCGTTCTTACCGAATGTCGACTGGAAGCCTTTCGGAAGTTTGGGGAGAAGGAGCTCGTGGAACACTTCCGGGGCCAGGTACGTTATTCCCGGTTTGATGTTGACCGTGTCGTCGAACCGCCGTGGGGACTCAAAGGTCTCGGGCAGCAGGTTCTCCGTGTTTCGCGCCAGCAGAGCGTGCATCAGCGCCAGCGATCCTCGTCCGTCGATGATCAGATGGTTGAACATTCCGATCAGATACGCTCGGGGCACGCCCGGTGGGCCGTAGAGTAGCGTCAGGGTCCACATAGGAACATGGTCAAAGTCAAGTGACTCAAACCTCTCCATCTCGGCACGCAAGATACCGGGGGCCTCGTTAGCTTCGATCTTGGCGGGCGTGTATGTTCCCTCGTTGATGATGTCCGCGGCGTCCCATGGTGATCCGTTCGCAGCAAAGGCAGGCTTGTTCGTTCGGGCGTTCACGATACGGGCGTAAAGCTTCGGGAACTTACGCTGGAGGTCGGCGACACGGTTCTCCAGGTGCTCGCGGGAGGGAAGGGCGTGAGCGGGGAAGGTGATGATGTAGGCGATGATGTGGGGGTAGCCAGTATTCTGTCGAACGAGGTTGTACCGCTCGTGGTTCGTCACTGGGAAATGTCAGCTCGGTTGCTCGCGATGAAGGCTCTGCCTTCTCTGCCATCTGCCTGCTGAACCCGTGGAGGTGTAGAAGGACGGGTGGAGTCAGGAGAATAGAAAAAAGAAAAGGCCTAACGTGTGTAGATGTCGCAGTGATGCTTACTTGCGCGAGCTGGCACACTGGTGTTTCCGAGGTTGATGTGACTGATGCTCCCGCCCGAGAAGGAGGACCCCTTGGATATCGAGGTGCTGCTTCGGATCGTCATACTGGGCTTGCGATGGCGGTGGTCGGACTGTATTTTGGATAGGTCTTGGACCGACGCGGTGGGTAGCCGATCGATCTTGCGTGTCTGCCGTGTCTAGGCGATTAAGGCGGCGTAGCTGGCCGGTGAGACAAAGCTGGTGGGCCGAGCGAGGAAGGCGCAAACGGAGCTTCCTTCGGCGGTCTGGGGTCGTCTGTCTGCACTCTATGTGTGTGCAGGCGCGCTTCGTCTGTTGTGAGACAGTGGAGGAGAGTGGAACGAGTGGGATGAGTCGGACGACGCGGGGGAATGGGATGCGGCGAGTCGAGGAATGCTGAGTTTGAGATGAATGCAGTAGAAGAAGAAATGTGACGGACGCTGCAGTAGTGGCAACTTGCACTCGTGACACAAAGAGAGCTGAGAGCTTGAGCTTCGGTTCAAGCTGGGCCAGCTAGTGTGTGTGTGCGTACTGGTCGCCGGGGCGGAAGGCGAGAGGGTTGGCGGCCAAGGGCACTGAAAGGGAGCCGTGAGTAGGTGCTGGACTTTCGGGATGCCGGCTGGGGGTTCCACAGGGGTACAGGGCCTGAAAGGTGATTCAAGGTGATTGCGATGGAAAATAAAGTTCAGTCGCAATGTGTCGTCAAGCAGGAAAGCCTGATAGAGCCGGTCCAAAGCCTGCTGTGCCCGGCCAATGTCGTCCAGCGCACACTCTTGACCGAAGAGCGTAGAGTCTGACTGGGTGTCGGTATCTTTGACGGTTCCGCCGAATGTGGTTAAGTCTTGGGCAGACGATAAACTCGCGGGGCGATGAGCGGAGCGGGTTCAACGGGTCGCAAGGATAGATGCACGAAGGCAGTAGGCAAGTCGTAGTAACTGCGATGCGATGCGATAGGGGGAATGATGTGCGATGGGTTGTGGGATGAGCGTTGTGCAGGGATGTGGGATGCGCGCTGGGGCCTTGGTGCGAGGGGAGAGAGATATATGGGGGTCGAGGGAACTATCAGATATCTCTCTGGATTGCTGGACGGTGGTGGGTGTATCAGAAACCAAGGGTCGCCGTCGTTGCAAGCCCCTCCCCTTACTTGAGATATTTTCTCAGATCTAAGACAAGTCATGCAATGTCCCCAGCCAGTGTCCCCCCAGTGTCCTGTCCCCCCTCCAGGAGCACACACCCGGCCCCTGACCCTGGCCTCCTTCCTGTGTCCTGGATCGATGGGATGGATGACCGTTCAGAGAGTCCTGCAAGTGTCCTGCCTTCTTTTTCGGCGTCGTCGTACCCCTTTCTGCCCGCCGGCTTGTCTCTCATTCTCTCATTCTGCGCACCCTCGTGGGAATGCCTCGAGGTGCAAACCTCCACTGCCAGAGGGGCAGAGTGGGGCATGCTGCCCTCTCTTGCCCCGGTCCTGGTACCTCTCGTCATCCTCCTGTTGCACCGAACCCGATCCTGCCCCGGACAGTGGGCCACTCGCGTCAGCGCAGCCACACAACCCTCGATATGCACTTTTCGTCCTCCCCGCACTACTGCTCGCTCGGAGCTGCTCTTGGCTGCGCGCTGCGCTCTCTCGTCGTTTTTAATGAGGCGTTCACCCGCGAGGAGCGTGAGCTCTTTCTCTCTCCTCTGCGTGAGAGTGATCGTGCCAGGGCACTGCCGCTTCTGATGCTTCGTTGGCTTCTCTTGCTTCTTTCGTCCATGGGCCTACGACTGCGACGCAGCTCACGAGAGTAAGCCAGTCAAGCGAGGCCCCCCGGAAGCCAGCGAGGGGCCGTGAGGAACGCAAGGAACGCTCCTTACTGCTCACGCTACGTTGGGCACGCGCGGACACTTGCAGCCGTTGTGCCCGGTCTCTTTTTTTTTTACCATGCATCGCAAAACATCGGCCACCAACCTGTGCCTCTTCTCCATCGGCCACCAAAATGCAAGTTGCAAGTGCCTGCGCACCCCACGCAAGCGTTGCAGAGGCACTCGAGAGGCACGGTGCGCTCGCCCTGGTCTAAGCGTGCTCCTGAGCACCCCTGCGTGCGGCGGCGTGCGATGTTCTTTCGCTCTGGACCGTGCATTATGCATGGGCCAAGTAAGCGGAGCGGCCAGCGGTCACGGCCAACGCGGTGCAGTGAGCGGTGAGCGGGCATACAAAAAGGTGCTCAATGTCTTCCTCTGCTCTACGTTGATGGATGGCCTGGCTGGCCTGGCTGGAAGGACGCCCCGTGCCTGGGTCAATTGATGATGGCGCCAGCAAGGGCAAGGCGTAGGGGTCCACTTTCGAACCATGTCAGGACTGAAGCAGAGAGGAAAGCACGCCAACGGCGCCGTCTCGCGCCAGCCCATCCTGTCCAACCTGTCAAACCTGTCCAATCTGGCCAGCTAGGCCCCATTCACGCCATGGATCCTGAGCTCACCCAAAGCAGAGAAGATATCGCCAGCGAACCAAAGTCCGGCAGCCAGAACCTAACCGGTGTCACCGGGCGTCACCGCGTCACCAGCCGTACCAGCCGTACCAGCCCGCGACCATTCATCCCCAGGCGGCCCAGTGCATCCGAGCAAGCCGACAAACTCGCCGAGATCCTGGCAAACGCTGACTGGCGCCCGCTTTCGAACGCCTCCAGCTGGCGCAGGCGCAGCAGGTGGGGGGCCACATGCGAGCAGGCTGACAGGCTGGGGGACAGACCTGGGGCTGAACTGAGCGTGGGCTGTGTGCTAACTGGACGGGCCGTTTCACTCGCGGCCCGATTGACTTGTCTCGCCGGGGTAAGTCGTCGCGGCGCAGCGCCGAGACAGTCAGGCAGGCTAGCAGGCTGGTCACGAACTGTAACGGTGCCATCGTGTGCCGGCGTGTGCCAACGAGTGCCAGGTTGGCGCTACGGTACGCCTCCGAGGACCCGAGAACTCAAAAGTCGCGTTGGCGCCGGAGATTCCGGGTGATCGGGTGTGAGAGGTCTGGCAGACAGCGCCGCGCGCGCCGCGAGCGCCGCGCTGACGCGCGGTTGTTGCGTGAGGCGCACTAGAGTAATCAAGAGTGCGATCCAAAGCGATCCAACGACCCAGCTCGTCTTGCATCCGAAACTACGCGAAAGTCCAAGCAAGTCCAAGCCTTTCCAGGCTGGCCCGAGCAGACGAGCCAAAGGCAGACAGGGCTCTGAGCTCGTTACATCTCGGGTCCCCGTTGTCTGGGTCGCAAACACGCGCAAGCAAGGTCCGACCGCCCGGTCCCAGCGTTGCGGTACTGTGGTCCAGGCTGCGATCGCGTCCCGTTACCAGCTCTGTGCGCTCGGTGCCCGCTCTGAGCGCTGTGCCCGCTGTGGGTGGGTCCTCAATACGTGCTGCGCGACTGCGCTCTCCGTGCACAGAAGGGACGGGGGACTGAGCCACTGATTGCTCCAAGCCTCTGGCACAGAGAGAGCAGCAGGGCCCTAGCGTGATGCGCCCGAGAGTCTGTGCTGAATGCTCGAGCGACCTCGGTACTCCCCGCCATCGGTCAGACCCGTCAGAGATGCGGAACCACAGACACGAGTCCGCACGCACACTGCACTCTGTCCATACTCCTACAGTAAATGCACTTTGGATTTCTGAGGAGCGAACAGAAGGACGCACGGGCCCCATCCTCGCCCGGTCTCCCGGCGCAAGGCACCGAAGCCTCGTTTCTGCCCTCCCTGGCTTGCCAGGGATTGCTGACGTCCAGTTCAGACCCTGGGTGTGCCCGGGGTTCCCTGTGCCTTGCGGGCGTTGGGTTTTGGCTCTGGCAAAAGTGTCCTGTCCCGCATGCCACTGTCGACGTGCGTCGGACGAACGGACGACCTCGCTATTTCTGACCACGGAGGTTGCATCTCAATGATCGAGGGTTAGCTTCCAAAAGAGAGAACGGGAGGTAACAAAGGAAAGAGGGAGGGCGGACGGACATTCGTGTCGGGTTTCCATTGTTTCTATTCTTCTACCCAGCTAAGCAGCGACTCCTCACATTTTGGTCTGGGCCAATGACATGTCAGACGCGGTGACTAGCCCCGGCCTCTTTGCCCTAGATGATCGCGATCGCTCTCTCCCTGCTTACGTCCTCTGTCCTTCGGGTGAAGCCTGCCCTTCGAAGCAATCTGCTCCCCGTCCTGCGTCCGAGCGGTCTCATACTACGCTGACCGTCTCGTTGTGAAAAGTCGAGGCAGAGGTGCGGTGAGTGGGCCAGACCAGACAGCTGGCAAAGACAACTAACTGTCTGTGGGATTTCCGACAGCCCTGGCCACCCAACCCACTCCTGCAGATAGAGTTCGCCGGGCAAAAGTATCCAGCGCACAGCACAAACTCTATACCCTCCCTTGCTGCTGACGCGGCCCTACTTCGCGCCGGCGCTGTCGTGTGCGCAGGCGTTCCTGCCCATGTTCCTTGTACGGTGGGGTGCAAACTCTGCAGGACCCAGTGTGCTTGCACTGGATCCGGCGGGCACCTTGATGTGACGAAGTGTGATGGGTGCTTCCACCGGCTTTCCAAGTGACTCTTGGATTGACGTCGGTGTTGCAAGCGAAGGGGGGAAGGGGACGGGCGGAGCACGAGTCAGCGGAGACAGGCAAGCGAAGGGGTGGCAGTGTCTTGTGACGCGGCGGAGCGCGCGGCCCGGAGGGCCCGGAGGAGCTGGCGGAGTGCGTACCTCCTTGGATTCCTGGATTCCTGCGATCCTCCTGCCCAACATGTGCACTTTGTTTGGCAACTGTTCGGCGTTCCTGATGCACTCGGAGAGACAAGCGACCTTCTTGCGGAGAGGAACCCGCATGTTCTACTCCTCTTTCACTGTCGCAAAAGCAGGTTCACATGCTGTACTGAGTCATGGACGGAGAAAATCATTCGAACACGCCAGCCACGCGGGAGTGTGTGCTGCGCCGCTATTCTGACTGCCACCGAACGACATTCACAGCAACCATGATCGAAAGCATGCCGAAAGCATCGGTGACGGCAACAGAATCACAGAAGCAGGACCGAATGCAATTCATGAGGCTACTGCTGAGTAATGAGCACGGAAGGCACAGGAGCGCTCCGGTGTCTTGGTCCAGGATGGTGTCTTTTCGTATTCAGAGACGGGAAGGCCACAATCCTGGATAACAATGGAGTAGCTAGGACGTCTTAAACGCCGGTGACGTCGCCATGTCCGACATCCGTGTGACCTGTGCTCACGCCTTGTCTCGCAGCACGCAGCGAGTGCGAGACACGGGCGGCAGAGGCGGCGGTATGCAAACCCCATTCGAAGAGTGGCATGGCCCAGAAAAACTCATGAATTCTCCTTTTCTCGATCGGAACGGAACGATCAAGGCACATGCGGACACGGTCTGTGCATGATGTCCATCTCCGTTGTCCTAATCTCCTTCGGCTTTGCTGTCACGACCTCGCACCGAGGGCCTAACGACAAGCGAAGAGAAGCACGTACCGCGGCTCCTTCTTCCCTGCGGTCTAGACTACAGGAAAGACTGAGAGACGGACACTCTGATCGTCGCGGGTACATATCACAGGACGTGGTCGATCGCAACGCAAGGTGTCCAGGATACCGCGGATAAAGACAGAGCGTGATGTCCTTTTGCATCCCCGCTGAGAGACTCATGAAGCGGGAAGAGCTTTTCCAGGACTTGGTAGGAGCGAAGAACAGGGTCGCACGACCCATGCTCATGTCCTGCGACTTCAGCTCCTGGACATGCCCAGGAACGAGGACTGGAGTGTCACGAAGGTCACGGTCACGGGCAAGGATGCACATCGTCCTGTGGCGAGAGCGAGTCCCCTCGCTGGCGGGGTCGTTCCGAGGCCCCCTCCCACCTAAACCTGCAGGAAAGGAGACTCCTGGACTCGCCTCCTGACAGACGGGGCCGAGACGCCCACTCACGCCGGCGTCGGGGCACGGCGTCACCTGGCCATTCACAGCCGTGCTCGCCTCCGAGCCGCAAACCTTCGCCCAGCCAGCGGCGGCACCAGCGCCGTCTGAATCGTTTCAGAACCGCCACAGGTTCCTCCGGCGATCGTGGCGGCCTATCACATACGCTCAAGAAAGCGGCGCCGCCGACGTCGGAGCCTCAGCTTTGCGGTGTCTCCGACGCCCTTGCTCCCCAACTTTCGGTGGCCAGTGAGGAGCGCCGAAGAACGCCTCGTCATGTATCTCTCCGCGGCTGTCGGCTCCGTGTCCGAGACGGCGGACATGGCGAGCCAAGCAGAGGGCGCGGACGCTGAACGTGGGCGTTTTTGTCCTGTCGGAAGCTTTCTCTCCCCCGCACGCCTGCACGCCCGCACGCCGCGCCGCAGCAACCGTACAGTCCTCCAGATCGCTGGATCGGGGCGAGATCGGCTGCGTCCGAACAAGCAGACCGCCCAGATCTCACACAGCTGGCTGCGCCGCGGCACTGTCTCCGCGACTGAGCACCGTTGCGCCGTTGCGCCGAGCGTTGCAGATTGAAGTGCTGCGGATGGGACGTATCCTCTCGCAACTCAGGCCGGAGGCCGTAACATCGGTGCGTATCGAGCCCCGCTGCATAACGGCGCATCGCAAAACCTGACGCATACCTGATACAGGGTCCGATGGTGGTCCAAGCTTTACAGCAATTCCAGGATGTCGCAGGACACATTGCAGGATATCCAGTCCGCAGCATGGCTAGCGTGATCTTAGCGCCTCTCCAGGGAATGTGTACGCCGGTGGACCGGCGACTTTTGCACCACCTCCAGCATCCTGGGGTCCTTCCAAGTGATCACCACCAGCCTGTAGGCAGCAAGCTTCCCTGCACGGCTCCAGCGAAACCTTACTTCCTTCTGCACCGCCTACGTTGGGCAAAGCCCGCAGCCACAATTATGCTTCAAATCAGCGGGCTGCCAACGTTGCTCCGCCGCCTTCCTCGTGGGGTCCGTGCTGAATACGAACCGCCGGTCCCCTCTACCTGTCGTTGTACCTCGGTGCGATACGAACTGCCCCCCCCCCCCCTTTCTACTCCTCGCTGACTTGTTCGCTCGCCCGCAAGCCGCGGCGTGCAGGTGAGGCTCGAAAGTTCCGGGTAAACTGCCCTGGGGCCATTCAATAATAAATCCGTGGCTGCAGCAGACGTCTACTGAATACAGTTTTCCTGCCCGGTTTACTTCTGCAAGACTTTTCCATGCCAGACCCCTTTACCTTGTCGGCCAGCCAGCGCGCAAGCACTGGCAGTCGAAGAAGCAGAGCCGTAATGTCCCATGCGTGCCATCCGACGAGCACGCGAGCAACGACGCCCCACTTCGGCGTTCCTTACTTCTGGCATCCCCCACCTTCCTTCTCTGGCGTCCCCTCATTCCATCCTAGAATGATGCCTACACCGAGCAAGCGAGCAGATGAGCAGACGACCAGTACGCAAGCGGGGCTCAAGTTTGGGAAAGTGTGGCGTGCGCTTACGCTGCTTCGGTTACGCGCAGTGCCCAACCGGAGTGGCCGGATGCTCCGGGTTCTCCGGTCGACCTAATATCAAGAAGTCCAAAGGACCCTAGGACTCCGGGAACACCGCCGCCAGGACCGATTCAAACGCGCCAGTGGGCCCTCTGGGGAAGCTGAATGCAGCGGAATGTAGTGTCTCGAAGCGATATGGGCCAGAACAACTTCAGACAACAGGAGACGAACACGAGGCGAGCTTACGTCACACCCATGCACCGATCGTGGCATATTAACAACCCCCTTCGCCCCCGTGTTGGCCTCGGTCGGCACGGACACTTTCGGGACTGATGCGACAGCACCTGCTATTGTGTAAGGGGCTGGTGGTCGCCGTGTTCGGTCGCACATCGGTGGTCGGAGCTTGGCAGTCGGTCGGCCGCGCCCGGCCGTGCTCAAGTGACTATCGCAACGGGGGGAACGCCGTTTCTGGTCATGATCGCGAGCGCAAAGTCACATACCGCACGCCTCCTATCCGCAGTCGCGCGACCATGTGAAGATCGGAAGACAACTTGAATGAGAGGCGGACGTACGGGGGGACGTAAGCCACAACCACATGCGCTAGCAGCTAGGTGCCGTGAAAGTGAGCTCTCAGGTGCGATCACGATGAGAAAATAGAACGCTCCGAGGGTCCGAGGGTCATTCCGAGGGTCTCTCCGAGGGCCGCACCGAGGAACCGAGGATGACATTCGTGGCACGGAGGAAAGTGGCCAATTCTGCGCAGTGACACTGCCACTCCCGATCAGGCGTGCCAGTCTGATCGGCATCACTTGGTCGCGCCGGCCCTGCCGCCGGAGAAAGCGCGCGGAGGATGCAAGGCCGCACCAGTGATGGCTAGGCCACAGTCTCCGTCGCACGTGCATGCTGAGTCGCTTGTCTGGTCTGGATATGAGCAACACGTGAAAGAGACGTTTGCAGTATGACGGGGCCCCACTGTTTTGGCCAACGCTTCTTCCGTTCAAGTAACCTCAATGTCTTCACTGAGCGCTGTTATGTCTCACTTGTGGCGCCATGGGAAGTCACGACAGCCACAGGCGCGGCGTGGTGCGAGTGTGTCGAGCATCCGAATCAGTGGGGACGCCTCCGATAAGCCATCTTCTCGGCTACGCACAGCCGGGGCCGCAACTTTGGAAGATGGACCAAGATCCGAGGACGTTCCAGCCCAACAGACGCGTGACGAAACCTGACGCGGCGATGTGCGGCTCTGGATTACAGAGAACTGGAACCAGAATGGCGAATGGCGTACTGACGGACTCGCGATTCGAGGACACTTTAAGGAATCTCAGGAGCGCAAACGAGCAGCCCACCGTATGGACAGGTAAGTGTGGCGCATCCGACCCATGGGCCAGGATGGCGGCGCCATCCATTGATCCACCGAGACCCAGAAGACCGAGTAAGCGTGCTGCACGCTTCCGTTTCGGATGCTGCTAGCACGAGCGTTGATCTGCAAGGTGCACGGAAGCCTCGCTCCTGGCATCTCTGGTGCCGCCGGTAGCGCACGATCGTCGTATCTGGTGGACGTACGGCTTCGCACACCAACAAGAGTGGCGCGCTCACACGCCCCGCCGCTTCCGGCGTACACCCGGTGCGGCGCGGCGCACCCCCGCCGCCGCATGCCTACTCGGAAGAACCCTGTCGGCTCTGTCTCAGTTTCACGCCGAGGCGTTGGCGTGTTGGCGTTCGGTGACTGCAGAGGATCTGGTTTCACACTCACATGGGCATAGGCTGGCCGGGCAGCTTTAGCCGGATTGACCGGCGAGACCGTGAGCAAACGTCCTCCGGTAGAAACAGAATTCAGAAAAAAGTTGAAGAACGATACCGATATGACTGTCCTCCGGGGGGGGTTGATCGTGGCATGTGGCGCGGTAAATGTTAGCAGCGAGCCGGTAGGTATGTTCGGACGTGCTGCTTCTGCTCAGCTGCTACTTCCAGCGTGCCTACGACGTTGAGACTTAGGTAAGCCTACTCAGTGGCTATCGAAGTGCAACGCTTCTGCTGTTGACGAGTGGGAACGATGCTTGTGCTCCTACTGGTCGAGCAGACTTCATTTGTTCAGCGGCGCGCTCGATTGATAGCTCCATCGCTCGACGATCGTTCGCTCTCTTGACTGGAGCTCGTACGGGCCATGTTCGGGCTAGATTCTCGCCTGTCAGCCCTAAAGATCAACCCGCTGCCCCATCGGTGTACCAGAAGGGCAGTCACAGCCCATGCCGATGTCAAGCGGGTGAAGTGCACCTGCACAGCGCAAAAGGCGTAATAAGGACCTCCGCCAGTCTGCAGCTCGTGCTTTGAGGGCGGCTCAAATGCTGTCGGCGTCTGGTACCTGGGGTGCAGACAGGAGGAGAGGGACGTCTGCCCTCCAAGGCGAACCTTGGCTCATCCCCGCCACGACTGGCTCGTCCTTGGAGGAGATCTCGGAGCGGAGTGCTGATGTGAAGTTGGCCGCCAAGCACGTGTACGCTCATTACGGAGTCTCATCACGGAGTCCCAAGCCGGAAGGTGCGATAGGCGAGGTCGAGAACATGCGCAAGCCACGTCTGACTCGGAAGCAGCGCCGTGTCGAAGGCGTGTCCGAAACGGGCCTCCTCTGCCCGAGCCAACGGATCGCAGGAGGCGCAGGGAGCCGTAGACGAGTGACGCCGGCGAGCTGCGGTCACCAGGGCATTGAGACAAGCTGCAAGTGAGCCGTATGTCATTTGAATTATGGTCTGGCCCGGCGACATGTCGGGAGCGAGCGAGTTGCCATTTAGAATGGTACATCGCAGCGGCGAACTTGAGTTCTCACAACAAAACAAGGTCAGCCTAGGCTGAAACAATCCCTTCGACAACGTTCTCATACGAGGCAAATAGCTGGCAGAATTGGACTGCCGCGGTAGTCCGCATAACGCATCAATGGCAGGTGCGTATGTCAAAGAATAATCGCACAAGCAGGTTGGGACATCTCACTGTGGATTTGCGCACCTCACCCCGCCTTAACGGCAGCTTCTGCCAAACGACCTGAAACTCGGTCGAGTTAAATTTGCTGAACAACTGTGCCATCACAGCCTCTGAAGGATGCACTGGCGACGATGAAGCTGCTCCGTGCGATGTAGGCGGTTGATAGAGGTCAGTAGTTTAAGCGATCGCACTGGTGGCTAATCACCACATTGCTGTGCTTGATACTTCCACCAATGCGGTCAGTGCAGATATTAGCGAAGATCATCAAGAGATCACCGGATAGTTATGGGCCCAAGAAGATCGCAGGGGGCATCAGTGCCAAGCTCGCGTTTGAAGAAGAGTGAAGAATGAAGGCAGTCACAGAGAAACTGCGGCCAAGAATCAAAGCGTAGTTGAGCAATCGCACTTCTTGGCTGCAGCACGGAGCATGACGCACCGTTCCTGAGGCGTACTGCAGCCTCTGCAAGCGCAGCCAAGTAGATAGCAGATGTGAAGTGAAGCAATTGCACATGGTCAATTGGAAAGTTGTTGACGTTCCTTAATCATCAGTCGATGACGAAGAGGCTTGGGTCGATTGGAGCGTTTGATAATCGGGATCAGATCGTCATCGGTGCTCTCTGTACCGTAGGAGCACTGCGGAGCTAATACGCTTGAGAAGACAGAGTGCATCGCCTTGTCATTGAGTGCACCGAGGGGCGGCTTAGGCATGGGATGCGGCGCGTTGCGACGCCGCTCAAAGCGGTGTGAGTAGTATTCCGAGACAAGTGGTGTTGGAAAACTCGATGAGGGTGTTGAGATCGGCCATCGGCGCTTACCTGGATCTCTCATGATTGTTGTGAACTCAAATTGGCCAGATGTCCCTCTTGGACATGGGTCGGCGGGGAAGACTAGTGAGCTGGAAAGAGCGGTGGCGAGGCAGTTATGGGTGGCAAGAGTGCAAGAGTGGAATGATGTATGCCAGAGGAAGGTGTTCTGAAACGAGACGCGTCAAGCTCGCGCACACAGTCTCGATGAGACTGCTTAGCTGTGTCCTGGTTGAGGGGCGATGAGCGGTGCAGGACGCACCACGAAACAGCCAGGTGACGGGCGCGCTCTAATTGACTAATTGCCGCCTGGTTGATCTGCGCGTCTGCGATGGCAACTTGTAAATCCGATTAGAGTAGTACTAATGGCCGAGAGTAAGCTGGATGACCCTGCCGTCCTGGAATCCTGGCACAAGCCAGCGTTCGCAGCTTGGAACGGGCCTGAGCTCCCCCAATCTACCCCTTCCTTTCATTCATCGTCGTCATACCACTCGTGCTCCTCATCTTCCTTTGCCACAGCAAGCATCACCAATACCTACCTGCGCTCCTTCACTACTCTTGCCGTCGGCCTATACGCGCCCGACCTCGCTATCCGACTTGAAGACGTCGATCTGCTTGTTATTACCCCACATCCCCGACGACGTTATTGCCTCTTCTGGGCGACCCACCTCGGCAACCTCCCGTTTCGTACCATCTCCATTTGATTTAGCCCCTTCCAACGACGGGGACTCAACATTACGACCTCTTTTTTCTTCTCTACCTGTTCCTTGCACTCCATCTTGTCCTCGCGCAAACCGTTACGAACTCATTCGAGTGTCGGTTTAACTTCGCCCAATTCGAAACCCGTCACGACCCTCATTTGTGCTCTGTTCGTTTTCTGTTCGCGTCTTTGCGACGCTTCTTTCTTGAGCACCTCCCAACTACCTGCTTCCATCATCGCCGCGCTCGGCGGCATTGCTAGACGTCGTTAAAGCGCATGCTATAACGCGTCACAATGGCCGTCGCCTCCCAATTGGGGTTAAGGCAGAACCACAGCCATTCTAGTCATGCCGCCAACGCACAACAAGCTCAGGTAAGCCGAACCGTGTTGTTGTGACGTCTTGCTGACACAACAGCTTGCAAATGCCTACCAGAACCTCGCTCGAGAACTCGCATCGGACCAGATCAAGGTCGTTGGGGGTTACACCTTGGGCAAAGTCATCGGTGAAGGTGGGTGCAACATGGTTGTGTAAGCTGACATTTCAGGTACATTCGGCAGCGTCCACATTGCGTCCCATCGCGTCACGGGCACTCGTTGCGCGATAAAGAAGATCCCAAAGTCGGCTACACCGCAGCTGACGCGTGAGATCCATCATCACCGGCGGTTGCACCACCCACATATCGTTCATCTCCATGAGACTATCGCTACCGAGTCGCACATTTGGCTGGTTTCGGAGCTCTGCTCCGGTGGCGAACTTTTCGATTATCTCGTTGAACGCGGTAGGCTGTTAGAGGGAGAAGCTCGTCGTTTGTTTGGAGAGCTGTGTACGGCAGTAGGGTACTTGCATCGTCAAGGCGTGGTTCATCGCGACCTCAAGCTGGAAAATGTCCTCCTGGATGGAGAGATGCGAGTGAAGCTCGGAGACCTTGGTTTTGCCCGAGAGTACCAGCGAGGAAGACTGCTCGACACATACTGCGGTACTACAGGTAAGTCGATAGCTTCGATCTTAGCTGATAGGCTAGGCTACGCGTCTCCCGAAATGCTTGCCTGCAAGAAGTACCTCGGTGTGGAAACAGACATATGGTCCCTGGGCATCATTCTGTACACACTCCTCTGCGGCGGTCTTCCCTTCGACGATGACGACGAGCGCGTCATGAAGGACTTGATTCAGAAGGGAGAATACGAAGAACCAGAGTGGCTCTCAGAGGGTGAGTGGCACGACCAAGCTGATTGCTAACTTCTCGCAGAAGCCCGTTCCCTCATTCGCAGTATGCTACAGCACGAGCCGGCCGACCGACCCTCGATGGAGGAAATTCTTACACACCCATGGTTCAAGAAGACACTTTACGACAGTGTTACCGGCGCCACCAGCACGGACGACCCTAGGTCGTTGGCCAGTGTGCCTGCTTCCCCCATGGCCATGCAGACGAGTTTCTCGGATACCTCGCGATCCGGGATGCCGTCGCCGGCTTCTTCGTTCCCCTTCTCGCCTCGCACGTCACGGCAACGGTCGCAAATCATCGAACCGCCGGCCCCCAACGCGGACCTGGACAGTGTGCAATCGGAAACGTCCTTCGACTTCAGTGACACTGTGCCGGGGAAGCCGACCTCCGGGGAGTACTTCTCCAACGACTGCGGAAACCGAGGAAGACGCTGTGCCTACGGAATGTCCCCAGCTGAACGAAAAGACTCTTGAGCTGCTGCACCGCAACTCGTCGCAGAGTACGATTCGACATGCTCCTGATGGGTCGAGCACCTCAAACTTGTCACTCAGGAGCCGCTTGGCGAAGAACTCGAGCGTCGAGTTTGTCGACGACGAGGATCAGATCACTCCAAGAGAGAACAAGCGTCTGAGCACCAGCAGCTTGCCAATGATCGACGAGCGTTCGTCGTCTCATACGCACCTTCCGTTGGCTGAACATTCTCGCACACCGCTCCGCACCAAGCGACGCAGCTTGACTAGCCAGCTCACGATGGAAAGACGACATAGCCACCAGTCCATGTCGAGCCAATGGCAAGCCTTCCCTGCAGAGGACTACCTCGAGATCCTCAACGCCGATCGCCCGCCTTTGTTCTCCACGCCCAGCGAGAAGCTACTGCTTTCACGTCTATCGGATCTGGGTTTCGACACTGGTCAACTCATGCACAGCGTCAGAAGCGACGCTTGTGACACCAGTGCTGCCATGTGGTGGATTTTGAGATTGAAACAGCTGGAGCGTGGAGAAACAGACGACCTGGTGCAATCTCGGCAGGAGAAGCGCAAGGAGCGCCGTCGACGTCGCAACAACGACAAGGCGACTCCCAACGTGACTCTGGCAGAGCCATCGCTGTATACTGGGTCTGGACCTCCATCGCGACGAAGATCGCACGAGGAGAATTTCCTTGCATCATCCACAGCAAGCAGCTTCAATCCCCCGGAACAGACGCAGCTCCAGCCGCCGTCGACCTGTGCCTCACCAACATCACCCAGCACACCACAGGACCAATCCCCGTTGAAGGAACGCAAGTCGCGGCAGTCAATGAACATGCTTCAGAGAGCAACGTCAGTCTTCGTTGGAGGCAAGCACGGCGTCAACAAGAACGGCCACGCGGATAAAGCGGATCGTCCGAACCCCGAGGCAGACTCCAAGGCTGCCCGTGCCGAATCGCCCACCAAGCGTGCGTTGTTAGGCCATGGTGTGCCCGCTATGCCTATCTTGCCGACCAAGGTCAGCAAAAGCGACAGCGATCCAACTTTGGCGGCGACCGATCTAGCGCCCAAGACTCCTCCTCAGGCGGTCAGCCCAGCTCGCAGTATTCCGGAACAGCAGCAGCAGTTGCAGCAAGGTCAACAGGCGGCACAGCAACCGAAGGGGCCAAAGAAAGACTCCCTTTGGACGACCTTCCGCCACCTCTTCATCGAGGATAAACGCAGAAGGAAGGGCCGGGAGGAGAACGCAGCGCCACCTCCAGTTCGACCGCCACCGGTGATACCTTCGCGCGGTTTGAGTGCCCGTGGGATGTCGCGTACCTCTCTGCCGGGGTCGAGCCGACGAACGAGCATCGACGGGCGGGTCATCTACAGCCATCGGTCCTCCGGCGTGAACAGTCGCCGGAGTTCTGTTACGTCCATGAATCAAGACTTCACCATCAACAAGTTCGACGGTCTCAACCTAAACCGACGGGCTTCCGAGCGATCCACTAAGAGCGCCATGTCTGCACGAAGTGGAGCTAGTACGCCCAGCGAAAGACTCAGTCGGGCAAGCAGTATCCGGAGCCGCCGGAGTCGGCGACCTCGCACACCAGGAGGAAGCTTCCGGCCACCGCCTTCCCCGCTCCACGACTATCACCGTCGGGCAGCAAGTGGAGGAGCATCGACGCGAGTTCGTCACATTAAAGTGCTGCACGAGGCTAAGGCTCTCCGACCTTCCAGTGTCGCATCTTCCATCCGGTCGAACTGTTCCTCTTACGACTCGGACGATACAGGTCGAGAAGACAACAGCATTCGCAATTACAGGAAGTGGAGCGACGAGAAAGGAGGTAGCTTGACACAGTTGGCTCAGCACCCTAATAGAACGCGGAGCCCGTTGGCCAAAGGGCATACGTCCACGTCTTCTGCAGGATCTGTAGGATCTGTTGGTCTCATGTCCTCCGCCAACGGTCTCAAGCAACCGAAGCCTATTCGGGACGTCTTTAAGACCAAGAAAACCGCAGACGACGACGACGATGAGTGGGAGTCGGAGCAAGACGAGTTCTGCGGCGGATTGGGCCAGAGCTCAGTCTCCACTTCGAACTATACCTCCAATCCCACGAACAAGTGGAACACGAAGAAGAAAGACATTCGTGTCACCACCACATCGGTGCGGAAGGCGAACCGGCACGGCGACTGGGGTCCGTCCCCACCCAGCGTCGGCATCGGCATCGGTATCGAGCGAGCTCCGTTCGGCGACCGCGGTAGGAACCTTGCGGACACCAAAGAGGAGCAGAAGCGAGACCGAAGCGCCGAGCGAGAGAAGAAGGGCGGCAAGGAGAACACCGCGAACGCGAACTCGCGTAGTAGGAGGGGAATGCCCGCGACCCGGCAGGCACCTGTGATCGAGGAGGAAGAGGAGGAGGAAGAGTGATTTGCATTCGTTTCATTCGGACAAGACAAAGCTCTCGCTTTCGGTTTTGGTCATACACATCAAGTTTAGCACTTCTCGCAACGCACACTGGCATTTGTTTGTGCCCTCATTACCAGGACGCTGATCTGTTTTTGTTGTATTTGTTTTTCCAGCACCTCTCCACTTGCGTGGGCCGCTCGAGCACGCAAGTGCATACATTATCACACTTCCCCTTTAGCCAGGGGCATTATATATACAATTTTCACAGTAGATGTTCGTCTAGCAGACTATCATGCAGAAAACATTGCCCAAACTCATGCTCGAAAGATGCTAAAGGATGCATGCAACAGCGACAGGATGGATCTATGAGTTGGGCAAATTTTAGAACTTTCTCGACTTGGCAACGGTCGAAATACCGGTCTTCTCTCCAGAGTACTGTCCGCCGAGCGCGCCCTGGCCACCCTTGTACACAGCACGCTGCGACGAGACCTTCTGCTTGGCCTTCTCGAACGCCAGCTTTTTCTTGACACGCGGGTTGCGACCGGCCTTGTTCCTCCTCGGGGTGAGGCCACGGTTCTTCTCGATGGCACGGGTGATGGTACGGGGCCCGTCGGTCGTCTCGTCCTCGAACGAGGCGCTGCATATTAGCTTGATCGTGCTCCGTAAGCAAGGGAACTCACAACTTGGCCTCGCGGTACGCCTCGTGGGCGTCGCGCTTCGCGTCCTCCTTCTCCGTCTTGCGCCGCTTGACGAGGTCGTAGTATCCGTCGTCGTCCTCGTCGGCGACCTCGTCGCGCACCTCGCGCGCACGCTTGCGGTCTGCGTCCGTCCACTCGCCCCCGTCCAGGTCCTCGCCGCCGTTGCCCTTGGGGGCGTTTTTGCGCAGCGCAGCGTCCCGCGCAGCCTGGCGGTCGCGGTAGGGGATGCGGTTCTTGGCCGCGGTGCGGCGGGCAGCAGTGGCGGCAATCTTGGACGTGTGGAAGCGCAGCGAACGCTTGCGGCGCTCCTTGTCCGCCGCGTCGGCGAGATCGAGCTCGTCCGCGTCGCCGTACACGTCCTCGATCGCGCCGGACTTGGGCACCTTGGCCGACTTGGACTTCTTGCTCTTCTTGCTTGAGATGAAGGACGGCTCGGCGATAGGCGTGAAGGACGCTGCTGGGGTTTCGTCGTCGGACTCCTCCGAGTCGGAGGGGGAGATGGGCGCAGGCGCCTTCTTTCCCTTCTTCCCCTTCTTGCCGCGGGTACGCTTGCGCTGGCCCTGCTCCTGCGCGTCCTGGAGCAGAGCGCTGAGCTCGCCGTCCTCCAGTCCGGCCGTGTGCCAGAGCTGGTTGGCATCCTCCTCCTCGTCGATCTCGTCCTCGTCCGAGGGGAGACCCATGCCGCTCGCCTCGTTCATGCGCGCCATGAGCTCGCGCTTCGAGGCCAGCAGCTGCGCCATCTCCTCCGGGTCCTCCTCGTCATCCCAGCCCTCCTCGCCGGGACGGACGAAGAGCTCGGGACCCTTGTCGGACACGGAACCGGCGGCAAAGTCGAGGTCCTCGAGGGCGACAACGCCCTGCTTCAGCTGCAGCAGGCGCTCGAGCACGGGATGCGTGCTCATGTCTGGCCGCTCGGAGGCGGGGAGAGCACAAAGATGAATGTAGAAAGCGAGCGTCGTAGCGTAGGTAAGAAGCGTTTCTGTCATCAGCTAAGAGACAAGGAGGTCAGCTTACGGTAGTGGAGCCATCCGAGACCCTTGTGGAGGTTCTCCTCGCCGACAGCCTCGGCGCTCATCGCCTTGATACCCTTCGCCGTCTTCTTCAGCTTGCGCAGGACGAGCGGGAAGTCGCGCACCAGTGCGAGCTTCAGCGGCTCGTGGGCGGCGTCTCCGGCACAGGAACGGGAACCTTAGTGTCCTCTTCATCGTCCTCCTTTGCAGGCCTGATGGGTCAGTTTGGACAACAACACATCGACTCACGCAGCGTCACCATCGGCAAGCACATCGTCCAATCCCCAGTCGTCGGCGGCAACGGCTTCGCGCGCCTTGCGCTGAAGACGACGGACCTCCTTCTCCTCGAGCTCGCGCTCCTCCTCACGCTCGCTGTCGTACTCGTCACCCTCCTTCTCACGCCGGGTGGAGGGGCGAGAGTAGTACTGCCGTCCCCACCCCTCTTCCTCCTCAGAGTCGGAACCAGCTTCCTCGCTGTCGCTCTCCTTGCCGTACCGTCCCTTCGTCGAGTAGTCAACCTTGGCCTTCTCCTTCCGTTGCTTGCCTGTCGGCGCATCTTCCTCTGAGTCGTACTCGTCCTCGTCCTCCTCCATTTCCTCGTCATCGTCCTCGGCGGTCATGCGCCGCCTGGGCTCCTCAAGGCCGAACACCTCCTCGCCCATGTCACCGTTAATGTCCTCGTCATCCTCCTCGTCGCGCGGGTTGAACATGATCTGGTCGCGCTTGAACATGACTTCCTGTTAGCTAGGGCGCAGTATCGCAAGCAGAGACCATGGCAACTCACAGTCGTCGACGCCGCCCTTCTCGATGGTGTCCTCATAGCTGTCAATCTTGTCGATCGTCGCACCCGAGGCCTTAGCCCCGCTGCTTCCTCTTGATCGTTTCCGGCCCATGGTGTTTGTTGTCGGGAGTGCGGTGGACGTCAACAAGGCTGAAATTATGGCGGCCTCGCTGAGCGTCATGAATCTTCAACTTTTGGAGGTCCCGCACGTGGTGTGCCCTGGGTGGGACGCGCCTAAACCATAACATCCAGTTAGGCATGCCAGCTTGAATTTCAGTTACTCGCGGATGCATTTGCCACCCATCCGTGCCCAAGGATCGACATGTCCTGCATCGAGCTCACGTAACTCGACCTTCACACCGCGAAACACAACCACCAAAATGCGCGTTCACCTCCGCCTTCCCTCGCCTCTCGGTACCCAGGTGCTGCATGTCGACGGAGCGACGCCGGCGGGCGAGCTCCTCCCCTTCGACAGTGCGTACCTGCGCACGCGTACGCGGCTTGTCTCGCTTGACGAGCCCGTCGGCGGTCTCGAGCTCGCTCCCGGCTTCCCGATCGACATCGATGTCGTGCCCCGTACGCTCGGAGGCAAGGGTGGTTTCGGTGCCAACCTCCGTGCTGCTGGAGGTCGCATGAGCACGGCCAAGACGGACAACACGGACTCGTGCCGTGACTTGAATGGCCGCAGGCTCGGAAGCATCAAGGAGGCACAGAAGTGAGTTTCCTTAGCTGTAGTCTTGATATTTCTCCAGCTAACATTCAGGCAAGCAGAGCTGATCGAGTCGCTCCCCGCGCTTCGCGCCAAGGCCGCGGCGGAGAGTACAGCCAAGCTCGAGGCGCTAGAGCGCAAGCTCGGTGTGTCGTCGGGCGGTAGCGGTGAAGAGGGTGCGAAGCGCCTCGCCGAGGTCGACCTCGAGGAGCTCGCGCGCAAGAAGCACAAGTTTGAGGATGACAAGTTTATCGATGAGACGCGCGAGATCAAGGAGAACGTCCGTTCCGCCGTCGGCGCTGCGCTGCTTAAGAAGCGCAAGAAGAACAAGGACGCTGCGGGCAAGGGCAAGGAGAAGGCGGCGGCCGACAAGGACAAGATGCCCCCGCCCAAGGCTAAGCCCGCCCCCGTTGCTAGCGCCGCCTAGCCTGTAGCTCTTCTCGTGTTGTAATGTATTCTCTGCGTGTGCCACTGTGACCCGTGTTCGATTACATGAAGATATGGTTACAACAAGATACAAAACCTCTAATCCTCATCTTCCGCCTCGTCGTCACTCGCAAGTGCCGCTCGCAGGCGTGCACGCTTCTCCTCCTCTTTCCTCTGCTGCTCAGCATCCTTCGGCGCACGACTGCGAAGACTGCGCCGCACACCTTCTGCTGGCGCGGGAGGAGGGGCTCGGCCGCGTCGCTTCGGCGCTGGCTCCACATCGCTCTCCTCAGCCTCCTCTTCACTCTCCGACGCCTTGCGCTTGCGACCCCGCGTCCTGCCGTTTGCTTTAGCCTTGCCCCGGGCGCTCTTGGCCGTGCCTCGCGTGTTCTTCGCTGGTGTCGCAGCTGGCGAGTTGAACCTGAGCATGATCTTTGGCGTGCCGGAGCCAGCGCTGGCAGCCGCGCGCGTACGTCGAACTGGGCCAGCCTCTGCAAGCTCGGTTGGCTCCGAGTCCGTGGTGTGAGCGTGTAATGCAGCGTCGATGTCCGTTTCCTCCGTGGGTTGATCGGCAAAGTCGACAACCTTCACCGCCTCGTCCACAGCAGGCAGCTCTGGCTCCGCTTCCACCTTGACCTCCTCCATCTCCTCTTCCGGGCTAGGTGATAAGCCAGCACGATCTTGCCACTTGGACGCATCGTCTCGGCCAGCCATCTGCAGAATGGAAGCCGCAGTCCTGGGTACGTTCGGGCCTGTGGGTGTTGACGGGGCTTTCGCCATCGGGTTGAAACGATCGTTGTCTTGTTTCTGGTCGTCAGTGGACAGTCCAAGCAGCTTGACTTACGTTGTCTGCTGATCCATACTCGGCACGGAGACGCAGTCTCACGCGTAGACCATTGATGAGTTTGGACCACCGCTTCAGAGCAGCGTCCTCACGCCTCTGCCTCTCGCGCTCCTCCGCAGCAGCGGCGCTCTCCTCGTATGCTTCCAGCACGGCGTCCTCGTTCTCGGCTGCAACAACGATGCCAGTTAGAACTGGAATAGCCCTCTGCTTCTTGAACTCGAAACCGGTCTGACGTCAGAACGTTCTTGCGATTGACGCGATACCTACCACAGCCTCAGCAAACGAAATCCCAAGCTTTTTTGCGACCTTAGCTATTCCCTTATCTGCTTGTTAGCTATCAGACTGGACACTGACACTGACATGGAAGGTGAACTGCTCCGGCCGGAAGCATAGTTGGTGTGTACAAATCGATGTTTCCGTACGCGTTCTGCGGTACTATGCCCTTTCTCGTCAGCAACGGTCGTCATGTGTGACTCACATTCTCGATGGGAGGGGGCACGTAAAGTTCGGTCTGATATTCGGCGTAGAGGCCCTGCTGAAGAGGCTCGAACCCTTCCTCCACTGCGGCCTGCATTGCCCTACGCTTCTGCAATGTGACCGCTCGCTGTTTCACCCATTTCAACGGCTTGGCGTCTTTCTTCACCACGCGGCCGACTCTGATCCAATTCTCGGCCGTTCGACACGCAAGAACATGTTTGCGGCGGTATACAGGCTCTCCTCTGAAGCGTCCGCATTCTCGCTTTGGTTGTAGGACTTCCTCACGTTTCAGGTGGCGCTCAAGCACGAATCTAGAGCCAGTTAGGTCGTCATCAAGTGCTATTAACTCACATTGGATGGTCTTTGAAGCCGCTCAGATGCATAGGCATCCCCTCAGAACTCTGACTCAACTCAAACTCGGCATCTTCCAGGTCATCGCGGTTCAAGTGGATAGGGCGCTGCAACATTGAGACCATCCCAGACCACCAGTCGGGTTCGCCAGATTTGCTTGGTGGCCGAAGCTTTGCTGTCTTCGCACCAAAGTTCTTAGCGTACCGCAGAGTTACGTCACGAGCATAACCGTCTGCGGAGTCAGCAGAAGTATGATGATGCCCGCTCACCTTCCTCAAAGCCGACGACGTAGATCATGCGCACCGGACCACTGTCGGAGGTGGGCTCATAGTGTGCCTTCTTTCTGATGATTCCCGCGACGGGGTCAACGGGAATCCAGCGCTGGTCGGACCGGGAGTACACTTCAGCCCAGAAAACGGGGGGCTGAGTCGTCATGTCTGAGGGGCGTCAGTCTTCCGTTGTCACCGGCTACTCACCCTCTTTGGTTTTCTTCTTAGACTTCGAGGTGCCGAGTTTCTGGGGCGCAGGACGCTGTGGTCGAAGACGATAAAGGTCGTTCGGGTTGGCTGCCCTTCGCTGTCCACCTCCAAAGGTTCTTTTCTGTCTCTTGGAACTGGAGCCAGCCGACGGAATAGGTACTTCTTCGAACTCATCCTCGTCTTCCGAGGCCTCAGATCCGTTCCCTTGCCTGCTGGCTAATGATCTGCCACCCTTGCCGGCACCTGTCTTAGACTTCTTCTTCTGCACGACCTTCTCCGCCCTCCATGGCACGGGCTGCAAGCTGACTACCAACCGAGCTCCAAGTCCACAAGCACGTGCGAGAGCGACGAAAAGTTGGGCCGACATATCTCGCGAACCCTCCTGCTGCAGAGCCTTCTTCATAAGGCTGTTGACACTCCGGACGCGTTCACCGCCGTACTCTTGGGTCAGAGCATCGATGATGGGATCAACTTCCTCGTCCTTCTTCTTTCCTTTTCCCTTCTTGCCGAGTGTGGATTGACCGGCGAAAGTACCCGACTGGAAGTCCCGCTTCGTAAGCTTAGGAAGGGTATCGATGACTTCTTGGACCTCGTCCCACGTCCGCGTACGGAGTCCTGACGTTGTATCCGATACGTCGAAGAACGCCTGTGACCACCAGGTCACCAGGCTCTGGAGAGCGTCGAAGAAGAGTCGAGATCGCTGAGCCTTGTCCGGGAAGCGTTTCGGCGGAATCACGAATGCCGCTTGCAGAGGATGTGGAAGTAGGGAGAGCAGGCGAGCCTGACAGTCAGTCGATTGCGTGGAATTGCCCTTACTTTAAGAAGATCATTGGTAAGCCACCGGTTCCGCAACCGAGCCATGGCAAGCTGGCTGATTGTGTGAAGTTTGTGAATCTCCAGCCGATGAGCCCTATCCTTGGCGGTCATCGGCTTTCTGGTCGTATGAGCAGAGTGGCTTGGGCTGTAACTCACTTTCGCAGAGCCAGAGCGATGCGCTTTTCCTTTTCCTCCTGGGTCTCACCACCAATCTCGACGCTGATGACTTGCTCCTCTTCGTCTTCGTCAAAGTCTTCATTATTATCCTCCACTGACATCATCGAGGTGTCGAGACCATCGGCATCCGGAGTGGCGACTGTCGACGGTCCAGCCACGGACGACAGGCCGTCCGGGGTGGCCACGCCGGCGCCGGGAATCTCGACCTCTTCGAACTCATCTTCCTCTTCAGAGGCACTTCCAACTTCGACCGGACTGTCATCGGGGATCTCGATGGCGGATGCTAATGCGGTCAACAAGGGCTCGGTCAATTTGCAACCAACCTTTATCTCTGCCCTTTCCCCTCACCGACGTCCCGCGAGCGGGTGTTTTGGAGGAAGATCCAGTGACAGCCATTGTCACTGGATCGGCGTTGATATCGATTAGCTTGCTTCGAAAGTGATTGGATCGATGACAAGAAATGCGATGGCTATGACGGTGGTTGACTGTACTTTCCTTGGAGTGAGCGCAAGTGGAGGCCGGACCTCGCACCAGACGTAATGTCTGCCACGTGGTATGGAGATTCGGGGATGTTCCGCTTGCGTTTGCGTCAAGGACTCAAGGACTCAAGTATTCAACGTACTCGGCAGGATCCTGAGCTCTGACCAAAACCGCTATTCCGACCTCGTTGTCAACATCCCTCTTACCACCGTTTCGCGAGCGTATGATCAGCACGCTCTCAAAAAGGTTATCGGGGGCTCTCATTCGCAGGACCACCCCTTCTCCCCAGCTTTCTGCTCTCAGCTCCGCCTCCCGCTTGCGCTTCCAGCGCATCCACAGCAGCTCCCAGCAAAAAGCGCTCGCCGCCGAAGCCGCAGCTTCTGCCTCGGTATCCCCTGCCTTCAACCCGTTCACGGCTCCTCTTATCTCTCGACCTCAGCAATACACCAGGACAATGCCGTCCAAGTCGCCTTATGCTCGTGACTACGGAGATTTCAAGCTCGTTCAGAGCTTGGATCTGACGTACGCTCCGGTCACCGTTTCCAAGTGGCGTAGCGAGAAGACTGGTCTGACTGTTACGCTCGGCAACCACTCTTCGCCACTCACCCGTGGCTACTTTGTTATTGCCTCGGAGATCTTTGACGACACTGGACGGCCGCACACCCTCGAGCACCTGGTGTTCATGGGCTCGAAGTCTTACCCCTACAAGGGTGTCCTCGACCACCTCGCGAACCGCGCTGGTTCCAACGGCACGAATGCTTGGACTGCCAACGACCACACCGCGTACACGATCACGACGGCGGGAACTAAGGGTTTCCTGAACATGCTGCCTGTGTACGTCGACCACATTCTGCACCCCACCATGACGGACGCGAGCTTCGTTACAGAGATTCACCACATCAACGGCGAGGGCGAGGATGCCGGTGTCGTGTACTCGGAGATGCAGGGTCGTGAGAACACGAGTTACGACCAGATGGCGCTGAAGTGAGTACGCGAGACAGACTGCTGCTGGAACGTTGCAGATCTGCCCCAACCTGTCTCAGGAATGCTTGCTTACATGATCAACAGGCACCAGCGCGCCCTCTACCCCGAGACCTCTGCCTACCGGTCCGAGACCGGCGGCCTGCTGAAGATGCTTCGTATCCTTACCGCGCAGCAGAGTGAGTACACGCGCGGACAGTGCAGCTGCCGCACCCCATATCACTCAGCCTGGTGACTAACCTCCGCACAGTCCGCGACTACCACGGCAAGTACTACCAGCCCTACAACCTGAACCTCCACATCGATGGCGCCGTCAACGTTGACGAGCTCTTTGACGTCCTGAACAGCAAGGTTGAGCCGATGATTCTCGAGCAGAAGAAGAACCAGAAGGAGATCATCCCCTCCGACTGGAAGCGTCCATTCGTTGAGACGAGCACCGCCGAGCCTGTCAAGCTGCCCGAGTCCAAGACCCAGGTCGCCGAGTTCATGGAGACGGACGAGTCGATGGGAGAGGTCATGTCGGTGTGGCTCGGCCCGCAGCCGAACGACTACACTACCAAGACCGCTCTCGGTGTCCTTGGTTCGTACCTGACCTACTCTGCCACCGCTCCCCTGCGCAAGGAGTTTGTTGAGATTCCCGAGCCGCTGGCGTCCAGCATCAGCGTCTTCCCCGACTCGAAGGTCAACCAGTGCGAGCTCTGGATGTACGCCGGTGACGTCCCCAAGAAGCACTTGATGGACATGGCCGAGCTCGTCCGCTCCAAGATGCAGAAGATTGTCAAGGAGGAGGGCATCGACATGCAGCGCATGGTTATGATCCTTGCGCGTGAGCGCCGCTCGCTCCTCAACGAGATGGAGCTCGGTACGTCAAACATCCTGATGGAGACGACGATCACCGACTTCCTCTACGGCGACAAGGACGGCAAGGACATGCCTGCTGCCTTCGAGGAGCTGACGACGTTCGACGAGCTGTCGAAGTGGACTGCCGACCAGTGGGCTGCCCTTCTCGACAAGTACTACGCGTCGGCCCCCTCGATCACGACGATCGGCAAGCCCTCGGCCAAGATGGCCAAGGAGATTGAGGAGACTGAGAAGGAGCGTGTTTCGAAACAGCGCGAGGATCTCGGCGAGTCTGGCTTGAAGAAGGCGCAGGCTGAGCTTGAGGCCGCGAAGGAGGAGAGCGACCGACCGATCCCGCCGGAGGTTCTCACGAGCTTCCCCGTCGTCGACCCGAAGGACCTCACCTGGGTGCCTGTCGAGACCGCCCTCAACCCCGCTCCTGGGGACAAGATCTCGGCCGACAACGCCAAGGTGCAGCAGTACATCGATGCCGACGGCGCGCCGCTCCCGTACCAGGTCTACTTCTCGTCTGTTGCCTCGAACTTTGTCACGATCAACGTTCTCTTCGACGCCGCCCGCCTGCCCTCGCACCTGATGCCCTACATGGGTCTGTTCCAGGGCACTCTGTTCCAGTCGGACGTGAAGCGCGCGGACGGCACGACCATGTCGCACGAGGAGGTCGTCAACGCGATCAACGAGCTCACCGTCGACCAGCACTCGAGCTTCTCCTTCCGCCGTGCGTTCCAGGAGAATCTCTGTGTGTCGATCAAGGTCGAGGCTGAGCGCTACGGCGAGGCGGTCGCGTGGCTGCGGGATGTCCTCGCCGGCGCCGTCTTCACCAAGGAGCGTCTCGAGGTTATTGTTGCCAAGCGCCTGCAGTCACTTCCGGGGCAGAAGCGCGACGGCCAGCTCGTGGCCGCGAGCTACGCCAACAAACTTGCGTTCGACCCTGCCAAGTCGCCGTCCGAGGCCAAGGGTCTGCTGACGCAGCTGCACTTCCTCCCCCAGCTTGCCGAGCAGCTCAAGACCGAGCCCGAGGCGGTCGTCAGCGCCATGAACGAGCTGCGCGCCGCCCTCCTCGACCCGACGGCGATGCGTGTCTCCGTCTTCGGCAACATCCCCAACCTGCCCAAGCCGCGCAGCACGCTGCGCGAGAACTTCCTCCCGATTGCGGAGGGCAAGCCGCTGCACGCGCTCTCGACGTCGGCGCAGACGCTGACGCCGCTCGGCGAGAACCCGTCGCGCAAGATGAGCCTCGTGTCCATGGCCGCGATCGAGGGCTCGTACTCGTGCCACTACGCCCTGGGCCCGAAGGGCTGGGACCACCCGGACCTCGCGGCGCTGATCCTGGCGACCAGCGTGCTGAACACGATGGAGAGCTACCTGTGGAAGTCTATCCGCGGGTCTGGGCTCGCGTACGGCGCCGACGTGCAGGTCGACCCCGAGGCGGGCCAGGTCGAGTTCACCGTGTACCGCTCGCCGAATGCGTGCATCGCCTTCCGCGAGGCGGGCAAGGTGCTCCGCTCCCTTGCTTCGGGCGAGACCGAGCTCGACACGAACATTGTCGACGGCTCCCGCGCATCCCTCATCTACTCGTACGCCGGGAAGAGCGAGACCGTCGCCGCTGCCGCGTCCACGGCCTACGTTGACCAGGCCCTCAAGGAGGTCGGCAAGGACCACAGCCAGCGCATGCTCGCCAAGCTGCCGTCCATCACGGACGACGACGTCCGCCGCGTCATCAACCAGTACTTCGTCCCCCTCTTTGACCCCGCTACTTCCATCGGCGCCGTCTCCACGAACGCGGGCAAGGCCGACGAGGTCGAGCAGGGCTTCAAGGAGCTCGGTTATGATGTCAGCCGCGAGGAGCTCCCCGAGCTCAGCAACGAGGACGAGTACAGCGGCTCCGAGTCTGGCTCGGACTCGGGTTCCGAGTCTGGCTCCTCCGACGGCGAGCCCATGGAGGACGTCCGCAGTCCCTAGGCATGTAGTCAAGTAGAACATAGCATGTACACACCCATTCACGGAAAAGTGACTGCTGAATAGGTGCATTCGTCATCGAAGTGTATCTAATATAAGGGGGGTAGTCCACGCGTGTGTAAAGTAAGAAAAGAGAAGTTCTTCGAGTAATTAACAGCTACGATTATAGGTTTCTGAGTGTCTGTCAAATGACCCAGAAGTGACGTGTATGGTTTTGCGCTTCAGATGCGTTTAGACACCACCGAGCCACTCCTCGTCGGGCGGGCTGCGGTCGACGTCGACATCGCCCTTCTCGTTCATGTGGGCGTACTCCGTCGACGCAGGGACGCCAACAGAGTTGATGTAGTCCGTCTCGTACTGACCCAGGCCGGTCGGATCCTGGGCGTTCCAGATGATGGGTTGGGGCTTCCACAGAGCAGGGTGGTCGAAGTGGTGGCGAGCGGTAAGCTCATCCTGGCCACTGGCGATCGCCTCCTCCTCCTTGAGGTTATCCTTGGCCTCGGCGTAGACCGCCTGGTCGGCGTTGGAGGCACCCTCAACAAGGTTGGTCTGCGAGCCACCGCCGATGCGGGAGCCCTTGGGGATGCCATAGTAGATCAGGTCCTTGGGGAAGCGGAACCAGTCGATGTAGGTCTGGAAAGCGGCGACGATGAAGCAGACAACAGCAAGAATGATGCCGCACGCCATGCCGGAAGGGCTGCGGCTGCCGTCGGGCCTCGAGGACATGATGAAGAGAGCAGCAAGACAGACGAGCTCAATGTACAGCGAGACGAAGACAGTGCGGAGAGCCTTGACGTAGTAGAGGCCACCAGTCTCCATAACGGGGTCCTGGGCAGCCGTCCAGATGAGAGCGTACTTGTAACCGGCGTAAAGCATGAGGGTGGCAACGAGACAGACGATCGTGATGAAGGGCTGGATGATGGAGTAGACGATGGTGATACAAATGGTGAGACAGAGCGTCGGCCAAACAGTCGACCACTGGAACGAGTCGAGCTTGTACTTCTGCTGGTAGGCCTTGCGAGGGGTTCCACCGGCGAGTACACCACGGAGCTGGTACATGACGAAGGGCATGATGCGGGCGAACGATTTGGCGGCACCGGCCCAGTTGGCGGTCAGGACATAGGTGAGGAAGTAGATCGAGGCGTTGGGAAGCTTCGAGGAGAGCATCTCGGGGATGTCGCTCACGGTTCCTCCAATGTCCGAGAGGGCGGAGATGAGACCAGAGGCAAGAGTGACGATGAGGAAACCGTGGATAACCCAGAACAGCCAGTAGCGTGAGAAGAGGCGGAGCTCGACTTCGCTGGAGCGGATGCGACCCTCCTGCTTGATCATCATGCGAAGGACGATAGGCAGGAGCATGTAAAGGACAGCCATGAGAATGGCGGGGAAGACACCCTTGATGATGCCAAGAGCCGCTCCGGGAATCTTACAGATCCAAGCGAGCCAGGAGGCCTGCTTGCACATGGCATCAATGTTGGAGACCATACCAACAAACGCGACGGGGATAGCCCAAACAATGATGAGGCCAATAGTGAGGGCCCACGAGACAGCAGCGCGCGCCTTGCGCTGGGCGCCGCTGATACCAACGTTGTTCCAGATGATGTCGTCGGGGTACATCTCAATCGAGGTCTCGAGCAGCTTGAGGCGCTTGTTGCCCTTCTTAACATTACGAGCAAAGTAGTGAGCCTGGTCCTGGGTCTGGAAGCGAACGAAAGCGACGTTTCCATCGGGGTACTCCTCCTGGCGCATGCGCTCGATCTCGTCATTCTTCTCCTTGATCCAAACAGGCGAGGTCTGAAGGTTGAGCTTGTTGCCGAAGAGGCCGAGGAAGCCCTGCTTCCACTTGGGCTGCTTCTTCGGGAGACGTAGCGGTCAGGAAGAGAACCACTCTCCTCGTTGAACTGCCCCTTTGCGGCGGGAGTCTTGCCCTTGCGCTCATTCTTGAGAGCCTTCTTGAGAAGCTTGCCGACACCGCCCTCGAGACGGGTGCACTCCTTGTTGCGGCTGTCGTAAACCTTCTCGAGAGGCTTGACCTTCTTGGAAAGCCAGACGTCGGTGACGGCGCTGCCGCCAGCATTGGGCTCAGCGATGGTACCCTGAGGCGCGACAGCGCCCTCCGTGCCCATGCTGGCGCGAGGGTCGTCAACGCCACTGCTCAGGCCGACGTTAGCGGCGAGCTCCTTGATAGCCGCGGCAGAGTACATGCTCTCCGGAACGCTGACCATCATGATGGTGCGAGACTTGAGGCTAGGGCTGTTGGCGCGGAGCCAGCGCAGACGGATGTCCATGAGGTGGTTGTACTCATGCCAGATCAGGTACAGAGTGAAGAAGACCAAGATGAGGGCGATGAAGAAGTGGGCGAGGTGTCGGTTGAGGTTCGCAGCCGGGACGTTTCCGAAAGCAAACATGTTGAGTCCATTCTGATTATTGTTCGGCTTGACGGCGGAAGCGGGCAGGAGAGCGGCAAAGGTGAGGACGAAGTAGGGGACAAGCATGTAAATGCCAAAGATCTTGACATAGCGGAGGAAGAAGTAGGCGTCGGGTCCGTTGGCCTGGAGGACCTCGCTGTCGTCCAAGCTGAAGACTCTCCTCCACCAGCTTACAGGTTGCCCAGGCAGAGGGTGCGGCTTCTTGTCTTCGGGCGCGAGGATGGTTCGAGGCTGGAAGACTCGAACGAGCGACTTGCGGTAGTGGAAGACCAACCAGAAGAGCACGCAGACTCCTACGGTGATACATCCAGTGACCAGCGCCGCGACGAACTGGCCGGTCGTCTGGGGGTCGGTGTTGGCGTCAGCGGCAGTGCCGGTTGACATGTTGGAAAAGCTACTCGCGGCTCGCGGCGATTAAACCAATGCCTAGCGGGAGTCTTGGCTGTCAGCGGTTCGGCTTAAGAGTGAGAGCGGAATGCCATCAAACATCGACAGGAGAATACGGGCTATACGAGCGCCCATTGTGATGGGGATCGCGGGCAACGAAAACTCGAGGACAATGCGACGTGACAATGAGGAAGACGGAAGTGATCGCCGCCGCTCGGATCGGCCGTGCGCTGAGAGCTGTCTAAGGCTCGTCGATCCAGGTACAACGGCCGGCCTTCATCGCACAGCCCTGTCGGTGCGTCCAGTGAAGACGGTGACAGGTGTTTACTCACGGAGCTGTTGTTGTTGTGGATGCCCGTTAGCGACGGGGTGTCGAGCGACTTTGACGCGCAGAGTGGTGGCGAGAAAGCAAAGAGGGGATCGTTGAGAAAAGGTGAGCAGGGTGCTTTGTTTTGGCGTATGGGAGTAAGACATTCTGCAGCAGCGGCGCCAGGTATGGGTTTAGAGTTACCAACTCCAGCGGCGGCGCGCGAGACGCCAGACGCCACACAGAGCATAGGACGCTGCGCTTGAGGGTGGCCACGACGGGCAGAACGGCAAGACGCCCGGACGCCAGGGCATGGATCAGGGTCCCATTAACACGATGTAATCGGGAGCAGGATCGCTCGCCGTCAGGCCAGAAGGCAAGGTGGGAGGGATCCACTATGACTCTGCCAATCCAACATCAGGGCGGGGCGTGACTCGTGCACCAGGCATGCAGCGCGTGTCTGCCAATCGCGGCGCCTGCAGCACGACGGAGTGTCTGGCGGGTGTTCAGGACTCAGGGCCAGATCAGACTCCAACTCTAGTGTCATTGCTCGATTCAGCAATTCTGTCATAGTTGGCCTAGCGCTGCTAGTCGCGATTGATGTCATACCCCGCCCGCGCCCTGCGCTTCTTGCCGGGTGGCCAATCAAGCGTTCCTCAGCCTCAACCGGCCTGAAGCAGCCTGACGCTCCGCAGCTTGGCTGTAGGGTTGTACCTCACCCATACCTTTGTGCGCAGACTTCGTACTCCTTCCAAGATTCGCCTGTAGTCAAGTGAATGCACTCCTGCTCCTCTGCAAAACGTTCTCCCTTCTTTGAGGGCACAGCCGACACAGGTCTCACTACTGCTGCTCGGGCTGGAAACTCGTCGGGCTCGTATACATCCGACCTCAGCGTCCAATGAAGAGCAATGATGTCACGTCGCGCCTTCGGCGCTCAGACTTGCCTCAGCGGCGTATCGAGCGTTTGATCCTTGTACCTGAGTACCTGTGCCTTTAGCGCCAAAGTCGTTCGGCCTCTGACGCGCACAGAGTTCATGAGTAGATCAGTGTCCTAGCATTGACTTCTCTGTGCGCTCTGTCCCGCTCCCCACGTCGGCATCTGTGAGATCGTCCAGACTCTGAGGGCTGTGCCAAGCGCGAGAGCGTCCGAGGAATGAATGGATCGGGCTCAGACTCGTGGAATCAGAGGTCATCGAGCACTGACGTAAATGCATTCTGGCATTACTTCACCGCGCGGTGCGCTGGTGCTTGCCCATGATGCATGGTGGAGGACGCGCCACGCGCGGCGCGCATCATCCACGCGCTGCGAGTCTAATGAGCGCATTAGCACATTCAACTCATATGTGTCGGAATCCCTAGATGGAACATCGATCGCCGCATGCCGCCGTAGCGCTACAGCGCATGCGGCAAAGCCGACGCCACATAAGCCACCATCTCCTCATCTGCGCAGTAGCGTGTACCCAACATCCTTACCTCTCGCTCCGATCCCGCCTCGGCGACGTGCGCCCTTGTATCTATCCCTATTGAGCTCTGTGAGGCCCAATAAAGCAAGGCCCAAATATCACAACCCACTGAATGTCTATTCTGAATTTCTCAGGGGAACGCTCGTCGCAAATAAATTTCTGAAATGCGCTGCACTACGCTGCGTGCTCAGGTCTTCGCGAAGGCTCAGCCAGCGCGATCGCTGCAGCATCGTGGGAATACACTGAGCCAAAGCGAAGCTCAGCAGGCTCAAGGTTTCAGTGTCACAGGCCAGACCAGATGGTGACTCCCAAAGCGCGGCGAGGAGTGGGTCTTCCTCAACGGGATGTCACTCGGCGTCGGGATCGCGGGCTAGCGGCCATCCTGGTCTCCGTCGAAATGCTTCCGCGCACTTGTGAGGATGACACACTCGGACGCTGAAACTCAGCATCCGAGGTGAGTCACGGGCATGGGTATCTTATTCACTCCTCCTACTTAGGGAATTCCCTGAGGGTAGATCTGCAGTTGTTAGGATGGAGCCGCTGGTCTTGGCGCGAGGGCAGGTGGAGCGTTGATCAGGTGCACCTCGACACCATAGGGATCTTGTTCGCTCCGCATGGTCTGCGCTCCGCAGTCGCCGAAGCTATCGAAGATGGCTAAAGAGCTGGAAGCTCTCGTTTTGGAGCTGGGTATGACGCCTTCTCATCTTCTGCTGTCGCTGCAGGCAGGAGAACCGGAATGACTTTTGTGGCGATCCCCTACCTCGCTCCATGCCGGCCAACGTCGGCCAGATCCGCAACGTTGGAATCTATCAAATCTCGCCAAATAGCGACTGTGCGCAAGGACGTAGAGGGGGCCTCTCACCTCCGATCCTTAGATGTTGCCCGCCTTCGCCTTGTTGTGCCATTGTTACGACGCACGGAGCGCTTGAAGGATTGGCCAGCCATCGCAGCCCGCCAGATGTGCCATGGACTTGGGCCAGAACCTGACCTTCTGTCGAAAACAAAGGGCTGCGTGTAGCAGGTTCCCGTCTCATGAACCAGAGCGATCAACTGCGACGCTCGAAACATTCTGCAAACCACCTCATGTGCGTTTCACGCTCCAGACCGTCGAAGATTGCGCAGAGAGCACATCTGTCAGTTACCGTGGCCGTGCCTGGGGCTGGACCTCTGTTTTGCCACTTTTGCCACTGTTTACGCGACTCATCCGCAACCACAATTGAGACGCCTCCACTTCAAATCAAGACCGTGAAATCCATCCTCAAGACCAAGACCATGTTCAGGTCTTTGCTGTGCTCTTAAGAGTTGCACCTATCGCATCTCCTTGACAGTCTTGAAGTCCGGGGCCCACCTCTCGCACCCGCTGCGCTCAGCCAAGGCGCGCACGGCGCATAAGGCGCAGTGGTTCCGGTGCGAGCTGTGTACCCTTCCGGACCATGATACACCCGGACACCTCGTGCTGCGACCTCATTCGAGGCTGTTTGATTACCATCCTCGAGGCAGATGGCATGCGGATCTATGCAGCAGCCCCACGAGATTATCAGTCACGAGACCACTCCGAAGCTGCCAAGAACGTTGGCTGCGTTGGCCACCGCCATCATACGTATGCACGAGGGTAAGCAGCTGCCTGACTCCTTATCGGATGCACGCATGCGATTCGGTGTCGTGATCTTCTGCCAATGAACGTTGCTGTATGGAGCCCAGCTTCGGTCACGGGAGCAAATTCGCCGGACGGGGCCCTGCCAAGTCCGCCGCCAAGGACCAAAAGTGAGAGCGTTTAGCTCGCAGTCTGCTCTTGCAACTGCTCTACTCCGCTGCAACCCGACAGCTTGCTCTTGGCTCGCCGCAACGACGCCGGACACCTAGCGATATCAGCCTCCAACCCCGCAAACATCGCCAGCCTCAGCCTCATTGACAGGGCCGAGACTCCGGAGCACCGAAACGCGACAGCCGCCCTCCACTTGCCGGCGGCGACTCCACTCCCGACATACATTTCGAACGACGCCGTCGCGGAACGACGCTGATAACAATTGTCAAGGCGAACACTGAACACTACGCTTGTCAGTTATTTAGCGCCGACGACACAAGGACAAGCGCGCCGCTCCACCTATCTGGCGACGCCTTACGGAGATGCAAACCACCTCTCTAACCTATATCAACAACCTACCAACCTAAACGAGGAAGACACAACAGAGACGCATAGAAAGCTCAGATGGCGTTTCACCCGTTCGAGGTCGACGCAGTCCATCTCGCGTATACCATCCTTGGCGCGTTCGTCGTCATCTTTGGTCTCTTCTCCGGCTTCATCAAGGAGAAGCTCTACCTCGGTGAAGCACCGATTGCAACAGTCACGGGCATTATCCTAGGCCCGCATGTGCTTGGTTTATTCGATCCGATAGGATGGACCCATGAGCAGCACACAATCGACTACATCACGCTCGAGGTGACCCGAGTGGTCATTGCCATCGGCGTGTTCGCCATTGGCGTCGAGTTGCCTAAGGTGCGTTCTTAATAATCTTGGCGCTTGGAGCGCACACGCAGATCTGATCTGCCGAAGCGCGCCCGATATCTTGGCGTGTCTCTGGCGCGCACGAGCACGGCTTGGCTCGTGGCTGACTTCCCAGCAATACATGAAGCGGCATTGGAAATCAATCTTCTTCCTGCTCGGCCCGTGCATGGTCTATGGCTGGCTCGTGTCCGGTCTTCTGATCTGGGCTATGATCCCCGGCCTGACTTATTTATCTTCGATCGTTATCTCCGCCTGTCTTTCGCCGACTGACCCGATTCTCGCGCAGGCTGTCGTCGGTGGAAAGTTTGCAGACAAGCACGTCCCGTCGCACATCCGTCACCTGCTCTCCGCCGAGTCGGGATGTAACGATGGAGCGGCGTTCCCTTTCCTCTACATCGCCCTGTTCCTGACCCTTGATAAGAGTGCCGGTCACGCCGTTGGAGAATGGTTCTACTACACCTGGGTGTACGAGATCATCATGGGCACCCTCATCGGTACGCTCCTCGGCTGGTCGGTGCGCAAGGTCATGCAGTTCTCGGAGCGCAAGAAGATCATTGACCGTCAATCGTTCGTCGCCCAATACGTGAGCTTGGCGATTCTGTCCATTGGCATCTGTACCCTTCTCGGCAGTGATGACCTGCTGGCCGCTTTCGCATGTGGTACGGCGTTCGCCTGGGACGGTGCGTTCAACAAGGCGACCGAAGACTCCATGTTCTCCAACGTCATCGACCTGCTCTTCAACTGCGCGTGTTTCATTTACATCGGTGCGATCATCCCCTTCAAGGACTTTGGCAACGCTGCATTCCACCTTTCGGTGTGGCGTCTCATCGTGCTCGCGATCCTGATTTTGCTCCTGCGCCGCATGCCCATCATCCTCGCACTGTACAAATTCATCCCCGACCTCAAGACGTTCCACGAGGCCGTCTTCGTCGGCTGGTTCGGCCCCATGGGTGTTGGAGCTATTTTCATTGCCACTCTGGCTCGCCACCACATCCCTGAGCCGGTGAACGACGGCGACACCTCGCAGGTCGACCTGCTGCAGGAGACGATCGTGCCCGTCGTGTCGATGCTCGTGCTCGCGTCGGTGCTGACGCACGGCCTGTCGATCCCCTTCTTCATGTCTGGCCGTCGCGTGCACACTCTGACGTACACGTGGTCGCGCAACCCGTCGATCGCGACGAACAACGAGCCGGCTTGGACGACGCATGCGCGCCGCATCATTCCTGGCCAAGACGTCGAGATCAACCGCGACGAGGAGGAGGGCGACCTCGGCATGCAACATCGCATGGAGAAGTCGAGTCACGGCGACACGACGGACAGCTCGCACTCTGGCTCGCAGACCAGGACGATCGAGGGTCAAGGCGAGAAGATCACGGAGAAGCGCACGCGCGATGGCGAGGAGCACGTCCGCGTCGTCAACGACGGCGCAGGCACGCCTCCAATCGCCGAGTACCGCGAGGGCCATGATCTGATCATTGAGCACCGCGATGGCGCAGATGACTGTGACGTGACGACGCACGTTGTCAAGAATGCGTTCCGTGACAACGGCGAGCCGCACTCCAAGTTTGAGGAAGCGCGCGACGTCGTGCACAACATCATCCACAGCCGGCCCGGGTCTCGCTCGTCGAGGTTCTCGCGCCAGTCTCGCGAATCGGGCCATTCCATGACGCCCGTGGCGTCGATCGACAGCGAGCACGCCGATGACGGTTTCGTGCGCCGCGAGACGGGTGATGGTAAGAACATCATCGAGCTGCCGCCGAATGACTCGCCGCGACCTGCTCGCGTCGACACTCCTCCATCACCGAGGAGCGGCGCACCCCCCGTCATCGTCACCGACCACGCATACGACAGCGATTCTGAGCACTCGACCAACGCAGGCAGCGACTACGAGGACAATGGCGGCCGCCGGCCGTACGCGCACCTGCAGCGCCCCAGCGTGTCTTCGTCCCGTGACGAGCCCTCCGTCAGCCGCACGCAGAGCACGCGCGACTCCCTACCCCACGTGCACAGCTACATCCCCGCCGAGCGCCTCGCGCCAAAGAAGGAGACAGGCGGTTGGCGGCGCTTCTTAGGTGTTGGGCGGAAGCCGCAGTCCTCGCACCACGCGGCCGAGGAGGGCCGCGCGCGCCCGTCGACGCCCGACTCGGACGACGGCGGCTTCAAGCGTGTCCCTACCACTCGCAGCGTGCACCGCACAGCGACGCTGGACCCGAACGAGGGCGGCATCCCGCTGACGCGCACGCTGTCCCGCGCGATCAGCTTTGCGCCTGACATTGCGCCGAGCTCCGACACCGCGCCGAGTATCGGCAACAATGGCAACAATGCGCCCGGCTTCAAGCGCAACCCGGACCTGAGCCTGTTCCGGTCGTCGAGCATCCGTTTCGCGGATGACGAGGACGATGATGACAACGACAATGGCGGAGGGCAGAGTGTCAGCTTTGCCGAGCCGAAGAAGTGAGCGACCCAGGAGAGAGATTGTGAGGACAGTGAAAATGATGAGAGCGACAAAGTCCCCCCGACCATCGTCAATACTAGAGCGAAAGTGTAATAGAGGTGCTCCGAGCCCGTGTGTGCCCGAGACCGCGTTGTGTATTGTCCATTCAGCATATCTAGCATCAGTAGTGTTTCCGCAGTCCGTTGCATATCATGACTTTGCGTGCAGGTTGCTTGCGTGCATGATGCTTGTTGCATAGTGTTCAGTGGTGCTTCTAAACTCGGTCTACTTGGACTCTGCCACGCTCTCTCTCCCATCTTCTCTCAATGCTCTCCTCCTTCTCGTCGCTCCCTTGCTCCCTCGCTGCGCTCAGTCGCTAATTATCCTCCTTCTCATGCCTCGCCGGATCCCACGGCGTCCCCTCCCGTCCCTCCAGGCTAAGCAGCGGGTGTTCCTCCTGGCTCTGCGTCAGAAGCCCCGTCAGGTTCTCATTCTTGGCAATAGCCTTGCGAAGACAAGCTTGGTACTCGCGCCAAGCCCGGCCGCAGCGCCGCTCGTACTCGGCCGCCTTGATCTCGTGCCGCGTCATGCCGACTGTGTCGAGCGGCTCGAGCTCCTCGGCATCGTGGACGTGTGGACTGCTGACCATGTCGTCGGCAGAGGGGAGGGGCGCGTCGTCCTTGTGCCTGTATTGCCGGAACACGGGCGAGTTGGCCCACGACGTAATGAGGGGTTTCTGTCGTCAGCTCACAACTCTACGTAAGCAGTTGGGTACACTCCACTTCGCCCGCTCTGACGAACGCTCCCCCTCTGCTTGGGCAGCAAGCAGACCGGATTTGCTTGCTGCTCGCTGCTCGCTGCTCGCTCGCCCGACTCACCTTAAGCGCCGCCTTGACCTCTTCCTTCGGCACGTCCTCGACGCGGGTGACGCTCGACGTTGCCTCCCCTTGCTCCTGCTTCTCCTCGCTCCCGTCAGAGAGGGAGGGGAACGCGCCCCGCTGCGCCTGGGCCGCCGCATCGAGCGCTGGCTGCAGATACCCCTCGAACCAGAGGTTGAAGCAGGCGTCGTACCGCTTCTTCAGTGGCGTGCATTCCTCCGCTAGTGATCTGTGGTTGTCAGCTTGAAGCCCAAAGAAAACCAGAAAGCTGCGAGCGCTCGTGGGGGGCTGTGATTGTGTAGTGAGGCCATGGGAGGGGAAGGGGTTGCCCCGAGGTACGCCTTCCTCGCCTCGCCTTACCGGCTCACGGCTCGCCTGGCACGCCTGGCTCTCACTGCTATGCAGAACAGCACGACGGAACGCTCCGGCACTTAGTACGGTATCCACGCTCCTTGGCGCCCCGACCTGCACAGTCTGGCCGCTTTGGCCTAGCGGCGAGCTCTCCTCGCGCACTCACGCACTCGCGCACTCGCGCACCCCCGCACCTCGCGGCGGACTACGTCGGCCCCGCGGCGAGGAGGATCGCGCGATGAACGTCAAAGCAGAGCGGAAGAGCGAGGAGCAGCCCGAAAGCCAGAACGCCTCGAAGCGCACGCCCCCTAGCCCGTCGTACTCACTGCATGGTGTCGGAGTGTTGGTGTGGGTGTAGAGTCGTTCCGGAACGTCGCGATTAGCCCGAGGTTACATCACCACTTGTCTGAGCCCTGCTAGCCCTGGCAATGTTCGGCGGCGACTGGATTGGAATTTTGCCTCCGCCAGCGCCTCTGCCAGCTCCGCCACAACCATCCACATGACCCTTCCCATCTTCCACTGGCTATCGCCTATACGCCACCATGCAACTCATGGTGATATTGAAACATCGCATCTCACACTCTCTCATACTCTTACGCTCGCTACGATCGCTATGATATATACCCGGAAGCTCGAGGGAAACTGCGCTGCAGTATTCAGTTGACTTTGTTGATTGGCAAATTGATAGAATTGTGGGATGAATGGAGATGCTTGCGGTTGCAAGACTTTGTGCTGTACGAAACTGACAGCTTTTGGTGGATGGAGGCGAGTCCTAGGTCACCCTGAAGCGGACCCACGGCGCTGTTGTAGTCTGCTTAGGCAGGACACTCGTCGCCCTGGCCCTCGACGACGACAATCTCCTCCTCGTCCTCCTCCATCATGCCGACCTCCCACTCGGCGTCAATGTCCCATCGCGAGCCGGGCGCGTTCGCAGAGAGGTACTTGACGAAACGCATGACGCCGGGGTCGCGCAGGACAAGCGAGAGACGGTTGAAGCCAGGGCCCATGGTGAGGAGGGGGCCCTCGTCGTCGTCGCCGACTGAGTCAAAGTCCGAGTCGCTGAACTGGTCCGGGTCAAACTCGAGCTCGACGCCGCCCATCGAGATCGACGGCTTGGGCTTGTCGTCGTCCGCCGCGGCAGCAGCCATCTTGGCGTCGCCGTCGGCCTCGGCGCCGTTCGCGCCGTTCGTCTTGCCGTTGGCGCCGTTCGTCTTCGCCTCGGCCTCGGGCTCGGCGGCGGCAGCCTTCTTCTCGGCGGGCTTCTCGGCAGCCTTCTCAGCGGCCTTCTTGTCCTCGGCGACAGCCATGTCGGCCTCGAGGTTGGGCAGCGCCTCCTTTGCCTTCTTGGCGAGAGCGGACTGGTAGACGGCGGGGTCCTCGTCGGCGTCAGGCGCAGGGAGGTAGCACTCCCAACCGCCCGTCTCGAGGATAGCCTCCTCCTCGTCGCTTCCGGGAGGGACATCGGCCCACGGCGTGAGGGCAAGGCTCGCGTCGAGGCGGACCTCACCGGCGGACGCCTCACCCGCAGCGAGCGTGTAGTCGAGTCCACGGCGGAAGCGGCGAGCCTCGGAACGGTAGGCCATGGGCATGAGCGACGAAACGACCGAGAGCCAAGCGCGGAACGCCTCGGAGGGAATCAGATCCCGGAGAACAGACTGCAGGGCGGGCATGTGCTCCGAGTTGCCCGTGAGCGAGGCGTAGCGGTGCTTGCTGCTGGGGCCCTGGAGCGTCCAGCCGTCACCCTCACCGCACTCCTGCTTGGGGATCAGGCGGTCGGGGTAGTCGCGCTTGTCGGCCTCCTCGCACTCCTTCTTGATCTTGGCGGCGAGCTCGGGGTTGAGGAAGTGGTGCAGGACAGCCTCGGACGAGGCGACAAACTGGCCGGCAAGCTTCTCGAGCATCTCCCGAGACAAGTACGAGTCCTTCAGGAACTTTTTGAGGAAGTTGATGTGCACAGGCTTCAATCCAAGCGGGGGTTCAGTCGTGTAAGGGACCAGCGGGAACATGGGCGCAGAAGTGATCTGCGCGAGCGAACTGAGAGCCTGCATCTCCTTCTCCTCGTCAAACTCGCCGTAGCCCGGCTCGCCCTTCTCGGGACGGTGGAACCAGCCAGAGACACCCAGGCGCATCCGTCCGTCACCGACAATGACCTCCTCCACACTGTGGTAGCTGCGTCCGGGCTTGACCTGGAAGAAGACAATCTGTCCCCACGAAGCCGGGACCCTGGCGATCGCCTTGGCCGAAGGCAGGCCGCGCTCCTCACCGTTCTCGACCGGGAACAGCTCGAGCGATCCACCCCATTTCGGGTCCCAGCCCTTCTGGAACTTGCCGCACTCGGACGGCTTGGAGAACTCGGACGGCGGGGCGTCATTGGGAGAGTTGGGAAGGTAGAGAATGTAGGAGATGACACGCGTCGAGATCGAGTCGTCGTGAAGGAGCAGGTGGGATCCCTTGGTGTACAGCGCAACCGAGCCGTCATTCTTCTTCGCCGACAACGGTCCGCAGCCAGTCACGTCCTGCACAAACTGACGGAACTCGTCCGAGTAGAGCGCATTCTTGAGGCGCGTGATGTTCGGGAGGCCGTTCAGCGTCTCCTCCGGCAGATGGTTGGGGTCTAGTGACGACAGGTCTGGCGTTTGTTGGATCTGCTGGTCAGTCCGCAGCCCTTGTTATTGTGTTATTGCTCATCATCGGCGCACTCACAGTGTAAATGTCAGTCTGCTTCTGCTCCCAGCCCCATCCCGGCAGCGCGCTGTCCTCTCCGCGCATGCCATAGCTGCCAGCCTCCTCGACTACGGACTCGAGCTGTTGCCGTCAGTTTTGAACCCACGATTCGCCATAGGACCAGCTTCATCAACAAAATTTGGTCGTCCGCTTGTAGCGCCACCGCACTGCAGCTTGCAACAACGGATGAGTCCCTGCTAGTCGACGGCAACGACTGCGAACAAAATTTTGATGGAAGTCAGTCACCGCAGCATACTCACGAGCTCATCGCTGAGGAGGTTGTTGACGATCGTGTGCTTGAACGGGGTCGATGCGTCGTAGGACTGACGAAGGGCCGTGCGGGCAGCAGCGTCCGGAAAGTTGATGGCGGGGGCAGGCTTGGCCTTCTTCGAGGCGCGCTCCGGACTGTTGGACGGACGTGGTCTCGCGGCGGGCATTGCGGTCGGTCGGGGGGGAGGTGTCCGAAAATAAAGCGGAGGGGGTGTGCTCGGGGCGGCGGAGAAAGTCGAAGAGGAGACGGGAGGGAAAGGAAAGTCAAAGAAAGATATTGGGGAGGGTCGTGGGTACGGCGGGATTAGGATGCAGTCGCAATGCAAGGATGGGGGGGATGGAGTCGGGGTAGTCTTGTGCGTCGACTGGACGGCGAGGAGGTAGACGGGCGTGGTGTGAGAGTGAGCAGGGTGCGGTGAGAGCGCGGGGGTGTCAGGACTGACTGCCTAGGATGTCCAGGATGTCCAGGATGCTAGGATGCTAGGAACAAAGTTGATGAGCGCTCGGGTTGGACCGGCACAATCCGACCTGGCGTGCGCCTTCGTCCCTCGTGTGTCTTCGCCGTTGGGTAAAAAGGTAATACCAATCTTGGCCGTCGAATATAAAATGGCCCGGCAGATTTGTAATGGGCTCTTAGAGGTTAATAACCCAGGGGCAGGTGAGGGACCCGATATGCCGGCGAACGGCGCAGGACGGCTTGGGGGATCGGGCAGCATCGCGCGAGATTACACGGACGCTTTTTGCCCAGTTCCGAGACTGATGACTACTCTTCCAACCCTCAAGCCTGGGCGTTCATGAGGAGAACGACCCTCGGGTGTCAAGCCTCCACCCAGAACGCCATGCACCCTCCGGCCCTGGGGTAGATTCGATTCCTTGCGATCCTGCATGCCTTCCTCGGCAGCCCATCCACCACCATGCCACCAGGCCACCAGGCAGGCTTCATGAGTTAGTTGGCTGACGGCTGCTCTCGGCTGGCGCGCGCGGCCGCGGTGCCTGGCCTTTTGTTTTCGTCAATGGCTCATGTGCCCATCATGCATGTCGTGACAACTCGCCGAATCTTTCCTTGATCATTCATCAAAACGCATTGGCAGGCCAGGCCACATATACGCGCCAGCCAAATTTTATCAGATGGCCTCGCCCACCACCTCCTCCCTGCCCCGCAAACGATCCCCTTCTCCCTCTCTCTCCCCCACCTCGGCCTCGGCCATCCACTCAGCAGATGCCGCCGCTGCGACGACGGCTTCT